GTCACAAATGCCCTTGGACAGCATATAAAAGCCAATCGCGGCGGTTCATTACATACATACCTAAAGGTAAACACACACGCAAGTGTGTTTGTGTGTGTGGGTGTGTGTGTGTGGTGTACAAAATAGGGCCTTGACCCTGAGACCCACCCATCCATGGGGTACGCTCTGGAAACCAAGAGTGGCCGCGAAACCATGTGTTGAGAGGGGGGTCCCCATGTACCCACTCAGCCCATCAGGCTTTTTCAATAACATCGGCCATATCTCACACACACACACACACAACGTAAACTGGCACATGATGGGAGGACATGGGACTGGGTGGTCTCAGGCAGCAGTTGATTTCCTCGTCTCTCTGGTCTCTGTATGATTCCGGAGTCTATTCTTGGTTCTGTGTGTAGGTGTTGAAGTGCTGAATCAGACTCGGCGTGATGGAGGAGGAGGAGGAGGACAGATGTGCCGCTGACAGTCAGTGAAAGAAACCCAGAGTCGACTGTCAACAAACCGGCTGCGCATTGACCACACTCACTCCTTTCCTCTCTCACATTAGTGGAATATTTTCTCTCCGGTGTCAAAGACAGAGCCGGAGGCCTTCAGCCACTCACAAGCCGTGTCACACTTGCCATCCTGTGGACTGAACAAATCCACACAGCTGTTTTGTGTCAAGGAGAATCAGTGACTTCGTGAGGACACCTAGTGACGGACGTGAGAAGCTGCCGCGCAGCAAGCAGCTCATACTTTATTTTCTGAGATTCCTCTTGTCTGGTCACCCAAGTTCCATGCATGCTTTCGATTATCCAGTCTACTTTATTGTTTGTGACACATAGACCACTAATTTAATTGAATATTTAACCTCCGCAGAATCAGTCGCTTACTCTTATCTCTTTAATTTAACTTTAATATTTCTGAAGCCCCGAAATTGATCACAAAGTCGCCAAAGATATCAGATATGTCAGGCTGAATTTAGGGAGACATAAAACATGTAGTATAATTTGAACAGCTTCATTAGCCGAAACAATATGATACAATATGAACAAAGAGTTCAGAGGTTAAAGAATATTTATAAAAATAGGATGATAAACCAAACACGGATGGTCAACTTCTTTGTGTATAAGGATGCAAAGCCAGTTTGGGTGTGTTCAATGTCCAGGCTATACGCTGTAGTTTTTCAGTAATCATAAATTCAAATAATCTTAACCGATATTCTCATACCTTTTTTAATTGTTTGATTCCCTTCAAACTTGTAATTACGTTAAACAGATCAATGGCTAAATGTAGAAGTTCTGCTGACTGTAATCCCTTTTCCTTAAAACATGTCAGTCACATTTCAACTTAAAACGTTGCGCAGCACATTTGTCGTTATGTTCAATCTTCACACCAGTTTTGACAGAAAAAAACATCACATCAGCACAAAATAGTTGTTTGAGTGAGACAGTACGATAACAGTGTGGTACTGATGGGTCTGAGGAACAAGAGACACATTGACAGAGCTTTGCACACCTCAACTTGACCTGATATGTGATCCAGGAAACTTTGTTCTGTGAGATCCTTGGTGACTTCAAAGCAGGGCAGGTTGTTGGCAGCCCTCCACTCAGGTTTATCAGGATCAGAGCCTCGGGTTTGTGAACACGGCTTACTGCATTTCAAAAAGGATGATGGGGTCATCATTAATGTCCTGACTTGCACCTGCGCTGTCCTTGTCCTGTAACGTCAAGTCGAAATGTCTGTCATGAAAAAATGGCAATAGAAGTTGACGCTGTCAGATGAACAAATACTTACTTTATATATCTGAAATGTCTTTCAGATAAAGCCCGTAAAATGAGTTCAAATGATGCAGCGTCGACTCAGATGTCCTCCTTTGAAAGTGAAGGTCCTGTTCTGAAAGTATCACTTATGTAAACATGCATGAATCGTCCCAATTTTAAAAAAAGGGCTGTTGGAAGAGGCACTGCCGGTTGGTCTGGAAGTGATTTTGCATATTTGACATACTGTTGTGTAGGATAGTCAATATTAGGAGTCCCCTGTTCCAGCCGGTTGCCAAGGCAACGCGGTAGTTCAGTACACGGTCGTGGGGCGCGTGTCAGAAGGAAATATTTCGGTGGTATTTCTGTATGCTGCTTGTAACCTACGACACTCTGCGGCCATTCACCAAACAAGTCACCGAGAAAACCCTTTGCTTTGTGTGGCCGACGGCCCCGTGGTGACGTCACCCCCCACGCACTACGCACGCCGCAGACGCATAAAGTCCGAGGAAGAACCCGGAAACGCAGTTCGAGTACGTGCGGAAACTTGACGGTGACTTCGGTCAGTCGCTCTGATTTTCATCTCACCGTCAACCTCGGACACCGGCTGACATCTTTACGGTAAACCTTTTATTTGAATGTGGTGGTTCTGTGAGTTTTCTAGTCCGATATCGGGAACCTGTTGGTGTGACGTAATGAGGTCGCAGGTATCCGTATTTGACCTTTTGCCTTAATTGATCCGGGCTCAACGCTACACGCTTTAACGTCGTCCTTTGTCCTGTTCGTCAACATTCAAATACTAACTTCAAGTGTAACGTTATTTATGAGTGAAAAGCTAAAATGCTAAAAAAAAAATGATTTACTTGCATGCAAAAACTCAAACTGATTCTGCTTTTTTTAAAATTCCTTCTCTCTCCAGATTGCAGGATGGTTGTGCTTTCTAAAGAGTATGGATATGTGGTGTTGACTGGCGTTGCCAGTATGGTGATGCTTGGACATCTGGCCATAAAAGTTGGCAAAGCCCGCAAGAAGTACAACGTACAGGTGAGCAGAATTTCTGGTGTTAAAAAGTTGAAAATATATGCAATGCCCTCATACTGTTTCAAGAACTGGACAACTTCCAGACTGCTAACATGGTTTTATGCTCGCGTTGTGTCTTCTTCTGTGGCTCGCGTAAAGCAATTTGCATCGCCTAAACAAATAAACTTGTCTTAACTTGCAGTATCCTCAGATGTACAGTGACGACCCAGAAACTGGAAACATTTTTAACTGTATCCAGCGTGGACACCAAAACGCGTAAGTATGAGCTTAAATATGACCTGGCAACTTGGATGGTACTTCCAAGACCGTCCGTGCCCGAGCTCTCACAACTCCCTGTAACAATGGAAAACGTGTTAAAGTTGACATGCTTTTGTAACCTTTCACCAGCATGGAGTCCTACCCCGCCTTTCTTTTCTGCCTGGCAGTTGGTGGTATGCACAGTCCTGTAAGTTGACTCATTGAACCTTTAACACCAGCGTACCACCACGTGCATACAACCTTTTAGCTAATGGAGCACACAATTTGAGGCCCAATGCAGTTGTTTTCAGCTACTATAACGATATCTTCAAGCTTTTAGGAAAGAAATTTCTTCTTTTATTAAAAAATAATATATTTTTTTTAAATTAAAAATCCTAAATGAATGTTCCATTTTCTGTGCTCTTCGCCACCTGGTCATAACAGCGTCTTACCAGTGCACTTGGAGTCGTATGGATCCTAGGGAGAGAGGTGTACGCACATGGGTACGCCACAGGAGGTAAGAACGTTTGATAGCCAGTGTTCCATTTTCTGCTTTTGTAGCGTACAGCAGGTTGTAAATGTTCTAATTAATTATTTTTAAATCAGATCCTGCTAAGAGAAGGTGGGGGGGATTTGGGACCGTGGCTCTGATGGGGATGATTCTGTCCACGGCCTCCTTCGGCCGCACCCTGCTTGGCTGGACGGGACCACGGATGAATCCCTTCCGCGTGGGCGGCTGTTGATGGCAATGAAGTGCTCAGGCTGTGCTCTCCTTGTCATTTACTCTATTAATCTAAGCCACTACATAACCTGTGTACTTTGCAGCATATGTGCAAACCCCGGAGAAATTTAACATTCAAATCCAGGTGAATACAATGCTCTCACTGGACCGGTTCTCCAGGTGTACATCAAAATGTTTAGACAAAACATTGCTGCTGCTGCTAAAAAAAACAAAAAACGTTTTAATATTTATCTTTTATTTTGGTATCTTTTGTCTTGTACTGGAAATGAGGTTTGTCTGGTCAAACAAATTATATTAAACCGTAGTCATACATTTTTCTTGTCTGGTGTTTTTTTTTTTTCAAAAGCAGTCTTTGTTTAAGGGAGCGGCTTTCTTCTAATCTGAGTAATTGTTCAAAGTCCACATTGCTTGTCGAGGCGAGTTGATTTGTATCCCTGCAAAGCTGCTAACCACCAACTGCAAAAGAAAATACGAAGCAGTGAGCTGCGGTACCATTATTTCTGATTTATTAAAACAGGAAATCTCAATTTCCTTGCATATTACATTATACATCACTTGGCACTTAACAGTAAAGTACACACTTTACATAAACTGTAGTACAGTTTAGTTCCAGCTTTGCACGATGCTCCAGCTAATAAATCTCCTCAGCGACACTTTTCTCCACTTAAAAGCATTTGAACAAACCCCTTGTGCAGAAACAAAGCTCCATAAATATATATTTTACAGCTCATTTAACAATAATGCGTTTTACTTTTACAACTCGCTCCTGGTGAAAGTGCACATCTAGTGTCGCGATGTCTCTTCTCCGTGTGCATTGGTGGATTAAACATTCGTTGAAAACATAACCAGATTCGTTTTAAAGACTGAAATTAGACCACAATGAGTTCCATATTCCTTGGCTACAACATAAACGTATCTGTTTAAAAATACTCAACACAACTCCAGCTAGTATTAAGAGTTCGAAAATATCCAATGCAAATTGAGCGCAACCGATCCAAATACGTACTAATCGGTCAAAGTGTGCCGCTAACTAAGACAATGGGACACAAAACCGCAAGAGCGTTTGTCTACAAGGCAAACCCTGCTGAATTATTTGGAAACTCAAAGCACCTGAATCATATCAATCATAAATGTTCTGTAACCCTCGCCGCTTTGAAAGAAAATCTAATTGGGTGTTTTTAGACTGAAATATACACAACAGCCACCCTGTGTATCTGGAAGGTTTCCCCGTGTATTCAGACCAACTTAAAGGGCTCCGGGGGGCAAATTTCAGACAGTGGCTGATTCGAATTGTCAAAATTGAATTAATTTTATTTCTGTGTGCTCTCTTCATTTCTTTAAGCAGTAACAAATCATCTGATTTTCTCACGTCAGATCCCACCCACAGGTGTTACCCTTTATCCTGGCAGCAAAATGTATCCAGATGGACAAAGTAGTTAATGAGATAAGGCCCTATTTTTCATGGGTATGCCATTTATTAGCAGTTTTCCATGTACAAATTGAGGTAAGTTGAATAATAAAATTGAGCAACTGAACGAGGTTTGGCTATGACGGGAACATCTTTTTCCAAAGATATGGCTTTTGATTTGTACACCAAGACCTCATCTTTAAGACAACACGATCAACCTGGCAGTTTGGTGTGAAAGTGCACTTCAATCATATTTGGTCACCTAAGGGATCCTTATTTATATTCCATTATTTTAAGCATGTGGGAACTTGCCCACGAGTGTGTGTCTTGCTGTCTTATTTCTTGCTGGATAACCTGAGGGTGTCCGCAATTGCGAGGTCTTCATGCATCCGTGATCCACATTACCTCAGAAGTCCCCTAGGGGGCCCCTGTGACCATTCAAGCCATATTTGGTTGCCATGCAATCAAGGGGAGTGAGTCAGGGTTGCAGAGGCACAAGCTAATAGTCTCCACTGAGCGGAAGATATCTGGAAATTCAAAGGGAATGTGTGAAAAAAGTGCTTCTGAAACCTCGCCTGTAAAATACTTTTTGGATCCTTCTCACGGAATCAAGGATAAATATGTTTTTTTTTATCACTGTCCTGAAATCCATCTGCATAGATGCAGCTGCATCTCTATTCTGAGATCCATACTGGTCTTCCTTTGGTGTCTTTGGGTGACTGAGGCTCTGTCCATCAGTAGGTGTACCTGGACAGGGGTGTGTCCTCCATCAAATCATCCTGGGAAAGAGGATTATGTTAATATTTTGACAAGTACAGTTACAAATTACTAGGTACCCTCAGCTCAACAGTTTGTTAAAGTACTTTCTGACCTTTAATATATTATTTGCTAAACAAGTACGATCGTGAAGCATAAGGGATTACGAGAATAAATGTCATATTTAACAAATAACAGATTTTTCATATTTGTTGTTTTTTTCCCATTAAAATGCCTCCTTGCATGAGGTCACAGATTTTCATAAAGTATTCAGAAGTTTCTGTTTTGTGTCTAATTAGCGACACCGATGAGCTACACGAGAGGCATCCAAGACTAAGGAGACAGAAAAGCTATTATATATATATTATATATATATATATATATATATATATATATATATATATATATATATATTTCACAGCAGAGTAATTTAATGGGGCAATTCCCTTAAGTTTTTTCACAAAAAAATAACTGCACACAATACAAAAAACGTGAAGCTCATTCATCAACACAAAGACGGCTTAACTCTAAGGACAATCCTCGTGAAAGGACGGGTCAAGTTCCCAAAACCCCAGATTCTACATTCACCAAATTACAGCTGTAGTCTTTCTTTAGATCCTCATTGCCTGGTAAACACTGCGCCTCTACGCCTCCAGTTCGTTACAGAAACGAAAGCCCATTTTCCCTCAGAACAAGTCAACTTTGGGGGTCGGGGGGGGCGGTTTAAGTGCCTCTTAACTACAACCTTACTGTGTTGTGTATTTATCTCACCATGGGTAGATCCTGAAGCCGGTGAAACTCCGGGTGGTTTGTCCGCTGGCGGAACTTGAGGAAGAGGATGACGAAGACGATCGCCGTGGTGACGATGAACACTGACAGCAGGCCGGCCAGCAGGGGATCTAGAGGGGAGCTTGAGCGGGGGCCCTTGAGGTCTGAATGACACACAAACGCACAATCCTGAGAACCAAAATACTGACACATTTGTAAGCTGCAGCACGAATGACTACTCATCGCCTTACCTTCGTCTCCCACGTTGAGCTCAGACGGGACCTCCTGGTAGGTTTGCCCGGCAGCACCCCGGCCCGGAGCGGAGGTCACGGGACGTCCCGCGGTGGTCGGCTGTGCGGAGGATCTGGTCCAGGATTCAGAGGTGTGAGCTGTGGAGCTCGTATCATGCTGTGTGTGTGCTGGCAGAGATGGAGAGGTGCTGAGGGGATCCACGGTCACGATGGCTCCGCCGTCAGTAGTGGAGACGCGCGGTGGGGGGGTGGTGCTCCGTCCGGGCGGTGCAGAGGAAAGGTCGTCTGCGGGGGGATGTGAAGCGTTGTATCAATTCAAAACAGCACGAATTATTCTTCAAAAGAAACAAAGCGCATAAACTGCAGAATGACGCAACTCCACAATAAAAAGTCATCACTCCCTCTGACAATAAAACGATACCTCGTTATTGTTGTTTGTATTTTCATGCATTAAATAACTTTCCAGTTTTGCGATGGCTGACAGACAAAATAACAGGTCTGCAACAAAGCGCCAAACGCTTTGACATGTAATATAAAAAACATGTATTTTTATCTTTGCAATGTTTATCTTTTTAAAAAGAGTGAAACACGGTTCCCCGCGGCCGCCAACACAGCGGTGATGACAGCAGCCAATGAGGAGACAGGAGTGTGGACAGGACGGCGTTCTGGCATTTTGTCCGTCATTTCTGTGGGGGTGAAAGAGGCGACGCGGCATCAACGGAGAGAGTTATTTATATCTGATCTATAAAAGGGAATCGCTCGGGTTGAGGTTGCGACACACGCTCTGAATCAAATAGTCAGTGTCAGGGGTCAGGAGGAATATGCTCCAGGGTGCTGCTGCCAGTGAGCCTGAGGAGGGCCTCCGGGCTTAAATGTGTGGGATTGTTTATTTGAAGAATCTGGACAAAGTAAACAGACCGGACTGGAAAATACGATAAGCGCAATTATAGAATTATGGCCGATGATGGCAGTCCTTGGATGCTTTTAAAGAGAGGCAGCACACAAACAATGCGTGCAGGGTTTGTCTTGAATACCTGAAGGGGACGTCATGGCGGCGGGTACATTTGTGCGTGGTGACGTAACCGCTGGGGTCTGCGTTCCACGTGCGGCCTTTGTCGCCGCCTCTGAGTGGACTGTTGCTTTTGTCTTTGTGGTGGATTCAGTGGAAGCTTCATTGGCACCGTGAGTCCACTGTGAGACCTCAGCGTGGGGATCCTCTGTCGGGTCAGGAGACGCTGAGCGTCCAGCATGACTCGGGAAGCCAGCCGGGGTGAGGACAGCAGGCAACGCACTGTACTGACCTGTGGGATAAAAGGGATTAGAACATGTTGGAATCTGTATAAATGTGTAAACTGCTTGATTACTCATTGCAGCTAAAACTCAAAAATAATCCAAAGAGTAGATCAGAGGTCTCATCCAATTAATTGTCTATATTTAACTCTCAAATGTCCGCTATTGACTAATTGATAAATTAGCTAATTGAATTTGGAGTGTTATTCATTTGGTGCTGCTCTATTTAACTTGGTATGAAAATGGCGCATTGAAGGAGAAAGAAACGCTCATCTTCTTGAACAAAATAATCAAAATGATCTGCTGCGGGAGACATCAACGTGATAATTTAACATCATCTAATTCACGTTAATTTGCAAACCGCCCGCAGCGCTGTCTGAACTTCCCAAACGATCGATGGACGCGTCGAGAGCATCATGTGGGAATCGATAAGGGTTCCAACCCGCCTCAGCAGGATGTCAAGTGAAACACACACACACACACACACACACACACACACACACACACACACACACACACACACACACACACACACAGTGCGATGCCAACTTACCTCTTGTCAGCGATGAGCCGGTAAGCACGACCAACACGCAAAACGCCGAATTCATCTCAGGGCGCGTCTCCTCCTCCGCCTGCAGATCGCATAAACACGCGCAGCACAGCGAGCTCCTCGCAGCGACTCCGCTTCCTTGTTCTGGGCTCGTTTCCGTTACGTGATGTGACAGGGCGCATCATCCGTGCTAAAAATACCCGGAGGGAGTCGGGCAGAAGGGAAAGCATGGGGTGGGGCCGCCTGTGTGCCATAGGCGGCACGCAGAGGGGGTTGGAGGAGAGACGGGATGAGACGCGATGAGCGTCACGCGTCACCGGCCTCACCGCCAATTCACGCACCGCTCTGCGGCTCCTTTGCGTTTCTTGCGGTAAACGCCTCACCCCCTTAAATAAACGTTCTTTCCGAGATGCACCGGCTTAAAGTGGCGGTTGCTCCGCGGCTCCTATCAGACGCCGGTGCGTCAGAGACGCGCAGTTGTCTGCGTCAGAAGCGCCGCGCTGTCGAGCGCCGTCGCGTTGGACGCGCGCGAGTTTTGCCGTGTTCGCGCTCGTCGTAGGCGCTCGTGGGCTGCGGGGTTATTTGCAGAGATTAAGCGGCGATTGGCGAGCAGGCGTCGGTGTTTGCCGGTGGTAATGTGAGACAGCAACTTTCCAGCCCCCCTCAGAGGTCAGTGTGTCGTCATGCCCGAGCGCACGGCCCACATGGGTACTGTGTGGACAGCTGAGTGACCCGCTGCGTCCTCGGCGTGTGAGCAGCGTCTCCTCGTTTTAAATCACTGCTTTTTTAAAATTTTTTATATACATTCAGGCTTTAATTTCTGTGGGATTTTCAACGGCAGCAGGGAGACACCTTCATGTTGCGCCAGATGGAGCCTGCAGCCAACCCGGGAGACAGCCCGGTGGAGTTGGAGCTAACGGTGCAGAATGTGGAGTCGGTAAGTTCCAACAATCAGTCACTGAATGCTTGTTAATTAAACTGCTGGGGGGGGGGCTTCCTACAGGTGCAGCTTCTGTGCTACCATTCAGATCAGGAGAGGTCACTTGAATTTGTCATAGGAAAAAGTTGCAGCAGCATTGTCCCATATTTAAATGGGTATGCGTTGTATTTCAATAACTACTACTACTACTACTTTGAACAATTTCAAACAGAGTCTGGTTAATTGTAGTTCACCAAAGGAAGGTTGGACGCACTGGACATTTTGTAACATGATGCCAGCTATAAGCATATGCTGTCCTAATAATAACTAACACCATGTGCCTTGGATTATTCGCTATGACAACACATTTCTTACTCCATTCAAACCATTGGACATCCAGCACGCGTGATCATCAATGATTGTTGTTAATGCAGCGATTTGATTACCAACCCAAATGCATTTATTGTCATTACTGTATCAGGAGAATGGGGATAAATAATGATTGATGTGTTTTTATGATGTTTTTTACACTCAGGTATTGCATTATCTGATATTACGAATTTACTTGCACTTCTGGTGTTTCTTTTGTATCTGTTCTTCTCTAAAGGCTCTCTACCAGCTGTACTTTGACCCGGTCATGGAGCGTAAGAATGTGGCCCAGAAGTGGCTGACCGAGGCCCAGGCCTCCTCACAGGCATGGCAGTTCTGCTGGGCACTGCTTGGCCCCGACAAGGTGTGTGGCTTTGACAAGTAAACATTTTGAATATATCCACAGCACCTATTTCCTCCATTACATCGAGTCTGTCTCCTTTGCAGCTCCCGGAGGTTCAGTTTTTTGGCGCCAGCACTCTCCATACCAAGATCTCCCATCACTGGAACGATCTCCCCGCCGACCAGCATGACAGCCTGAGGATGCAGCTCCTTTCCCACGTCCTGCACTTCTCCTCGGGCCCCAAAATGGTGCTAACCAGGCTGTGTGTCGCCCTGGCCTCTATGGCTCTTAACTTAATTCCACAGGTTTGGCCCCAACCAGTGGCTGACATGGTGAGAGCCTTCCAACCGCTGAAACCTGACTCTGAAGGCGCCTCTGAGGCCCCCCGGGACCCTCAAGCGCACTGCCTCGCTCTGCTGGAGCTCCTCACCGTACTTCCAGAGGAGTTCCAGAGCGGCCGGCTGGCTCAAGCTCGGCGTACCCAGCTGAAGGGGGCCCTGGTTGGGGAGTGGGCGGTGGTGTGTCCCTTGCTGCGTCAGCTGCTGCAAAGTCAGGACTCCTCCAACCAGGCGAAGGAGAAGGTGCTGCGCTGCTTATCCAGCTGGGTGGGGCTGGATGTGCCGTTAGGGGAGAGTCACGAGCTGGTCCAGGACTGTTTCAGTGCTCTGTCCAACCCAGAGCTGTTCGACACGGCGGTGGAGACGATAGTCAGTGCCATCTCGCAGCCTGACAGTCAAAGGTGAGAAACACACCTCTTCAGAAATCCCCTGAAGGCCACGGTTAAATATTCAGGCGTGTGAATCACAACCTGGTTGTGCAGGTACATTGATGCTCTGGTGACCTTGACGCCTCTGGTGCTGGGTCTCCATGACCAGCTGAAAAGAGCGGCTCAGGATGGGGACATGGAGACCTCGCACGGTATCTGTCGTATCGCTGTTGCTATGGGGGAAACACACTCCAGGTACACACAACTGCACACACACCCGTCTTTTACCTGGCATCGGTAAATGGAGTTCTTTCTTTAATTGGTTCAATGTTTGTGTATGCCAGGGTTTTGTTGGAGCAGGTGGAGCACTGGCAAGAGTATCTGGCTTTGGTTAACATGATTCTTTTCTGTACCGGCATCGCCGGGCACTATCCAGTCAGTGAGACCAGCAGCTCCCTCACACTCACCTTCTGGTACACTCTGCAGGTACGGCGAAATAAGACAAGATAAATGCATGTAAACAATCCAAGAAATGATAAGACAACAAACTTTCTTTCTAATAATTGCACATTCAGGATGACATCTTGTCATTCGAGGAGGATAAGCAGGCAGTTTACCTGCAGGTCTACAGGCCGGTTTACTTCCAACTGGTAGACGTACTACTACATAAATCCCACTATCCCTCCGAGGAGGAGTATGCCTCCTGGTCTCCCGATGACAAGGAGCAGTTCCGAATTTATAGGTAAAACACAGAACTAAAGGAAGTTCTTCAGGATTTCCAGTGCTGGATTTTACATACTTTTCTCCATGTCTCTTTTGCATTTCAGAGTAGATATTTCTGACACTCTGATGTACGTGTATGAAATGCTGGGGGCAGAGCTGCTCAGTAGCCTCTATGACAGGCTGGGCAGACAGCTGATGGACCCCCAACAGTCAGCAGTCTGGCAGGTAAAGTCATTTATCACTGTCTCCCATTCCATGCATCTACTATACTAAACACCAGCATTTTCCTCTTCTAATTTGGCTCTCTGTGTTCAGGACACAGAGGCTCTGTTATTTGGCTTCCAGTCCATAGCAGAGACGATAGACGTGAACTACTCCGACGTTATCCCTGGTCTCATTGGTCTCATTCCCAGAATCAACATCAGCAACGTCATGCTGGCTGACACTGTCATGTACACCATAGGTACATAACCTACATGTGGCTTGATTTATATTACAACATCATTACAACCAGGATTATAAATCAGCATGGATGTACATTTCTGCCGTCAGCTAACGAGCCACTAACAACTCACCCCTGTTGGACAGGATCCTTGGCCGAGTGGCTGGCTGATCACCCGGTGATGATAGCTGGCATATTACCCATGGTGCTTCAGGGCCTTGGAAAGCCGGAGCTGTCTGTGTCCAGTGTGTCCACACTGAAGAGGATCTGCAGAGAGTGTAGACACGACCTCGCCCCCTACGCTCCGGATATCCTGACCACGTCACAGGTCCGACTTAAAGAGAATACTCAAAATAGATGATTACTGCCCTCCTATTAACACCCGTGATCCTCTGCAGGATGTACTGGTTAAAGAAATCCATAAGGTGAGTAAACTGCCTTCAATATTCACCAGTTCTGTCCCACTCAGTGAACACAAATGCACCACCAAGCGTCTCTCTGGACACATTGTGTCCGTGATGTGTGTGTGTGTGCGCGTGTGTGTGTGCAGAGCAGCCAGTGCATGTGGTTGATGCAGGCTCTGGGCTTCCTCCTGTCCGCCCTGCCAGTGGAGGAGATCCTGGGACGACTTCACTCTCTCATCACCCCTCACGTCCAGCGGCTGGATACACTGGCCCAGCAGGAGGTACATCCAAAAAATATTTACAGAACTCTACGAATAGGAAAATAATACCTGGAGCGGTAGAAGTGGTTTACAATCCCTCCAATAGTACGTGCTTGACTGCAATACTATTTTTAAGTCAGAAATTATACGTTGAACTGCAAAAATAAAAGATCAAATGAAAGTGTGTTTTCAAATGCAATTTGAGTATTTTGATGTATTTTTACAGAACTAGTCCCGTATTTGTTAATAATACCAGATTAATTATAAATGAGTCCTCTTTATTTTCAAATTGCAATTGAAAAATCATATCTTCATTCTATCTTTAGTTTCAGTCACCTGACATGTGAGTGTATGTACTGTAATGATTTAAATTAACGATTAATTTAGTTTTTTCTAAAGTTATTGCAATAAACAAAATGTAATCTAAATAATTAGATCAATTTAAAATATCTACAATGCATACAAAATTAAATGCACTTGACTGAGTTGGGAGCTGGTCTGAAATCTCTGTTGACAGAGACACAGATAATACCGGCATCTTTGTCCTGCAGCACCTTTGCAGCTTTTGAACACAACTTCTCCTGCAATTTTCAGTGAAATAGCTTTTGACTCACTAACGCTGTCATATTTGACAATGTCTTTCCCTCAGTCGTCACTGTCTTCACGTCTACAAATCAAACCTGTGCTCTTTGTCTCCCTTCACAGCCTGATCCTACAAACAAACAGTCTATCATTCACATCCTGGGGATGCTGTCCAGTCTCTTCACTACTCTGGACATCAACAGACAAGCAGACAGCTTAGAGGGAGCGTCCAGCCCAAGACTCACTCCCACACAAAGCATGCAGAATCCAGTGAGTTAAGCGCTAGGAAATGGCGTAACTATGGATACGGTTTGCTCCATAAACATAGATCATACCAGCAGCTGTATCTGAATAATATAACAAAAAACCTCAGCCGACCCTCGTGTTAAAACCCAACATGCTTATAATGTATAATGAAATATACACTCAAATATACATATATATCTTTTTAGGTTGTTGTTGTTCTACAGCAAGTGTTCACATTGATCCAGAACATCTTCAGCAAGTGGCTTGATGACTCAGACGTAGTTGAGGTAGGAGGGTTTTTCACTGCTTACATAAATATGTGCATGTTAAATGTCTGTGTGTGTGTGTGAATGATTTATAGATGGACGTTTACTGGCTCACAGCTCTCTCTCTCTCTCTCTCTTTCTCTCTCCAGGCAGTGTGCGGGGTATTTGAAAAGTCAGTTCGAACCCTCCTACATGATTTCGGGCCCATGGTGGCTCAGCTGAGTGAGATGCTGGGGCAGATCTTTTGTGCCTTCCCACAAGCCTCAGCGCTGGATCTGGCGCGGCAGGTACGCCCCCACAGATCAGGGCATGAATAAAAAGCATTATCCCTTCAAACTGTAATTCTGACTTCTAATGATAATCCTACATCCTTCTTTCTCCCGTGTTTTTTAGATGGTTCACATATTTGCCGGAGAGGAACATCACATCGCTAACATTAAAAGCCTTATTGAGGTGTTGACTTCTGCCACACTCACTATATTTCAGCAAGGTAATAAAAACCTGGAATTAATTACAATTTACTTTAAGAAATTGTTTTGTATTTTCTCATCTTATATTTATTTCACAGGTCCACGAGATCATCCCGATATTGCGGAATCATTTATGAACCTTCATGCTCAGGTGGGTTGCATATATTTGTCCATTGTTATGCACACTTGGAGCTCACAGGCAGCTCTGGATACTTACTTTGTGCTCCATTTAGATTCTCAAAAGGAAACCTGACATGTACCTGTCTGACCAGTTGGATGTCAAAAGGCTGTTTTACTCCGGTGAGTAATGCTACAAGTACTAAAATATTATAGGCCTACTCCCATGGAAATACTACTTTAAGCAAAGTAACAAATGCCAGGAACTATAATGCTAATTTTAACCAAACCCTATATGTGGCACATGAACACAAATATTTTGAGCATCATTTCCGGGGTGTCACCTCTATGAACGTGGATCTTCAGCGGCCGCAGACACGCCTGCAGCTTCTTCTCTGCTGCAGCTGCTGATTGGTCATTATTTTCCTGCAAATTTTATCACAAATTTTCCGTATGAGTGCTTTGATTCTGTAAACGGATGTGTGTTCAAATGTAGCAAAGTAATATGCTGCATGGAAAAGGAAAATATTTATTATAATAAATAAATCAAATTAATTATATGTGATTACGTGAGCCACATGTTTCATTCCATGCAATCTAAAATGTTGCATTGCTATTTACAAACTACTGTGTTTAACTTCAAGACCAAAGCTCTCTCGATCATTTTTTGTTTTCCATGATCTCAAAATTTTGCAGAAAAAAACAACAACTTTTCATGGTCTATTTTCTTCAGGGATCCTATCTTTGAAGTTCCCAGAAACAGCCACAGTGAAAGCTGCCACACTGTTCTTTGTAAGTTGAGAACAACAGTTGCAAGCTGTAAAAATTTAAAAAAAGATAGCGCTGTTCATTTCATTTCTCTGCACCCGGCAGACCGAGCTGTTGCCTCGCTGTAAAGACATGCCCTTGCTTGGGGAGGTGTTGCAGGAGGACGGCAAGCTGCTGACCGAGACCTTGCTCCAGGTGAGTCAAACACAACTAAGCATGAAAACGTCATCGTTGAATCGCTCATTTGTAAATTCCCCCTCATTAAACCAGAGGATGCGTTTCATCCCTGATGTGAATCACAAATCTGTTTTCTAATGCTCAGGCGGTTGGGGGCGAGTCCCCTCGCAGTCTGTCGGAGCACTTCTCAGAGGTGCTGTTGAGTCTAAACAGACACTGTCCAGCTCTGCTGTCCCAGTGGCTGAAAGAAGCACTGCAGGTCCCGGGGTTCCCCTCCGCCCAGGTCTCCGCAGAGCAGAAACACACCTTCCGTCAGCAGCTTCTCAGGTAATTATATACTTATAAATATATATAAAACTGCGCTTTTGTTCTCAAAACTCTGCATTCAGTCAAATAACAAGAAAAACGCTGCAACAAAACACCTCGTTCAAGAACACAGAACGACACACAGGCCTCATCACAAGTTCAGTGCCAATCGGTCGCCTCACAGTAACCGAATTCTGGGAATCATCTGTAATCTGTATCTGTTTCTTTTCCTTCCTTTTCTTTCCAGGGAGCAAACCCACAAGCGCCGCGTTAAGGATATCGTGAAGGAGTTTTCTCTGCTCTGTCGGGGCCTGCAGGGATCTGGATACTCAGACTTCTAGACTGAGCTGGTAGAGCTCAAGAGAAAGTAATAAACGAGGATCCAGAATCCCTCTGTTTCAATGATAAAAATCGGTGCCAAATAGCGCCGATCACTTGGGCAGGTGAAGCTGGACAACAAAAACTATACCGAACCAACCAAAGCAAAAACACAGATTTGGTGTACTGTAGAATGAGAGGACTGCCGTGCAACATGTTCATCACCAAATACCTCTGCAAGTAGGAGAAAGTCCTCACTCCATCAGACACAATGTAAGACACCAATAAACAGTTCATTTTTTGCAGCTGCATGATCAACTGTGTGCGTATTCACTTATTTATTATTTCTCTTCCCTTGTATGCTGTTTGAAGATCATATCGACACATTATCAAAATATAGACCCCCCCCCCTCCTCCACCAGTCCTCCTCATCTTCTTTGACATTATTATCTTACATAGCTTATGACATGTATACTTCCGCTAATATATATACATCACTTACACAACAGAAAAAGATATCAATGATGACTTTAAGCAGACAATATGTCCTGACAATAGACTGCTTGTTTTTTTGTTTTTTAATCAGTGACTTCACTGTGAGGGATGGCAGTTGTTGGAAGTTGGGATTGCATCCTCAGTAGAAAACTCGGACGGCCCTATTGGTGGTTGGTGCACCGAGATGAGAGAGAACTCTCAGCGATAGTCTATAAGTGCCGCTGACTCTGCATTTCACCCACAGTTCTGGAGTCCAAACCGGGTCTGTTCACTATCGTATTCTTGTGAAGAGGTTCAGCACTGACTTTGATTCCTGGAAATAAAAAGGGGAAAGTCCAAACATAACAATACGTCTGATTGTCCCTGAATCCACAGTTCAGTTCAGGGACTTGATTAGATGCTCAAATAAAAACACAAAGAGGCCCCTGGCATTTCTAGAGATCTGCAATTAGACAATCACCTCGCTCACTCAACGTGAAGAAAGCATTCTTTTAAGATGACAAATGACAAAATCGCAATCGACTTAAATCAAAAAGACGGTTTAGTGAACTAACTGTCTAAGTGGGGGCGGCTCCAGCTATGTGTGGACTGTGTACCTTGGTGCAGCGTGTCTTACTGAAGACGTTCCAGAAACGTAGCGTCTCGTCCCCGGCTCCTGTAACGATGGCCTCCCCATCCGGTGACACAGCCTGAGAAGGGAGGACCAACAGAGAGGAGCCGGTGACACGGTGAACATTTTAAACTTGAATTCCTTGTATGGACGCAGGTTCAGAGCACAGACAGGCAGAGAGGCTGTGCTTTAGGAGCAAGCCTGATCCCTGCAGCCATAAACAAGCGTGAGCGCGCACGGCCGTCTAACATTGTGTGTTGTGACTGTTGCCCCGTTGCATACATTACTGTTGAACGTGCACAGTGCTGTGCAGAGGAATTTAAAGCTGATTTGTATTATATTGCAGTTACATGTGTGTACATCTAGTTGGTACTCCAGTTACAGTGTCCCTGAACCCGCTTGGTCTTTCGTTTAAATCGGCAATCTTACCAGGTACAGCACTCTGTAAGAGTGTCCAGTCAACTTGGCCACCTGTGTTAGTGACGGATACTTCCACACCAGGACCTGGTTCTGAGAGTAGCCGTGAGTGCTCACCTGTACACAGAGAGGGAGAAATCGGCTAAAGAATGTATACACGTCCAATTGGTAATATATCATAAAGAGGCAACTATCAGAAAACCAACACCCACTAGAGCTCAGTCCTACTATGCAGTTGAATCAGCACTTTCTGTACCAAGAAAGACTGAACATTAAACAGTAGCTTGTTATTGCAAAGATACTGCATTGAATCATATGGGATTGTACAAACATGCATAAATATATGTACAAATATTGGCCAGTATATTAATGGGTCAAAATAACTTAAGTAAAAATGAAACAAACCTGTTATTATGTGGCTAGACACTGTAACATGTTGGTTTTGTGTAACACATTTTTAACGTGGTAATAACATTTTACATGGGGTCGGGCTGTTATTTCTCTCCGAGATGTGATCCTAGTATTGCATTACAATAATTGGTTACCATGGACACCATTTAAAAAAATATTTAAAAACATTTCATTAACCACGGCACGTTTCTTAGTCTCAGTCCTCACCAGCTCGTTGGCGTGTTTGGACCACGCCAGGTTGCAGACCTGCGAGCCAGTGTCCGTGCTCTGCAGCGCCTGACCCGTCAGAGTGTTCCAGAAGCGCAGGCAGCGGTCGGCGGTGCCGCCCCCCGACGCCAGCAGCCCGTGTTGGTGGGGGGACCAGGCGATGGCCTTCACTGCCGCCAGGTGGTCGCTGTACTGCTGCACGGGGAGAAGGCTGGAGCTGTTCCACACCAACAGCTGGGCAGGGGACCACAAGGAGGGGGGGGGGGGTTAACCCTGTTCACTGTGCCCGACCACAGTTTGAAAAGTATCTCACCTTGTTGTCGTTGCCTCCGGACGCCAAGTGCTGGTGGTCGGGGGACCATTTGAGACCGCACACTTCTTGCCTGTGACCCTGCAGCCTGCGCTCAGCTGATGGGGAGGTCCTGACATCCCGCTGTAAGATCACTCTGTCCCGACTCCCCGACGACAGCTGCTCGCCGTTCCATGCCAGGGCACCTTGACAACACAAAGGGTGGGGACGGAGGGGGGTCACATTTCATCTGCAATCCATCCGGTGTTTCTTATATGGTAATAACACGTTTTCTCGTGCAAAAAAAGCGGGAAAATTCAGTTTTGGGCTATTAACAAAAAAAGAATAGTAAAAAGTAAAAGTGGTAAAGCGCAAAAAAAAATCAAATCAAAAATGGGGGAGGGGGGGGTTCTCTTTTATGTTTGCTAAAAGGACACTCGAATTGAGTTTAATCAGCAGTTGGTGATCCCGCTTTTCTGCAGCTATGACTGACCTACACGTGCTGAGTGACCCTCCAGGCTGGTAAGCTTCCTCCCTCCTGCTGCGTCCCAGATCTGAACGTAACCCTTATGGGTTCCGACAGCAACAAGACTCCCCTAATAAGACCAGAGCCAAAGTCAAACACACTGTTATCTTTCCCATTATTTCTTCACTTGGAGCATTTTTCGCGTATACTCCTCGCTTTAAATAAGCAGCAGTAATAATGTGCTGCGGCTGCTCACCCGCTCATTCCAGCAAACTGACGTAACCGAGTCTCCATCCACGGAAAGGTCACATAACCTCGTCACCTGTTTGGACACAAATAACATCACATCTAAATCTAAGATGAAGCAGATTTGTATTTCTTCCCTTTTAGATTGAGAAGAAATTCTATCATAAAACGCAAGCTGTATATAAATGTATTTTAGGTCAGTCCTCCGACCTGGCTGGTGCAGGCACTCCACAGGTAGACGCAGGCTCCCAGACCCACACTGAGCAAGTTGCCCGCTGACCAGTCTACCAGGTTGAGGTAGAAGTCATCCTGCAGCTCCGGAGCATCCAGCACTTTGAAGGGGATCTTGGAGATCTTACGCGGTGGTTTGCGAGGGGACCGGAGCAGCTTGTGGCTACGGAAACATCGAGGAAGGAACAGCGTGACCCACATTATCTGACAGCCTTGTTTAAAAGCACCGTGGCTGCTCAGTGTGCAGCGCGTGACATACTCGTCATACCTCTTGTTACTAAGCGGAGAAAGGGAGTAAGGGGAGACTTCATTATCGCTATCGAAAGGCACTCTCTTAGTGTGGACAGCGTACTGCAGGGAACAGACACACAAAGCGGAATTGTATTCAGGGACTTTGTAGGAGCTATTGAGGAAGTTATATTTCTTCGTTTTTTTCACGACTCTTACCCTAAAAAGGCTGTGAGAGTCTTGAGAGCGGACAGAGGGACGCCGGTCGTCAGTGTGAGTGTCTGGCACGCTCTCTATCCCCGCCCCCAGTAACTCATTCCTCAAAAGAGCAGCGTATGCCACAGCATCTGGAGGGGTGGCAGTGGAAAACGGTGATGGAGACACACAATGGTGGAGAGATATCGCTCAGAACCCCACCCAAAAAACAGCAGCAGACAGACCGGTAAAAATGTCTGACCTTTGCTTGAATCCGAAGTGGCATCCTTTACTTTATGGGTCTGATTTGGGGAGCGGCAGTTCTCCTGCATAGAGAAAAGCAACAGTACGTCCATTTTTAAATTTTTTATCATACATGTGTTTTTGTGGCGCAGCGCTAAAAGGCTGCTTACATTAGCGTAGTGGAAGTTGATGCTCCAGTTGCTTCCGGCTCGTGTGGGAATGAAGCGGTCCCCTGACCTAATGCTCACGGGACTGCAAGTAGCACTTCCACACTGCAGTGGAGAAAGAGAGAGCAGGGTCGTTACTATCTTTAAATATAGCTTAGCATTTACTCACGCCCCACTAAATTGTGTTTAATATATATGCAAACAACCAGGTACCACACACACAAACACACACACACACACACACACACACACAGGATGATGCACTACTGAGATGAACCAGCATCCTCAACCATGAAAGGATTTCCCATCATTCCCTGCGCCTGACCTTTGACAGGCGGGCCTCTGTCGGCAGGTTCTGGTGGTTGATTTGCCTCAGCAGCCGTCTCTCGTACTCTTGGTCCATCTCCTCAGGGACCGACGGGCAGCAAAGGCCCCCTTTCCTGCCCTCCCCGCCCGCCTCTTTAAACCTCCGCTCCCTCCCGGTGAGGAAACCCACCCTGGATTCCCATCTCTGTGGGGGGGAAACAACAAAAACAATCAGGTTGACGTGAATTCACATGGATACCACAAGCAGCCGGATGCACACATACCGAACGGCCCGGTCAGCACGGTGTGTGTACGCGTGTGTCAGGTGACTGCGGTCATGTGGACCGCATTTCAAAATGAAATGTGCCTCTATTTAAGGTGTTACGGTAAAAGGGCTTACAGCCTTAAAGGCACTAATCGCCTATTTGTAAAGTGTCACATCCCAATCTTTGAACTGTCTTTAAACCAGATCCAAAAATAGTAACACTCTGCTTTCACTTGATCCCAGTTCATGTTGACCTCCTCCTCAGATATGCTCATGTACATTTCCATGAAATATTAATAATAATAATGTATAGTTTGTGAGAAAAGTAAAGATGAAATCAGTAACAATGACATGATATTCGTCTTTTCTCAATCTTTGAGTCAGTCTTTAAATCAGATCGAACATTAGTAACACTCTGCTTTTCACTTTCATCCTAGTTCATGTTGAGGATGGTCTCCAATTCATGGAGGGAGATCTCCGCAAACGTCGGTTTGCTGGTCGAGAGGCGCACAAAGTTGTGGAGGAAAATACGGGACAAATGTGTCCGCGATGAAAAGCAACAGTGGCGATGCACGGGGCAATAAAGTCTATGATAAATAAACAAACCAACAACTTCCACACACAAAGACGTGACTCTCTATGACAATACTGACAATACTACGTTTTCCCTTGTGGACCAACGTAGCTATTACACATTTTGCTGTGAGACTGGGTTGTGAATACAACTCTTAATTTCCTTTTATATAGTACGCCTAGTTCAGCGAAATTCGAAATAAATATCTTAACACTGACCTGCAGTATTTTCAAAGCGTGTGACATTTATTTTTAGGTTCAATCAAAGTTCAGAATTTGCAAACATCTGTGATGATCCTGCATCACAGATGAATGTTTCCGTCCATTTAGAGTTCAGTAGACTGTGGACAGGTCAAAGGTGTGCTGCTCAGCGTAAATCGTCCTCCAGGTCCTGTGGAAGAAATACTCTCCACACCTCGGAATCAGATCCTGCTTGGTGCAATGGTGTCAGTATTTTTTCAGTAACATTTCTAATGTCTATTTTTCGTACTGCATGTGTTGATATTTTCCATCCTATTGTTATTTGCTGTTATTTTGAAGTGATCTTTAACGAATATCTGGCACAATCATTTATTTGGGGATTAATAAAGTTCAATTTTATCTTCAGTTTTACGCACTGCTCCTTTTTTATCTGCATCCAAACTCCGGCCATCCGTTACTGTAGCTTTAAAAAGCATTACTGTCGTTGCTCAATGGCAATTGCCTAAGATACCCCATTGCTGGAAAATTAATACATTCCCTTGTTCTAAATTGAGTTTTTTTGCCCGCCAACCATGGGGCTGCTATTTGGTGTGCCCATTTCTCAGGGTTGTGGGCTTCCTTCAATGGAGCATTTTGATTCCAACTGGGGTCTGGAGGCAGAGGGTGTCAAAAGTATTCACATTCATTACTCAGGTACAGGTACAGGATACTAGGGTTTAAAAAGACTCCTGTAGAAGTTGAAGTATCGACCCAAGCTTTTTATTTAAGTATAAGAGTACTGGTTTCAGAACTACTACTTAAAGTAATGTAGTGTAAGAAATTCCATTAAGGACAAACTCTTTATGCGTGACCTCGCTCACACAACACGTCAGTCCGTTACAATGTGATCAGAAGGTGCCTGCAGATCACGTGACCTGCCGTTGGAATGGTGGAAACAACAACAACAAATGTATCTGACTTAAAACAGATGAAACCACAACCCATTTTCCAGCGACACGAGTCACACACACGTTGTTCGCATTGATTCGGTAGACTGCCGTGTCTCCCCCAGGTTTACTACGTCATGGGGGAGAGAGGTGGGGGTCGCACCCCTGTTTATAATGATGGGAAACACTGAACTGGCAGCGGTCGGTTATCAAAACATTGGCCAAATATCCAAATATCCTTGATTTCTCTGCTCTCGACTCCGAAACGGTCAAAAATCCTAGAAGAACCAGACAACTGCAAGCAGTGATGTCTTTTACTGGAATGGTTTCCATAGCAACGGTTCCTCAGCAACGGAATCCATTGCAGCCATGGCAACTGCTTTGATCTCAATGACATCATCAATGACATCATCAATGACTTCATCAATGACATCATCGTCAAAGTGTTTATAAGCAGCTTTTGGAACCCAATTTGTTCACTGCCTTTCAAGTCGAGCTAGCAAGCAGTTGGTTTCTTGTGAGTATACAAGTTATCAGCCGGATTTGTCTTTCACGACCACGAAACGTATTTTAAAACAACAGTCCATTCTTATACCAGCACAAAGTATTATTCATACAATGTATCTGGGAAACAGACAGAAATATGGAGCTGGAGCCCCTCGGTGCGGCTCAGGCCCTCCACCGAAAACATTCAATCGGAATCAGGCACTCAAACGTGCCAACGATGACGTCTACTATCTGACCCAACGGGTGACATTCCTCGAGACCTGTGAGAGGGATTTTGAGATTGAGAGGAACAGTTTTTGCCTTGTCATCAAAAATAAGAAACTGGAAATCACGCAACTGGAGAGCAGTCTGGAGATCGCCAACGACAGGATCAAGATCCTGGAGAGTCAGCAGATGTCCACGGCTGAAACCAACAACAGCCGAGAGATGCCGCCCGAAAACTTCCACCTGCTGGAGCGTCTGAGAGTACAGGAGGAAAAGATGGCTGAAGCCCAGCTCATCAGTCACCAGGAGAAGGAGAGGATGGTTCAAGAGTATGAGGCCAAACTTTCTGACCAAATTCTCCAGAACCTTAATCTCTTCAAGAAGAACGAGGGTTTGTCTCTGGGGCTCACAGAGTCCACAGAGCCCCTCGTCAGCAACGAGAGCTGGAAACAAAAGTACGAGGATCTGGAGAAAAAGACTACCCAAGACCTCGCCCTACAACAAGAGGCGATGGAAGCCCTTCAGGTAAAGTACCAGGAGATGGCCAACGAGGTGGAGAATCTGATGCTCAAGAAGTTCAGTGCAACCCTGGACGTCAACAAAGAGAAGGAAAGCCTCTCACATAAGCTGAGAGAGACTCAACAACAGCTCATCAGCGAGGAAGAGAAATTCAAAGATCTGGAAACAAGGATCTGCAATCAACTGAAGTGCAAACAAGACAGAATAGCAGGACTGTTCTCCGACAACATTGCTCTGCACAAGGAGTTGAACACGCAGTTGTCCAACTACCAACAGTTGGAGGAAGAATACAAACAGCTAAAGCACTGGAGGGATGGTATGCCTGAGCAACAAGAGAAGGACGTACCCCTCATTGTCAACCTACTCGAAGAGATGGACGTGATAACTGAAGAACATCAGATTGTGATCAGAAATGTGAAACAGTTGCAGGACGAAAACACACTCCTTGAAAACATCTGTCTGGACTTGAAGAAGAAGAAGAGGGGCATCTTCGGAAGAAGGATGCAAGACAGACAGACGGAGATGGACAAGATGAAGCGCAAAATGCAGGACCAGGAGACTAAGAGGTCCGAAAAAGAAGAGAAGAAGAGCCGTAAGATCCTCCAGGGCTGAACATCGCAGACTGAACACCACAGACTGAACACCAGTAGAAACACATCACTTATACATTATACACATAGTCACACACATAACCATAAGTACACATAGATGTACACATAAATACACATACACATAGTCACACACATAACCACAAGTACACATAGATGTACACATAAATACACATACACATAGTCACACACATAAACATAAGTACACATAGATGTACACATAAATACACATACACATAGTCATACACATAAATACACATACACATAGTCACACACATAAACATAAGTACACATAGATGTACACATAAATACACATACACATAGTCACACACATAAACATAAGTACACATAGATGTACACATAAATACACATACACATAGTCATACACATACAAATAAATACACATACACATAGTCATACACATACAAATAAATACAAATAAATACACATACACATAAATACACATAGTCATCTCCTCCATGAAACGCCACCTTAACGTGGTAACCGCCCGAACAACAGGTGGAGTAACATGTTTTTTGTTCAAGACGACCTAGAGAGTCACGTCTTTGTGTGTGGAAGTTGTTGGTTAGTTTATTTATCATAGACTTTATTGCCCCGTGCATCGCCACTGCTGCTTTTCATCGCGGACACATTTGTCCCGTATTTTCCTCTACAACTGTGTGCACCTCTCGACCAGCAAACCGCCGTTTGTGGAGATCTCCCTCCGTGAATCCAACCCACTTCTACAACCCGCCAATGACGGCTTGAATAAACGGCCATATTTACGCATATCTTCTGACAAAAGCTCTTTAATCTGATCCGTTCTCTCGTAAACATTCTTCCTTTTAATAATGGCGGTATCGGGCTATGAAAACAGAAATATGAGTCTCACAGCAAAATGTGTAATAGCTATGTTGGTCCTCAAGGGAAAACGTAATATTGTCACAATTTGCCCCCCAAATTGTGCTTGTTTTCATAGCACAATACCGCCATTATTAAAACGACTGTTTATCTATTTATCTGTTTATCTGTCTATATATATATATATATATATATATATATATATATATATATATATATATATAGAGAGAGAGAGAGAGAGAGAGAGAGAGAGAGAGAGAGAGAGACCTGCTCATGTACATTTCCATGAAATATTACAGAATAGTTTCTGAGAAAATTTAAGGCAAAGTTAGTGAAAATTACATGTATAGAATATTCTATTCGATACGGCGCGTAGGCATATAAAGAGACAAAGAACATAAGAAATACTGAATGCGGATTTAATTACTGCACAAAGTGCAAATCCCATCCATCCATTGTCAGACCGCTTATCCTGCACACAGGGTCGCGGGGGGGCTGGAGTCCATCCCAGCCAACTTCGGGCGATAGACAGGGTACATCCTGGATTGGTCGCCAGCCAATCGCAGGGCAACACAGAGACACACAACCATTCACACAACTACGGGCCAATTTAAAGTCCCCCAAGTTGGGGGGACCCCAGTTGTCCCCGTTAAATTAGGAAAAGTCATAAAGAAATTATGTTAATTATCTATTTAGAGACATTAAACATTGAATGGGGGTGGCACGGTGGCGTGGTGGTTAGCACTGTTGCCTCACAGCAAGAAGGTCCTGGGTTCGATTCCACCCAGTGGCCTTTCTGTGTGGAGTCTGCATGTTCTCCCCGTGTCTGCGTGGGTTCTCTCCAGGTTCTCCGGCTTCCTCCCACAGTCCAAAGACATGCGCTGGGGATCAGGTTAATTGGGGACTTTAAATTGCCCGTAGATGTGTGAGTGTGAATGGTTGTGTGTCTCTGTGTAGCCCTGCGATTGGCTGGCGACCAATCCAGGATGTACCCTGTCTATCGCCCGAAGTTGGCTGGGATGGACTCCAGCCCCCCCGCGACCCTGTGTGCAGGATAAGCGGTTTGACAATGGATGGATGGAAACATTGAATGGGGTCAAATTGACCTTAAACGTAATAGGAGGGTTAAATACATTTTCTTTCAAATGAAATGAAATTGAAGGTGATGTGTACCTTCACCAGGTCTTCCTCCATCTGGGCCTTCTGTTTGTGTGTATGTGAAATTACAATATAACCTTTTAACCCTTAGTCCATACTGTTCCTATTAAATACATCCACAGTATTGTGAATGCAAATTGTAAACTACAGATTGATTTAGAATATCTAAATAGCCAAATCTCCATTATGAATGTATGATTAAACCTTAATAAATGTTTTATAGATCAGGGATTAGATTTTTACTTTACAACATTATTAGTATTTGAAAATATAGACAAAATATAACACATTTTAATGTCAACATGAACTAGGATAAAGTGAAAGCAGAGTGTTGGTTGGATTTGGTTTAAAGACAGTTCAAAGATTGAGAAAAGACAAATATCATGCTACATTAACTGATTTTCATCTTTACTTTTCTCAAAACCTATAAAGTAATATAAAATAGGATCAAGTGAAAGCAGAACGTTACCAATTTTGGATCTCGTTTAAAGACCGTTCAATATCATATCATCTTTACTACTACTACTATTTACTCAACTATTCAGTAATATTTCATGGAAATGTACACGAGCATATAGGAGGTCAATGTGAACTGGGATCAAGTGAAAGCAGAGTGTTACTATTTTTGGATCTGGTTTAAAGACAGTTCAAAGATTGGGATATGACACTTTACAAAAGGCTGGAAGCCCTTTTACCGTAACACCTTAAATAGAGGCACGTTTCATTTTGAAATGCGGTCCACATGACCGCAGTTGTCAGGTGCGACGGTGCTGTCGGTGTACGAGGGGTTTAAAGGGCCGAGTCTTCGTCTGCGGTGCGGCGAGACGTCGGCGTTAAATCGCTCGACGCTCGACAGCCGCGTTCGTTGTCATGGCATCGTGCCTTCGCGAGCAACGCAACGGCCGGCCGACGGCAAGCCGGTCGCTCTCTTACCCGACCGACGCGGAGGCTCAGGTGACCAAATCAATCGCCATCTTTTCGGGTTGAACGAGGAAAGGAGGCTCTGCAGCGAGGAGGAGGAGGAGGAGGAGGAGAGGGGGGGGGGGGGAGGCTGTCGTCGCTTTCTTCCAAACAGCGATACATCCAAATGCCCGACGCGACTGATGGTTGTTTATGTTCGTGACGAAAAAAAAAATGGCGACCTGAATCAGCTGTTGCAGAAAAAGCTCGTTTTGGGATCCGCGCAGTCGACGCAGTGCGCGGCTTGACAGCGAGGCGGCGGTAGGCGCGCGCACTGCGCTCACGGTCGCGCGGCCGTTGTCATGTTGCCACGAGGTGGCGCAAATGCACCGCACGACAATTCACGCTATGTAGCTCGTGGAGGTATTCTTACTGGGGTTTTTTTCTTTGTGCGTAGGCGTCTTTCTGAGGCCGTGCCTCGTTTTCTCAGAACTCGACTCACGAATCCCGTCTTGCAAAACGCACTCAAAATATTGCTACGTGTTTTCAAAACGGAATCTGTTGTTCAAATGACGCCCACACTATCACTTGAACAAACAGGTTTCTTATCAGGAAACGTATTCTTTTTGCTTGTTTGGTGTCATACTTATTGCACATGCACTGTAGTTTATTGTGAAATATGTTGTAAAATAAACAAAAGCAATGCCAAGAAATTTTTAGTTTTTATCTAAATAATCACATAATGTTTCAAGTTGACGTGATCAAATACAGGGGTTTGAATCTCAGTGATTATGGCTCTCCTTGATCTTTGTCTTCCTCCTCTTCCTCCTCATGCTATGCATCTCTCGCTCCCCCCACATGTTGGTATCCATTGCTTCAAAACAGACAAGCTCACCTACGGCTCTTTTAAACCGCTAAAGCTCTAATTGTTAACAATTGTATTACCCATGTTTGCCAATATGTGGAGTGAGTGTGTTTTACTGTAAACATAAAAAACTAATGCATTTTTAAATAACTTTTAAAAACCAACCTCTCACACTGATTCACACGCCATTGGTGTTGTGATCAATAGCAGAGTGAGAGTATTGAGAGCACATGCTCGCCTGAGGGACCCTGCGTGAGCGTGACTTTAAAGTAGATAAATATCTCACATTTGCCCACAACAATACTACATTTTGCACCCCGACAGAGAGCACACATTGCAAACGAACAGACAGGAAAAGATTTACTCTTTGATCAGTTTCACATGCGTGTTTTTGTTTTAGTTCTCAGACGCCAACACTGGCAGAGAGAGAGAGAGAGAGAGAGAGAGAGACATTGGCAAACCGGCCTGAGAGGATAAAGAGTGGAGACAGAACATGGCATCTCTGGTGATACTGACCTTGATGATATGTTTTCTGTGGAGGCCTTGTAACATCTCACACAAAAAAGCTGTGCCTTTGGGCTGTGTTTTTGAGTTTCAACGTCTTTGCTTGCGTAGTTTTCATGTGCACCCAACCCGTGGTGTTCATGTGTTACAGCGGACTCAATATGTGGATGTATGTTCTTATCAAATTGTGATTCATTCTTTTTTTTAAGTAGTTGAGCTGCAGTCTTTCCCCGTTACCCATGGCAACTGCAGAAGTGCCTTGGGGAACACTAGAGGAAACTCCAAGAATACAAATGTGAGTGGCAGTTATTTATTTAATTTTCTAAACCATTGAATCTTTGCATTGTTTGCCGGGTTTAACTTAAGACGGTTTGGAGGACCTGGTCTACAGTATGTTAAGTAGTTCAAACTAGCTTCAACTCTTCCAGCTATAGCCTTTAACAGATAATAAAGTCATCAATTACTGCAGTGAGTCACATAACCACAGACTCATTTCATACTCATTATAGCCATTTTACTTGATAAGTAGATTCTACTGATTATTCTGTACTTCTTCACCAGTGGGATTTTAAACGCAGACCATTTTCCTGTAAATGATTATTTTTAGATTGTTGTGTTGGTACTTTTCCATCAGATATCATTCCTGCACAAGCGCACACATGCAGACGCACCGAGACACAAACACCACGATCACCAGATAAGGACAACAAGAAGCTATCTCGCCATCACCCTGCTTGGCCTTTAGTCGGCCCAGTCACAACAGCCCTTCTTATCTGCATCATCCATCAGAGCCCACAGTGGAGGAGCCTCATGCCGACGTGGAGGGCACCGCTTAGAGCCGCTGTCTGCCCCGGTCAGGGCGGAGAGGAAAAGTCCGAGGCCTTATCGCACAGAGAAAGCTTTCCGAGTGCCCGCGGATCACAACGACACAATAGCGGTCTGACTAATCTCGTCCCTCGTACAGCGACGAAATATTCTGGACGGTAAAGAACATGGAAGAGCTTTACTTTGTAACACTGTAGGTGTTGAACGCGGGCCCAGCATTTGTCCAGCATCACATGTACAGCTTCATTGTTCATATCCTCTCAGGGAAAGTGTGTTATGGAAAGAGTCGTGCTGAGGTCTGCAAAAGAACATAGAACAACAATGTTATCTTTAAATCATCAGCTGTGCCACATGACGTTTTGGGCTGTATGCGGGGGTCTTCCGGGGAGAATCATGGGGCCGATATTTAACAATACATCTCTAGGATTCACAACCAAGCCATGGGTGTAGATGAACTCTCAGGCCTGCAGCGAGAACGTTTGTCCGTCTCAGCCCTGTAGACGTTATATTCATTCTGTGGAGCCCCCCTCCCCCCCCTTTTCAGTCTCTGCAAAGCAGTGCGTGATATGCCCCCCCCCTTGTCCACACGCAATTATCAACCACAACAAAATTAGGAACAGCACATGCAGATTCAATTTTATCTTGATCAGTGCAACATGGAACAAAGAGAGAAAGCCGTCATTCTATGTGCAGGAAACTGCTGGAGAAGTTGACATCTGTCTGTGTGGTTCTACGCACACACGTAATCAATATTCACCATTCCAGCTTTCTTCCTTTTTCCCAAGTGCAAAGGGATCCCTCCATCTTCAAGTGTCACATCATCTCTTATGTCACACCGTTTTTATCCGCGTGTGTCGGTGCTAGTGCGAGAATTTGTGCGCCTCGGTGTGTCATGTTTGAGCATGCGTGTGATCCAGGACATGTTTTATTTATTTATCTCTTGAACAAACAAGGATGACAGCGTGCTCTTGTGTGCCGCTGCGTCCCCGCAGGGATGTTCCCTTCCATGTCTGAACAATTCGTGGGCTTTCTGCACGCTGGGTAAAGCCCCGAGGAATCACCACGTGTCAGGTCGGTGCCGTGTCCTTAAACGCATCATGATAGATGTGAGGTGACACGGAAAAGCGCTTTACGCATATTTAGTCAATCATTAACATCAGACGACAACATTGTATTTTTTCAAAGAATTGCCATAATATTTTGGCTCAGACACATATTTCAGTTTGTTTATTTGATTCAAACGTCGGAGGTAAACTGCACGCTTTCATACATTTTGGGTGTGTTTTGAGATTTTGTTGCTCATTCTGAGGATCATATAACTGCCACCATACTTTTTCTATGTTGTGGTGGCGGTTGTGGTTTCGGCTCGTCTGCAGAGGGGGAGAGAGAGGGGGAGAGAGGGGGAGTGACTCAGGGAACGGTGCCAGGTGAAGGCGATTGGCCTCAGCTGAGCTGAATGTGTATTGATTGTGTTTGTTTTTGTTATTTAAAATGCAGTAAGGGCGACCGGGACGAGAGAGAGACGCCGGGAGCTCTCTGTGGGCTGACAACGGAAACAGTAAATAAAAAGCATTATCAACCAAACCTGCCGTGTCCTGCCTTATTCCGGTACCCCCGAGAACCTGCACCTGTGACATATGTATTTTCACATATCTGGCACGGTTGCATGCAGAGGTAACACTGAGAAGAAACAATGATCGCTGCCTCCATGTTTGATAAGTAGATGATTCATGACATTTACTGTTAAGGACGCATCCTGCTATTGTCTTACTCTGACTTATGATTCCATGAAACACAACACACGCAAAGAAGAGGCCCGAAGGGAAGGAGGATTCACTTCCTAAATGACAAAAAACACTCTAAACAGACCTTTTCAAGTCTGCTTTTGATGTCTGACATTACTTCTTGAATTTCTATATTGGATGTGACTAATTTATCCCCCCTTAAAAAGTATCACGTTTTTTAAAATGCTCTTATTAAATCAAATGTATTATTGTTATCAATATAAGAAGAAGTTGCCTGGCTCACACACACACACACACGCACATTAACACACAAGCGTGCACCTCTATTGAATTATCCTGGAATGGCCCACATTAGCCCGTATTCCTCCATCTCTCTGGAAGGCTGATTCAGTCCTTACTGTCAACTCAACTGCAAATAAACAGCCGTTGGAGAAACTCCAGGAAGACATTTGTTTTTATAAAGTGGACACGGAGCGAGCAGGTTTATTTAGCTGGAAGCGCTTCTCTTCCTCTCCTGCCTTTGGCCCCGAGCCTTTGGCCCCTTCCAGGGCCCCGGGCTGGCTGGTGGAGCGGAGAGAGGATGTCGACTGGCTGTTTAGCTGGATCCGCTGGCAGGAGGGGCCTCCGGTCCGGCCTGAACAGACACTTGCTGCAGGGGACGGGGCGGTCCGCCTGTTCAGCCTGTTGACGTCAGTCACCCGGCGACCACAGGGCTTGTGTTGGAGTTTCAAACAAGCTCGCTGCCCATTGCCATGGCAGTAAGGACCACCACCATGGAAACACGATGGCCCGCGTCCGCTCCCGTGTTTACCACACAGCAGTCGCCTCGATTTCGCAGAAATCCAGAGGAGGAGTCGGGAAGGTTCAGGTTTCTGGACGTCATCCAGACACAAAATCCAAAGTAAACTAACTCTGCAAAACTTGAACTGTGGTTTACTAATTAATACTCATTTGCAGACCATTATGTAGGTCAGTATATTTTGCGCTGTGTGTGGATATCCTGTTGGCGCGCCAGTTTTCTCGCCTACCAGCTAATTTTCATAGCTAAGTAATGACAACCTTTACATTTTTGTAACCAGGTGAACGCAATAAAAACCTGTCTGACAAGCAGTGCTCTACTGTTTGAGGAACTGGGCTAAGAGCTAATTACAAATAGAACTATTAGAATATAACTGCTAGAATTATTTTTTAATAGTCTGCCTGGAGAGAGAAAATCTAAATAGCTGCAAAAACTTGTACCACATTATCAAGCGAGCTGTCGCTTCTCCATAATGTGAGCAGTGAAGATGAGATGTCTTTCCTCCCTCCTGCTTTGTTGAGCTTACGCAGAAAACCAAATCTTTAAACGTCATCTATGGCCACGTACCATTTTTACCTCCTGTTGATCACGTATTCCAGATGCTTATCGTCTTGAGTCATGGGAGAGTGAATGGCCCTGAAGGCCCAGCACATAAGCATCACTATCTCTGCCCTTCCTGTTTACATTGCCGGCTGGCCGGCCGGAAGTTACTGAACTCAGATCAGAGGGGAGACGTGTCAGTGGCGTCTCTGCAGGGAAGCGGTCGTCTCTTCTACCAGGTTTTTTCCCTCAAAGTTGAAAAACTGGAATTGTGACGTTGACAAAAAACACATCATTCTTAGTTATTTGAATTGCTGACAATTCACTTTAGTTGTGTCATTCTGGCTTCTCTAGGAAGACAAAGAACAAGTTAATCACGTTTGAGCCTCCCAGCTGTCGCCAGCCCAACCAATCAGTTTTGCTGCAGAGGGCGGCTTTTACTAGCTTAGAATCTTCTCTATCCCACGAAATTCTGGTAAATGATCCAATCTTTTATCATGTAAAAAAAAATGCCTTCCTAGAGTTTTGACTGGAACAAAGAAAGAACAAAGTTCATTCTGAAATGTCTTTTTGCTGCTTTGGAATGTGTTGGTTTTATTATTTCTACCAACTTAAAAACTATACAAAACTGTTCATGGGTTTAATGTATTACATTATGTACTATTACCTTGCTGTTTTACAATAGCTAAGGGAGACATTGACAAGTGGCTGTCGTTTAGTCTTGATATACATATAGAAATCCCAAGCACTATGTTAAAAGGTGAAGGCTATACTGTGTACGTAAATATGCTTTGCTTGCGAATTTGATCCAATAATATCCAGACAACACATTTCTGTAGTACATGCCCATTTTATTCATCTGATAGAAAACATTTCTTGAGCACTACATACACAATTTTACCATATATTGTGAGGAAAAACACTGAAAAAATATATTTGAAACAATGCAGTATATTTCAGCAAATATTCCAATAGCTGTACAATGACCAGTCACCGTACACAAAATACTGCAGTAATCCAGCCTTCATAATCCACCGGGAAAAAAGACAAAAACAAATGCAGAACCTCTTCTGCACCACACAACGTGTGGCTGGTTCCGACTGTCCACCATTTCATGGCTGGAATTTTAAAAACAAACGTCCCAAATTATCAAAATCGAGCTGCATAACTTCATGTTACGGTTGTATAGCAAAACAGCTGACAAAAAACAGTAAGACAGAACCACCAGACAAGTTCAGTCAAACCGATTCGATACGGGGTAGTGCATATAAATAATAACAAATATACAGGAAATATTAACAATCAATATTATCATATACAAGGAGGAGGATAATAAATACAGTGTTGGCACAACACAGCTCGGTGCAACAAGATTGTGCGACTCGGTTTACACACGCACACACACACACACACTTTCACGCACCCAGACACGCCGGAAGGTATCGGGTAATGACCCGATATCGGGACCCCCCACCGTTTATTCGGAAGTTTGCACCTTACATTGTGGTACCTTTAAGGTAGTGTTGGACAGATCAGCAACGTGCTGAAGACTGTCGACAGATTCAAAGTGCTGGAATAGAAACTACAATACAATTATTATATTACTAACAGGTGTCTTTTTAAATGTGCACAGTCGTCCGTAGCTCAGAATGATCCAGGACGTGAAGCCTATCCATGTGAGCGGATGAACCAGGGGGATTACAAGGCAGAGACAGAACTCTTGCAGAGAGTTTTAACCTTTCATTTGACTGAACTCGTCACCCAGTTAAATGGCAGCGTCGGGGATCAATTTCCCTTCCGGTCACAGGTTTGATTTTCTTCACTACTGACTCTTCAAGCACGGGTTCACACTCTTTAGAGGTGGCAGTGAAATCATCAAAGTGCTTTCTTGACAGGATCTTTGGAGTTGGTTTAGTTTTTGGACTCGAAATACAAAATATCATTTTCATCAAAGAGGGAAATTGCTTGTGAAAAGTGAATTATTGAAGAAAACATGTTTTACATAAATGTAATGTTACTCATGTTTTCTGAGGTCTCCTTGTCCTATGCCACAAAGTGCAGATTGTGCTGGGAAGTTGTCTGATTTTAGAAATACATCCACAGAACAAGCTCATACTCCCAGAACACGAGGAAGACTGTGTGAGAGAAACGCATCCTTATTGTAGAAAAGTTGACACCTTTTACAGCTACACAAATGTGTTCAATAAATTATAAAAAGACTTACAAAGACAAACGATTGTTGAAAAAAAATAAGAAAAGAAAAAAGGCACACAACTCGAGCGTAAAAAAACAAAAACGTTAAAAATAAAAACTTGCCGAATAGTCATTTCTGGTTGGGCATTTCACCAGGTGGCATCCCGTCCAGACACAATATGAATAATTAAAATGAACATAATAAAAAAACGTCCTGAAGTGCAAATTTGGATTTTTTACTAGTCCCAGTACACAGAAACAAACACCTTCTGTGTCTGTGAGATTCAGTCCTGCCTCAGCAGTCTGACAGCAGTCCCTTCTTTAAGCAACACGCCTCTTCCGGCTCCCTTCCGAAGGGGGGGCTCAAAACAAACTGCCGAAGGGGTTTCCAAGCCTCCTTTTCACGGGTGGCCCCCCCATTCATTCGGGCCCTCTTTTGCCGGGCAGCTCCAAAGAGCGACATTGCAGGATTGCTCTACTGCAATTAAATGAATTCAGCCGAACCAGCAAAACTTGCCGGCCTCTTAGAACACCGTCAGTCTGGCTATGTTTCCGCAGGCGAGATGTCGCACGTCGTCATTTCCACCCTGTCCCCGTCACAGGCGTGTTGTTCAAGTATCACGCCGCCAGCCGTCTCCATCACGGCGTTCTCGCCGCCTGCGTCCCGTTCATCCTGGTCATCCAGGGTCAGCTCAAACTGGAATTTACTCGCCACGGGGCCCCCCTCCAACTCCCCGGGTTGGCCGCTTTCCCCGTCGCTGGTGTAGAACGGAGGGGAGGGACTCTGGGGGATCATGCGTTGGTACCAGTTCCTGTTGTCCTCCAGTGTGTCCAGGATGTCCTGGGCGTCAGGGTGGACCAGGTCTGCCCACGTCTCCCACAGAGGGTGGACAATGTAATCAATGAAGCCAACCTGGAGAAAGATTTAAAAAAGGGATGATATCAGTCAAATGAAAATGAACAAAAAACAACATTTTCTATTTCAGGAGCTAAAGGTGCTTCTTCCCCACCTGTGTTCTCTCCACCGAAGCTGTGTGTTTGTCGCACATTGGGCTGATCTCCATTCCCCTGTCTCTCTCCCGGTCTCCCTGGTGGAAGAACTCCTCCATGATCCTGTCTGTCCACTGCCGGTACAGATCCAGGGGCTTGGTCGGGTTACTCAGGTCCGCACAGTGAACCATGTTACGCAAAACCTGCCAAAAAAAAATAAAACCAACAACGACAATTAATGTCGCGTCCCTCCTTCCCGTGTGCCAGGCTGTCAGCATCACGCGGGTGTGCAAGCAGGCCCCTCACCTGCATCCTGTCTGTGTAGTTGTCCAGCAGCAGAACTCCAGAGCTGGTCACCTTCTTGGTTTCCACCATCGTCTTCAGATTAGCCAGCAGGCTCATGTGTTTGGACATGTCGGTTGCCAGCACCTGGAAGGAGAGAAGGACAGAGGATGATGTAAGAATAATGTAGGAAGTAAGCAATAAAGCAGTCAAGACATTACGCCGAAGGCTGAAGCAGGAGTCCGACAGATGTGCAGACGTTCCCTCACCATGTCGATGACCATCCGCCGCAGCGTCTGCTTCTGCTTCTTGGTGAGGTTTTGGAAGATGTCGCAGTTATCCCCCTGCAGCAGTTTGAAGCCCACAGCCAGGTGGTGGTTCTCCAGCACTGACTCATCGTTGTACATCAGAGCCAGCTCGGAGTCTAAAGGCAGAGGAGGGAGGGGGGGGGGGAAGTGACAGGAAGAAAGACGTTACATTGGGAGCTCTTGCTTTATAAACTCAGGTCAGGTAACTATGGTAACCATGCACTGTCCCTAAAAGCCCACATGTTTGCCTTGTTGTTGCAGGATCCCATTAAACCATGCAAATATATTCAGTGTTATCGCTTTTTTCACAGTAGAGAGGACTTACTGGTGTTGATGAGGAACTGGTTAGACACTCCTGGGTGGTCCACGTCATGAATGGCTGCAGCAAAAATGGCCGCCAAGATCTCCAGATCTGTGAACACCTCCTGTGTTAGAGGAGTAGGGAGAACAATACAGGTCAATGAGCTTTACAGTAACCTGACCGAACAAGGTAAGGTATCAGACAATTGTTTGAGGCCGATCCTTCCGTGCGTCATCGTTTCATGCATGCAGTTTCTCGGGCATGCCAGCATTTGTGACGACAATGCCATTCATTTTATTAAACCAAAACAAAGAGCTTGAGAAATAGGTGCAGCCGATGAATGACACTTTAATGGTGTCGGCTGTCAAATGTATAAGATACCAGATTGTGACTACGTGTAAATTTGGCAAAAACAAAAAGCAAAGACATGCAAAATGCAGCCATTTTTCAACTTTACTTTCTTACAAAACAACAGTGACCGGAGGCGTGATCCCTATAAGTGAAAGTGACTTACATCCAGTGCAGGAGTGGACAGGAGGATGTGTGTGGACTGGGCTACGTCAGCCGCGTGCAGGCTGTTGTGGTAAGCCACGTCGGAGTGATAGTGGTCCTCTAAGGTCAGCATGAACGTCACAAAGGTGTCCGTTGGAATCTTGAACGTCCTCATCAGGTCTCGCTCCTGCGTAGAGGAAGAAGAAAAAAGAAGTGAGATTTCTCAATGAGGACGTTACACTGTGTGAGATCTCGTTTTGAGCTTTTTACCAGCGTACTGTACTGGTGGGCCGACTTTAAAATCAGGTTGGCAAATTGTGAGTCATACATTACTGAAAAGGCGAATATGAAAACAGTTCGCCCTCCCGCCATGATGATTCACAGCTAGAAAATCATTTCAAGTGCTAATGTCCCTCTAGCAGATGTCCCTGTAGGGATACTGACAGCTGAACATACTACACACACCAACGTGTGCCGTGCCTTACGCCCTCTATTCCAGCATGTGTTCATGAATGATGTTGTTGTTGTTGTTTTTTCACATCATACACACTAACCTGGAAGATGGAGTACATGATGGATGTAAGCGGGCGATTGCGGGAGTGCTCGGCCACTTGGAAGATATTTAAGCCCCATTTGTTAATGCCCTCCAGGTCCTGTAGGAGAACAGACCAGACAAAGACTTTCAGACGACTGCACGACTTTCACGTTATATACGGACAAACGTCGACCTGTCAATCGCTTACCTTCGACAGCAGCTCCTCCTGGTCGGTCTTCACCCCAAAGCGATTGTTCGTGCTTGCACAGATGCTTGGTGTGTGGCTGACCTTCCTCACCCCGCTGATCTGAGTCATCATCCCACTCTGCTGCTGCTGTTGCTGCTGCTGCAGTTGCTGCTTTTGTCTCCTCTTCCTTTCCCTGGACTTAGGAACTGGACACGGAAGCTCCAACTCATTTTGCTTCTCTGCAGAGGAAAGAAGACACACAATATAGTTTTTTTTAAAAAGGTGCTTCTCGTTTACTCCAAAGACAGTAGAATAAGCTTGGGGCTGTTACGTAAGCCTCCTGGCTTGTACCGAATAAACAAAGTTAACACAGGCAGATAGTTGACCTCTTGACAGAAAAGGCTGCACAGAGTTGTTTCATTAGGAAACAATCCTTCAGTTAACTTTGCTAGAAAAAGACAAAAAGCAAAAACAAAAACATTTCAAAAAGGCTGCTACCTAAGTGTTATGATGACAATTCTGAGAAACCCTGATAATAACAATACACAGAACCATAGCTGCTGGCTCAGACTAGGCCGAAATGTTTATGTCATATTGTATTCTTTGTGAGCATGCAGGGTGTGTTTCGGTTCGTGTCATTCAGTCGCATGGCGGGCCCCCAAGGGTGTGGGTGTGTGTGTGTGTGTGTGTGTGTATCAGTGGCTCGGCCTGAATATGTGCACCACACACACACACACACACACACACACAAATATCTGTGCTGCAGGATCCACAAAGCACAGGAAGAAAACGGTCTCAATACAACGGACAGCTGTTGGCTGGAATAAAGACGACAACAAAACCACTAAGCTTCAAAGATAAGCTTCTCTCTGCGCTCTGGTGTTTGTCTCTCCTCCATCACGGTGAGCGTTAGCGCTACAATGCATCCAGCCCTGTTCCCCTTGTAGGTGTCACTGTTTGGAGGCGAGAAGATGGCGGCGTTTTCACAACCGGGAGAGAAACTTCGTTCTGCCCGCGCCAAAAAAACTTGCCCGTTTTGACCTTGTAAAGCCCTTGAGGTGAATGAAAAGTGGCCGGGGGAAACCCCCGCCTCTCCTCCTGATAAATAAGGCGTGACGCCCCGGGGTGCCCACAAACAGGCTCCCTTTTTCCCCCCCCCCTCCCCTCAAGAGAGAAGCTTTCCCGGAGAAAACCCCCCCCCCCCCCCCCCCCACACACACACTCTCTCTCCACATCTCCACATCTCTCTGCAGTTAGAGCGAGGGGACTCTCTGCCCTCCCCCATACCAGATCAGACTGGTTTGAGAGCAGTGGAGCAGACGAACTAGGATTTTCTCCGCTACTTGCCACACGCTCTGGGTAACCTCTGTCATCTCTGAAGGAGAACGGCACGTTTAAGTATGTTGCACCTATGCAAGTAATATTAGAGTCTGGATCAGTGCTGCAGTGCTCACCTAGGAAGGTGTTGGAGATGTACTCGGAAACTTGGTTGCCTGAGCGGCTCATCTCAGACAGGTGGCTTAGCTCCCGGTTCAGCATCCTCTTGAACTGGAGGGATAGAAAAAGGAAAAACAACAAGATGAGGTCAAATTGTCTTTACACAAAAGTATATATTAGTTTTTCTGCAGTTTCAACAAAGCACTTCCTGTTATGTTCCCCTTTCCCTTGAGAGGACGGACGTGGTTTTTTAATGCACCATATAAGGTCAGTGTTTATGGCTCCTCGGTCCTGGTTTGAATTAGCCCCCAAGACAACTGACTGCCGAGCATTTCAACAAACACAACAACAGCGCATAGCATGCAAAATCAGGGAATCACACACACACACACACACACATCCAAGTGTGCAATCAAAACACAACAAAATCAATGTGGCAATTCCGGCTGCATGGGGAAAACACACGAATATACAGTAGCCCCGTCTGTGACAGCACTCCTCTGAGACACACCTTGATGTATCCCCAGGACACAGAGAACAGGTAGTTGGCCTCAGGCATGGTGCGGAGCTGTGCTGAGCCCCTGGCGCTCCCCAGCAGAAGCCCTGTATGCTCCTCTCTGAGTGGACCCCCAAGGCTGAGCTCAGCCCCACAACCTGGAGCACAGAGCGCCACCGAATCCTCGCCTTCCAGCGGTCGACTGCGGGGAAAAATGCCCCGGTTGAAGTGTCTAGAGACGGGCTGCGGCGGATCCCCGCATCCGATTGCGCCTCCTCATCGCGTCGCCCACCGTTTCCCAGGATCGCTGGCCGAGAGTGATGGAATCCCCCCACCCCCCCCACCACCACCACTCCCCTGTATTTCCTCGGCTTGCTTTTCGGTTGTCACTGCCTCTGTCCGTGTCTTTAAACCCCCTTTTCTCCTCCTGCCACCATCTAAACGTCATCCGGGGGGGAAATCCAGCTTTCCCAAGCTCAGATGGAGCAAGGCTGGGAGGAAGGGCAGGCTGAGGGAGAAAGGAAATATGGGACAGAGACAGAGAGAAGGAGGCGGGGGCGGGTGGTGGGGGGGGGGTGGGCTCCAGCCGTAGAGCCCCCTGTGGCAGACTGATGGATTCTCTCTCTTTGCCTCCCACCCTCGCAAAACACTGAGCCATGCACGGCACTGCAGATAATCGGAGTTTGGAGGATCCCCCCCACATGTTTCTCTCGCTCTCTCTCTTTCTCCCTCACTCCTAAGCTCTCTGCAATCCCCCCCTCCCACCGTCTCTTTCACCCCTCCCAAACTTGGACTCTCGCCCTTCCCGATTGGCTCTCCTTGCTCAGTAATGCAGAACAGATCCAACGCACACTGCGCAATGTGAGGCTTCAAAGCACCGACGCATCCGTCCCACGGCTGAGGAGACGCTGGGTATGAATTTACCAGATTGGGGTTCAGTCTTTATTTTTCCTCCGTGGCAGGAATTGCTGTGCACGTTCCAGCTGACATTTATTCCAGTGCATTTTAAAGACCCGTCCTTGCTCTCGATTGAGACAAACGGATGAGAGTTTCTTCAGTCCGCCGCCCACCAGAGCACCACCAATTGCACGTCAACCTGAGCGCCATGGCAACAGAGTCACGTGGCTCATGCCATTGCTCTCACGGTGTTCCCCACTCTAAAACACATCGCATCACATCACACACAAGCCGCACAATGCACAATCTGTGGCAGAGATGAGCTGGATTGACACAACTAGGCTAGACAAAAAATCCAGGACGCGGCTTCAAGAAGGCAGATTCTGATACAAAATAGCTTTTCTCGTGCAACAATCTTAACACATTCTTTACAAGGAATGCAATGGGATAATGGTGCAACAAATCCCCTTTCTGGAATTGTGGTTCCATTTCCTGTATTAATAATGTCTGAAAATTACAAGCTAATCATGCCTTTTTATAGGCATTTTACTTTTTGGATTTTACAATGGGGTCTTTTCTTCGCAGAAGCTTAACAGGCATGAACTATCAAGCAGACTGCGAACATCAACTTGACAGTGCAGATACAATACCCCTTTCAAAGCAGGGGCTGCTTCTAAAGCCCAAACTGCCAGAGGTACTCCATAAAAATCAAAGACAGCTCTTAAGGACAAAAAAAATGTGAGCTTGGAATAAGAAGGCTTTATTCCCTTCAGAAGGGAGTTAGTAATTGATTCTTCAAAGCAGTGGAGCAGCATGGATTTGTTTGACCTCTAAGAAAGTAATCGCGCACCGAGATACATTTCAGTCGCTCTGAGTCAGAAGTGCAGCATATGCAACGCGGCATGGTGACCAGTCTGTGAGTGTTCAGGACAAAAGATGACTCAATGCATGGCCTAATCTCATGCATCCTTTTAAGTTAGTCAAGAGGGCCCACACTCAGGGGGAAAAAAACAAAACCCTGATCTTAGGTAACCTCCAGGAGTTTCATTAACCCAAGAAAAAAAACTGTGGTTAGTTCTCAGAAGATGAGCGGATGGCTCATAAATTTTGAATATTCAAAACAGGTGCACATTGAAGTCATTGTTTCGCAAATTCCGCAATGCAAAGTACATGTTTGAATGCAGGTTGAAACAAAGTTCGAACAACTACACATGAACACAAAATGTGTCAAAAGTTTCTGTTTCAGCCAAATGTGCCACCGGACCAGTGTTTAGTTCCTCTGGACTGAATCCAAACGAGCAAGCAGAGAAAGCAAAATACAATTCAATATTTGATCATCTTCTCCAAAGAAATGCCCTCTGATCAAACTAATTCATAATGAACACATTTTTATGAATGCACCAATGTATAAATAACAACCTCCATATGAGGGACCAAACTCACAGAACAATGCAAAATAACTCACCTTTTTCAAACTTGTGAGCACGCTAAAGTTTTTCATCTGCTTTTCAGAACATAGTCCCATCGTCACTCAACGAGAAAATGAGCACAAGCACGAGCCGAAAGAAATCCTGTGTCACAAGAAATAACTTGTGTGTTCGTCTGAGGCTCTGCCTGCTTCCTCCCTTGGTGCTGAAGTAAGGCAGGAAACTTATAGTGGTAAAGCTGACTTGACTGACTGGCATATACGCTTTAACAAAAGGTCGCTAGCACCTCCCTCAGACACGGGGCGGAACATGTGTCCCCACCTACTTCCTCTAAACTTGATAGGAAGCGGGTTGTCTGCCAGTAAAGGGACCGACTCTTACAATGTCCTCAGGCACCAAACAATTAACATACCTAAGTTCATCACTGAAAAGTCCCAGAAAACATGTTCAGCATGATCAGCATCATCAGCCCGGCGGCACAAAGTCAAACGAAAAAGTTTCCAAGCTCAGTTCTTACACTAATCTTCGACCTTGACTGAGAGTATTCGACCGAATATTGCAATGCCTCTGCTGTGCAATATGACAAAGTCCACACGGGGGGGTCCAACGCTGCGTCTGTCCTCCGCGTGGACGTTTGCAGTGTCAACACACAGCGGTTGACACCATGCGGGTTTAGTTTAACACAGGATAGATATTCCTAGAAAGTGTTGATAAAGCCTACTTAAGCATCGGGTTGCAGAAAAAAGCATAGTTTCATATTCACCTCCTCGGTGTCAGAAATCTGCTGATGTGATAGAAAATAAGCCAGACGTAGAGCGTTTCAATAACAATTAAGCACAGAAATCACTGCTGCAGCTTGTCTGATCCGCTCCAGCAGCCTTTCAGTCAAACGGAATCACTACGCTGTAATTTAACGTCCATTACCCCGCGCTGCAGCTACGGACCCACCGCTACATCTGTTTCAATCATTTTGTCATTTTTTTTCCCCCCCTCCCTCTGAAGACGGCGGCGCTTCAAAGTCGAAATGACCACACGTGAGTCGAAGTTCCTACTCGCTCGCGCTTCGCTCGGGGGGCTCGCTCGCACGCTAGCCCGCAAAGCGCTAAGCTCCCCTAACTGGATTCAGATGGCGGTGTTTGTGCAAGGCCTCCACCGGCATCGGCGTGGAAGTGCGGCGTGGGCTAATGACAGTGAGGGGCAGGGGGAGCCGCTCCCGGCTGTGAGGTCACAGCCGCCCAGGCTGGCGGTCAGCCGGGTGTGTGGTCCCCGTCGGCCCGGACACACCTGTGCCCTTGGACCCAGAATAAAGAGACGGACGCCCTGGCTTCTCAGACGTGGGCTCAATTACATCCATGGGCTGCTGAAGAGAAACAGGCTCTTTGTCGAACGTCGCATCATTTAAATGTTGGAGAGCAACAAAAGTCTACAGTTGCTGCATTAATACATTTTTCTTATCGATTTTTGTTTTTTTTATTAAAAACTAGAACACTGACGAATCTCGACTGTGACACCGTGACTAGTTGAACCCTTGGAAAAGCACCAACAATGCTTGGTGGGGGTGCTGGGTCACCCTGGGAGGACTCTGACTCAGGGTAAACAATGTCCTCGGCCTGCCTGACCGGGTGGCTGCGCTGGCGTGCGTCCGCAGGGCCTCGGGCTCATTGTCTCGACGGCCCCCGGTGACGCGCTTATGCGCCAAGACTGGCTAACAAGGGAGCAGAGGAGAAGGGGCAGTGGGGGAGGGGTCACGGGAAATAAAGAGAGACAGGAAACCGGTGTCACGGTCACCAGTTACCGCTGACAACAACACCACCCCTCCCCGTCCCAATCCGCCCTCCGACCACAGGCTGGAATACAAACGGATACGGACAACACCACCCTGGGTGTTTATAATTTGCCGCCGCCACAGAGTCTCCTCTGGCGGCGTGGGGGTTGAGTTATGCTGCGCACTCTACACTTATTTTGGTTGAGCTCCGCACAGACAAAATACACACGAAAAAATGAAAGAGAAGTAATGAGATCCAAATAGCTGCTTTGTGCAGTCAGAAACCCCACAGTGTGTCTTATTTAGATTACCTCCACCCGGTACTACACTTACATCAAACGTCAAGTTTCAATGAATAATTAATAAGAACATATGATTGATCTTTTCAGGCACACTAGCAGGGATGGCAAAGTCTATTCTTCAAGTGTTTGCACAGATATTTTTCTGGTCCCAGAAGATGTTCCAATGACTATTGATTACTCCATCATCATCATCATCATGTATCATCATCTATATGATGCCGTAGCTTTCCGACATTTCCATCAGGCTCAGATGTACTAATTGCTCGTTGGCCAATATTAGCACGGTGACACACGGAACAGAGTTTTGCATTAACACATTTGTAAGCAACGCAGAAATGTTTGATCGGACACAAACGGGACATTATTTCAATACTACATCCTTGTACGTATTCATCATGAATACGCCCCACGTCATGGATAGAAGAAGAATATTCAGCTTAATAAAGAGTGTTCAATTGCCACACCTACTATCTATTATAATTTGAATAATATAAGAACATGGTTTCACTATTTTAACAGGAAATCAGTAGTTATTTATGCAAAACAATACAGTTCACACACAACTACAGAGAGGTTACTACTTTGCAAGTGCGTCAATGTGGCAAAAAGCTATTTACATTTTGCACCCGCTGCGCAAATTGGCCACCACACTGCAACAATTCTACAGCCGCGTACAAGACAGTGAGGCCCCCGTACCAAGCTCATTGTTGACAGTGAACTACAGAACGCATACTGTGTAAATGATGATTCTGAAACATTGAACAGCAGTTGGACGAGCGCCTTTCCTCTGAATTCTAGTCTATCAATTTTAGACAGCGCTGTGCAGAGCGGGTGTGCTGTGTGCATCGTTGTCACAGTGGATGGACCAGGCAATGACAGTTAAACATATATTACAATTTTAAGTTGCCCTTAAATACACAATCACAAATATCCTGTCATTTAGAGCATATGAGCATAAATATATAGATATATAGTCAACATAGTAGTCAACTTTTAAACATGCAATTTGAAAATTGAAATCTCCCTTATGGCAGTTGCAAAAATTGTGTGACCTTTTTAAATGGACGTGAGAATTAGCTAATAGAATTTTAAAAGTCCCCTCATTAGACATCACAACGCGCCGTCTGCACATGCAGTAATCCGTGGGGGCGGAATGGTCCTACCTTGTTGGAGGCCATGTCACTGACGGAGCGGTAGGTCTGGATGGTCTCCAGCTGGTCCAGACACCAGTCCAGCTCCTCCATGGTCTCCATAGCCAGCTTCTGGTAGGAGTCATCTGCCAACAGACACATGGACACGTATTCAGGCCCAAGAGGATCCATGTCCACGGCGGGGCCCTCTGACACCACGCGCGGCGGCGGCGGTGGCGGCGGTCCGATGGGCCGAGTGTGGCTTGACCGGACGGAGGACTGGCCCGCGGGGCATCCGGCAGACGCGGAGGAAGGAGGGGAGGTGTGTACACACAGCTCCTTCATCTTATTACTCTGCTCCACCACTTCACAGACTTCGGACAAACTCGGGGCCAGAGTTGCTGTTTGCAGACTCTCTCTGTAGCCTCTTTCTCTCCATGAACCCCCCCGTTCCCTCGTCTCTGGTGCGCTCCCCAAACTCCCTCCCACCCGGCCTGGTCCTCCCCGCCCACCCACCCACTCTCAGATCTCCCTCCTTTCGCTTATCCCCCCCCCCCTCCTAGGGTCACTCTGGCTGCTGAAAAAGTGGTGTGAAAACCTCCTGCAGCCTCCTGCTGTCCGTAACCCCCCCTCCCATTAAAAAGTGATTTGTATACACAGTCTGCAGTGGGGCTGCGGGGGGGGGGAGGAGAACAATTTGGCTTCTTATACTCCCTTAATGATGTTGAATCTCTTATTAATCTCTGCATCAACTATTCTTAAGTATTGAGACAAAAGGGAGTAAAAGAGAAAGAGGCTACATGAATTTATTGAATGCACGTTGTTATTTCTGCAAAGCAAAATGCTCCAAGAGGCTCCATTCCAGGAAACGTCCTCTCTGAAACATGCAGCCCACTTGTAGTCTTCACACTGCTCAACTGCAGCAGGAGCATCACACACTCCCCCATAATCAACAATCCGGCTCTCTCCTGTCCGAGGGAGGGAAAAAAAACATATTTATTTCAAACACCAAACTCTGTGGAGCAACACGAGAGGCAAACTCTGACTCGCGTGCCAAAAGAAACTAAAGCGCTTCCTCTTTGGCACGGAACTCACGCAAAACATGGAGCGGAGCTACTGAAAAGGTGGAGCGACAGTCCAAGCGGTCATCCGGTTAAAGCGCCGCGTCGTTGCCCGCTACGCCTCACACACGTGTTCCGGTCGCAAACTTCAGAGGGGAAAAGGGGGGGGGGGGGAGTTTATGAAAAACTAAAATGTGTGCAGATGATAAAACACGAAGGAACAAATTACGATCAATTCCCTGATAAAATGTTGCTTCAACAAATATCCGCCCGCAGAAAGTAAACGCTGAGCACATCTGGATCCCCCCCCCCCCCTCCCAACTTCCTTTTTCTATGGGAAAGACTGATCTCTACTTCATAGGGCTTCACACATGGAAGACATTTACCCCATATGCTTAGTGAAAACGGGACAGCCAGCGTGCTGCTGCCCGATTTACGTCAGCGCGTAGTAGATCAAAGCTCTTCAAACAGCAGAGCCGGTGTGCAGACGCTCACAAAGAACTTCAATGAAATCTCAGTCAAAATACGTGCAGCTCGGGAACTCCCCCCCCCCCAGCGTAGAACGGTATCAGAACAACATGACGACAGCGACTGTTTTGAATGTCAAAGTTTAGAGTTCAACTGCAGTTCAATCGCGACTATTAGGAATCATGCCAGCGGTTCCTCACAGCACTGGCCTCACTCCTCGGGTCAGGCCGATTTTCCTTTGACTTGAGCTCCAGGTTGGGGAATACAAAGAACCCCGTGGTTACAGAACACCGCCGGACGCCAGAGCCTCACAGTTCAAACCCTTCACTGGAACCACGGGCATCCGAGCCGCGCGCGTAAAAGTCAGTGACGCGCGCGGCAGGAAGCTCGGCCTGAAACCAGCTCACGCACGAGGTGGAGAGCTGTTGAAATGGGGTGCAGACCAACGTGTGGCAGTCAGTTGGGCCATAAGCTGGCGAGATGTTGTCAAGAACACCTCCTTGACCACATCCTGCCCCCCCCCCCCCTTATTTCCTCCAATGAGAGCATTTGGACACATTGGGGAGTTCAGCAAAGAAGTCGTGATTCATCAAAGTCTTGGCTCATCACCGCTGCCTGTATGACCAGGACGCAGGTCATTTTAAAGCTGGTGACTGATTCATACACACACACACACACACACACACACACACAACTCACAGTGTGACGTCAGTAAAAACCTTAAAAAATGTGCTGGTTTTGGTGTTTGGCTTCATACCAAATGCTCAACGCAAGAACAACTAAAGCGGAGCTTGACGTGTCCGTCAGCTGGAGGACACGACAGGACATCTTATGATCCTAATTAGGGAGGAGGAGCAGAGGGGGCTGCTGAATCCATCACTGCGTTGTGGTTGATCATAAATACAGCGCTAAATGGGCTGACAGACATTTCACAATGTCACCAGTCAAAGGTGGCGTGACGCACGCTCAGTCTGAAAAACCTGCTCCCAGACAGAGCGCGAGGTACTTTTCCAGCCTTTTTCTTTTTTTTTCAGTGAGTCTCTCTTTTTTTTCTCTTCTACGATGAGTCCTAATGCTTCGGCCATATGCTCGAGGCGGCCTAGAGGACAACAGGCCTCAGTGTGCAGACAGACCCCGTCTGCCTCCCCTCTCTCCCTCCCCCTCCGACTCTCTCCCCTGTGGGGGCCACAAACCGGCCTCTGTGAGAGCCATCAACTGCACCGACGAGCGCGGCTACGCTCAAGCACCCCCCCCCCCCCCCCCCCCGCTCCGTTCCCGCGTGAAACACCTTCCGCTCACTTCCACCTCACACTGCCCCTCTCTGTGCTCTCAACCCCCCCCCCCCCAAAAAAAACCCAGCTTCCTTTGCTGTCTGACTGGAGTTTGGTGTGCAGAGCTGAACTGCATGATCCATTTCCACCCCTTGCTGATAACATCGGTTTACCTCATTCATTTACTGTGCACCGAATGAAATAGTTATTAAATACTTGAATACGTTTGCATTCAAACATTTAAGTAAAATTAGAAAAGGATCAGAAAATTGTATCAAGGTATCAAAATAAAATGCACTGGAAGTGGAAGGTCATCTTTTTTATTTAATGCAATGATGCTATTATAGCAATGCATGTTCGTTCATGTGAGCAAACACACAGTGCTCATCTAGACCGCTGCATGTCGTGAAAGCGAAAACACACTCTGAAACAGGTACGTGCCCGTACACAGCGCAGTTTGTGTTTCACTTCTCACTGCTGTGATAACAATAATCCTAAAAATAAGGGGTGGACATTTGTAAAAGGTCCAGCCCCCGAAACCACACCATCCCACTGTCTTCTCTCACAAACAACTTCAAACGATTGTGTATCCTCATAGTTTACAAATGGGCCATGACCTCCTCACCTGTCAGAACAAAAGGCTTCACCGCACGGCTCATCAAGGCCTGTTTGGCAGCTCCTTCACAATGCACCATGGAGCGGCGCTGGCAGGGGCCCCGTTTGCGGGATGGGCCGCGGCAAGGTTTATGACTGTGCTGACGTCAATGACATAATTCAAATGCTTAACCAGGCTGCACGCCTGCAGGCCTCCAGATCCCCTCCTCTGGCCGTGAGCCTGGAAAACCCGAAATGGATTCCCGCTGTGGGACAGAGTGACGACCGGCGAGCGGAGCGGACCGCAGAGACTTCAGGTCAAGTTCGTTCTGGCTGTCAGTTCGTGGTCTGCTGTCCGGGTGTCTACTCAAATCTGTTTGTTCATTCTATTAAACGTAAAGGAGTGCACTTCTTCGTCAGTAATGATACGTAAAACTCAAGCGGTCTCAAGCAAAAACAGCATTGGCCTCCACAACAAACAACTTTAACCACTTTCATTACAACCATAAAACAATGCTGCAGAGAATGACAAACTAAAATCTGTCGTTTTAAATATTTGACACAGTTTATTAGGCCTACAAATGGGTTCTACTTGTCATTCTGCGCATTCAACGCAACATGCAAAACGCCCTGCCCTAATTCACAGGTAACACCTTGTTATTCATGTTAGGCAAAAAAAAATCCCACACATTACAGTTGATTGACACGTGCTGTTCTTCCTCTGTCTTCTATCAGAGGGACCTGTTTGTGATCGTCACAATGACTTCTCCTTCAGAACATGTTTACACAAAAAGGTGGATGAGTAATACCTGTTATCTGGGGCCTGACACTCAGCAGCGTACGTGCAAAGTCGGGAAATCTTGTGTAAGCCACGTTTTGATTGGATAGAGCGGTAAAAGTATTGGGCCATCGCATTTGTATTAGTTCCACAAAATCCACACAATACAACGTTAGATATTCATTTCTGAATGACTAACCGTGGACCCTGGACTCCTCCATCTGGGACAATGTTTCATTAAATGCTAGCGATGACAAGCGTTACAGACTCATCGCCGGCCCTTTGAGGTCAAAGACGTCACCATTAAGCAAATTTTCTCGAAAGTGCTATTTATTATGAGCAATAAAGAGCGGAGCTGACAATCAGGGAGCTCGCTGGTATAAAAGTGATGGGGCCTATTCCCAAAACTCTTTTTGTTTATTCTTGCAATCAGACCTTTTATTCCGCCGGTAATATCTCCTGTGTGAAATCTCTCTCTGAATTTCAATGCATTTCCTTTTGCTGTCTGTAGAGCGACGTTCCCATCTTACCTCGCCGTCTCCCGCCAAGGTGGCACGCAACACACTCTTCACTTGGCACGCAACACACTCTTCACTTTTCACTTTTTTAAAATCTATTGACAATCTGAGATCCCTTCGGAGCAGACAATCAATGTTTCACAGAGCTCCAGATTAGCCAGCTCCTGCCCACTCAGACGCAGTTACAACATCCTTTCCACAACTGGTGGGGGGGGTATCACCTCACTAAACACAGATGCAAAACAGGAAAAAATCTGCTCCGCTTTTCCGGTCAAAGAGTTGACGAATACGATACAGAAACCATTACATCACAGGATACGAATACGAGGACGTCTTTCTTTGGAATATTGTTAATTGTTGTAGTCTCCCCCTAAACAATTGCTATTATGTCCCGTAGTGTCAGGTGTGCTGGATGTTCTCTGTATTCTCAGGAGGAGATGACTGGTGACATTCCATGGTGAAACGTGAGTAGGACGCTGAATCAAAAACACAAGAGTATTGTGTGTAAGATGTTTCACACTCATTTAAAATTGGCTTGTTCATACTTGTTTTTCTCATTACATCTTTTCCACGCCAACAACAAGATGGGTTTTTGCACGTCAGAGATTACTCCGCAAAGGGCAAGGTTTGCGAGAAGTGTGGAGGAGGAAGGACAATAAGACTTGTATTCTTTCCTTCTTTCAGCCCATCTGCGCTGATAGGAAGTGGAGATCAAGCGCGTGCACGCCGCGCTGACGTCAATCAGGCTTGAAGAACCAGTGCAACAGGAACTAATGCCCCCCCCCCCTCCCTTTCTGAACTTCACACCTACCTCATCTGAATCACAAGCATTCAAACTCCTTCCGTGATTCTCACCCTGTCTTCTGCAGAGAAGGTGCATGGGAATTTTTTGTCAAGTCACATTTTCCCTAATCAATAACCCGAAAGATCACAGCTTGCACGTGTGAAAAGGCTGAAAGTAGATAACGCACTTTGTGCCGGCGCTGTAAACTGCACTAGTACTGTTGACACGGTTGTGTTCATAAGCAATGGCGTCTCTCCCCAAATGAATCTCCACCAACTAAGTATTTGCATGCAGAGGACTATGTTTGTAAAACGCACATTCTATCTCAGTCTAATGAAACTGTAGGAATTTGCTGACCCTATTCATTGTTTGAGCTTCTTTTTCAATTATGAATTGATGTCAACTGTGCATTTACTATTCAGATACATTTGTATCTCTGGCTTTAATGCATGAAACTGCACCTTTAAGGATTCACATCAGCGCGTCGACACTCATTCTTCAGCATCTTTCGAATCCTTCAAAAGCAAGACTTTACTTTTGATTTCTTACAATGTATAAAACTATTACATAAAAACAATGCAATGCTTATGCAACGCTTGGGACAGGACTCACCTGACAGACAGACTTTGGTGAGAGTGGGCTGATTGGTAGCAGGAGACCTCCTGCAACCGGGGAGAAACATGCCAGAAACCGTTAAAATCCGGTGCCCCGATGCTCAGCAAAGGTTTGCGTCACTTTTTGCGTAGTGCGATGTGGTTGAAGCAGCAGGCCTTGTTGCCACAGCACAGACACACAACAGATGCTCCCTCAGTTCTCTGAACTTTATGTAAGTCAGTTTTTCTTCTATGGAACATTTTTGTAATTGATTGAGTTTTGCCCCGTAGTGACCTCACTCCTCTGGGTGACTGGACTCATGCAAACCTCATGAAACCGCTGCCACTGACCCTTCATGCAAATATGAGACGGGGGGAAATCGCAAAAAATTTAATAAAATGCTGCTCCAAACCAGCTTTTGCATCAAAAGAACAGATCTCTCTGTATGTGTGAATCTGTACTTGGTTTAACTAGCGTGCTTCATTGGTGAGACAATAGCGTTACAAATGTTTCTGATGCACTGGCGCCCCCAAGTGAGGCATGTTGGCATTTTGAATCCTAGCAACTAAACAATATTCATGAAGGCTAAAAATCTGCATGACTATTTCCTAAAAGAAAAAAATGCTGTAGACTTTTTCAAAGGTTTTGTATCAGCTCACCAATTACAAAGAGGCCTCAAGACAAAAACCTTGATTGGGTATTTGAAGACATTCTTCAGCACGTAGTAAAACACCAGCCGATACTACAAAGACATGACATACGACTTACTTATTGGAGGCACACTGTACATTGGTCAAGGTGGTGAAGTTGTTTCTGACAGTGCGAAGGCTTGCCAGAACCTAAAGAACAAAGAAAGAGAAAATAACATGAGGAAAGAGAAGAACAAGCCCAAGAGAACCCTCAGCCTCCTATGGGGCTGTGCACGGCTGTCCATCTTACAACGATGGCTAGAAGGCGCAAAAGCCGTCGGTTTAAAATTGGCTTCACAAAGTCCTACTGCTCCCGAGGAAACGCGGAGGCGTTCCTTTTTCTGTTTGGATCCTTGTTTTATTCCTTTTTATTGGAGACTATCCCAAAATCATACCAAGAGGTTTTGCAACGCTGGGATCCGAGTGACCCAGTGAAGGGGAGAGTTCACATTATTATTTATCATTTGATTGATATGGAAGGATTGTGTGGTTTTATGGGGACACATAACGTTCTATACCGAGCTTTCTCTGTTTTTGCCTTTTTTCTTCGGCACAGCGGACTGTTTGTGTCATGTTGTATGTATTTGGGCGGGATGGATGAGGTCCGGGGTTCCTACAGTCTCCCAAAGAGTTGAGTTTGCAGTGTTCATTGAGTTCCTTTGTTGTGTGTGTATGTAAACTGAAAATAAAATGATTGAAAGGAAGCAGAAGCCCACTGGTGGAAAAGGCCGGGTTGGATTATTTCAAATCAGCATGAAAAAATTGAAGAAGTTTTTACATTACAGATTACTTTATTTATTATTCATTTTGCACAAAATGTAGCTTATTATTCAGAGTGACTCATTATTTGTATCTGGGTAACTCCAACGTGTTGATTAGCTGTGACTTTTGTTTTCGTCTTTGTAGTCGTCACATCGACACAATTCGCAACCTTTAGGCATTATTATTATTAGTAGTAGTAGTAGTCGGTTGATGACAGCATGTTCATAAAGTTGGATTTTCTCTTGATTGTGTTATAACAAGGCATGAAACAATACCCCATTGTTTTTGTCAGGCATCTATCTGAAATAAGGAACCTCCTGACCAGCAGCACACAGCATCTACTATCTAACATTTCCATTCCCAACTATCAGCAAGCAGGACGTTAAACGCACAAGCTGTTCAGTCTTAACAACCTCGCCATGCCTACTTTAGGCTAACAGGCGACAGAGAGGTTAATGACGCCTGAGTGTGTGTGTGTGTGTGTGTGTCTGTGTGTGTGTGTGTGGTGCTTTCTGAATTCATAAGGCGTTTCAAATCCAAAGAGAAAAAAAATGAGATTGCAAAGAAATGTAACCATTCACAACATCATTAATGACTGATGTTATAGGAGCAGATTTATTTATCACCAGGTCTTACCTGAGCAAATGGAGTCACAATCAAGTCCTCCCCATGCCTGAAATATGATGCGAAAACTATTAAAGGCCGACAAATACACTGTTTTTAGCGAAACAAAAATCATTTTGCAATGATTATATCTACATGCGGCTTGGCAATTTTGAATAGAAGTGGACCTTTCATGAAGAATACTTATTGAACTGGCAGAAAACACGCTACATCGCGATGTGTGTCAGGACAGAGGACACATCTCTACTCACAGTTCTCCAACAATGGAAGAGTTTCGAGACAAGGACTTGGGCGACAGTTCGTAGTCGCTGTCAGAGCGGTAGAGGAAGGACTCGCGGCGCTGGCCGTGGCCCGCCTGGTTGGGATGGAGAACCAGACCTGAACCCGGCGACGCCTGCAGCTCAGAGGGACTGCAGCACAACGACGGACCATTTTCCCCTTCAAAGCTAAGAGGAGACAGAGGGAAATGACAGCAGTCAGTAAGATGAAAAGAGAGGAGGGGCAAGCTGAGAGAATACATCAAATTGATCATCAATCAAATCATAATCATCGGGATGTGCTGTGTGCTTCTAATAAGCTGCCACTAAGTAGTGACTTGCGCAACACGTTTCGCAAATCCCATCCAGGAAAGAGACGGTTGCATAAACCCAACAAAGATTACTCAGCAATCCATTTACGGCCTAAAATCCAAACAGTTTTGCTCATTAAATAAGTATGCTTTGCTGGTCCGTGCCGGGACGGGTTGTTTGATAGTAAACGGCTGCTCTGCATCTCACTGGGACACCATCTGTCCATGACAGCTCCGCTCAGGCCCCCCACGCAACACGCAGAGGCACGGATTACCTCCTTATGCGGATGTATTCTAATATGTTTTTTAATTCAAGCTCTGTGTGTTTTTACAGACATAAACACTACACCAAATCCAATTGCATCTACTTTTTTTGTTGTTTGTAGTGTGTGTGTGTGTGTGTGTGTGTGTTAGGGTTAGACAAGTACAGCAGTTTAGTCTGAAATAAGCATCTGCTCTCAGACCAACGTTTGTTCTCTACATGGTCCTTGACGAGTTAATCAAATCAGGATACATTAAATACAAACACAAGGTATTTCAGGCAGCATCTCATCAAATAGTATAAAGCCTACGCTGGTTTTCCACGCTGGTTTTTCTGGTTTGCTCCTGACCTTGAAAAAAACTTTTATCTAACTGTGAACTGATCAATACACGACGAAATCCTCACCAGCACAAGAAAGTCTCCCCAGTCGGTTTAACACAAAGTCGACATGTTTTGTGTAAACATAATGCCTTCTGGTCGGCATGTTTGCTGACGCCACAGAGAAACCTCCACAGATGCAGCGGCGATATAATCGGTTTGCCCTCCTGGTCTGGATGCAGGAGGAGAGGACAAGCTATTGCGTAACCAGATGATCAGGTCGGATGTCTAGGGTGAAAGGTCAAAGCATCAACGCCCCGCGGGAACTGATACCACAAATGATCCATCAACCTCCCTGAAGCAGAAAGGTGTCCGCAAGAAAGAAAACAAGAACCACACATTCTTTTGCTTTCATGTATCCACGCCGTCAACTTCTCTAAAAATCCATTTCGTAATGGACCAACTGTCCCAAAGATCACTTAGCCATTTGCCCCACATTTCATGCGACATGTGGGATTAAACGGGCTCGAGTCCCACTGAGGCGCTCTCACTCCACACCTCTGCCAGTAAAGCTCAGATTAAAGTGAAATGTCAAAAACACCGGCTACACAGAGCGATAAACGTCATCCCTGTCGCCATTTGCGTCATTCATCTGACACAAGCAGGAAAGTAAACCACAGCATTTCACAGCGACACGTTATTTCAGCAGATCCTCATCCTAGATACCGTTAACGCACAGCAATGATCCGGTGAATTGGAATAAAACTCCTTTGGCGAAGTGCCGTAAAATTAAAATTCACCTTTGCGATCCACAAATCAAATCACTCTCGAACACTTAAGACGCCGTTGGAGAGCCGGGGGACGGATCCGACCGGCTCAGGACACTCGCAAAGACAGCACGTGGAAGAGTTGAGCTCAGTTAGAGACGGAAAGACAGAAGAATACAAAGACGAACACGTCACCTGGGAGCCGAGAGGTGTGCTCCACTGACCACTTCCTCACTGAAGTCAAAGTGCCCCACCCTGCACCTCGGGGACCTCCGCGGCATCCTTTTCTCTCTTTACACCTCCGATTTTGCCAGGCGACAAAAAAGCAGCGATGCCGTGGCTGCTTGCTCACACACACACACACACACACAGGTCTCCGTTTCTGTGCAGTAACAGGCCCCGCGCTGGAATAACGCAGGCTTGGCAGACGCTAACGGAGGCAGATCTGGGCTGGAACAGTCGCAGAGGCTCTGTTTATCCGACCGCCTGTCCTTTTCCTCTCTATATTAAGCCACTGCAGATTAGTCAGCGAGTTCATCATTCAGCGATTGGTTATGATGTCACGTGAAAGCATATGCACTTAAGTTGACGATGAAAAGGGATGTTTGAAAGCGGAAAATCTTGATTTTGATCTATTTGTCAAATTTGGAATGGTCATTGGAGTGTGTACATACTGATAAGAATGAATTCAGTTATATTGACATTTGCCCAGGAATATAATAATCTGTTTGCATAACCTTTGGCTTTCAGGTCATATCCACTTAAAAACACAATCGTCCCAATTTCAGACAACACATTTTCCTTTCGCCTCTTTTTGGTGCTTTAAAAAAATGATCACAAAAACAGTTTTTTTCTTTAATTAAGAATTAAAACCGTGATATTAGGACGACAAGAGAATATAGCGAGACTGGCTCCAGTATTGTTGAGGCGTATACGGGGCAAGTTTCCAAGATGTTGTCGAGACGCAAAACATTCCAACATGGCTGCCATCCTCATAAACTTTGCTGAATAACATAAAGTTGTGGTTCAGGCAGTAATTAGATCAGTGTTAATTTAACACCGTGTTAGCTTGTATATTGTATTTCCACTGTATCAGTTGAGTGAGTTCATGTCGAGAGGTGAGTGTGAGTGTGACTGAGATGGGGGATATTTGGAAGAGAAGAACCAGAGCCCCCTTTGTCATCTCTGCGCCGACAGACGAAAAAGGGGGAAAAACTGCAACAGTAAATGTTTAAAAACCTCTGGACGGCAACACAGCAGATTCTGGGAATAAAGCGTGCTTGGGATATAGCGTGATGCAAGGTGACGGAGCACCGTGGCTCCACACACACTGAAAGTGGATTGATTGTCATCATATTATTGGGTTGATACCAGCTTATGTAAATCCACTTTATATTTTGTTTAAAAAGGTGATAAAAAGTGATTGGATTTTGATATCAACTACAAATATATTGTAAAGGGTTAAAAGGGCATTTTTCATTTAAAGCTCATCCCAGAGGAAAACCCGCTGCAATCAGCTTGTGCTTTTCAATATTCTAACAATGGAAACATTTTCTCACACATCTCCACCCGTGAAGAAACCAAATGTAACGCAGTGTGCCTCGAAAGCAGCACAATATTCTGCATGAGATTTGTTCTTTGCTTTTTTAGAATTTCTATTTTAAATCTACTCCTGCTGCTGCTCCTGTGAACATTATATCATCGATTGTATATCTGTTCAACCTGGAAAAAATAGTTTTGTTTTTTTAACAATTTCCTTTTGTTTTGTAATGAAAGTTCATTATCTGAAGGTTTTGAAAATGGATTAAGTTGTAAATTGTTTGGATGATAAATGACTCTGAGATAAACATGGTTATTGGGTCTGTAAATACACTTAACAGGACTTGACATAAAAAAGAGTTGCCAGCTGCACACAACTCTCCACAGGTTAGATGCAACATCCATTACCAGAGCTTACATGGCAATTCATCTCTTTGATAAATGACTCTCCTGAACTCCAACTCACCCTAAAGCAGGAACATCTGTGGCTACTTGGAATAAACTGGTGCTAATAAGGCTACGTGTGGATTAATAAATAAATGTCAATAACCATGCGCCTGCTCTAGTTCTCTAAAAACAACACAATAAATAAAAACAATGGACAAACACAGAAAACAGAGTGACCCAACAGCGACCAGATTCCTACCAGGTATTGGCTACTGTGAAGCGCCGGTATCGACGGAGATGCTTGTTTACCGCCTGCTTGCGAAAGCCCTGAGGCGAGCCGGGCAACGGGGCCGGCGTAACGGCGTGAGAGCGGCGTGAGTTCGCCTGGTCCGACCCGAGCTTCTCTCCGCCGACTTCCATTACTGCAGCTGCGATGTGACCCAAGTCTTGTGCAAAGGGGATTTCCTTTGGTTTGAAAGCTACCGCCTCATAAAGAAATAACGCTGTGAAACTGAACCAGAGGAGTTGTTGTGCTGTGCTCATAAATATTCCCAAATATAGTTGGAGGAATATGACTCTTTTCATAAACCTGATTGGTAAAAATATTTTGGGGTGCCCCTTTTACTGCAGTGAACAACACCATCAACAAGCCTATTGGCTGATCAATAACAGCTGGAAAAAGAACACTAAAAGTCACGGAGAGTTCACAGCGAAGTGCAGTAAACAGTTTTCCAGCGCCTGACCTTCAATCCAGATAAATGCAACCCATGCTCCCAAAAAGGCAGTAGAGCAGAGTATGAGCGCTGTAGAGATGAAAGCAGCGGACACTCCATCACCGGAGGGAGCCCATAATTATCTGTGGTTTAGTGGAAGAGTCCCAAAGGTTCAGAAAAAGGGTTTATGGGTCAAATTGAAGCCATCATAAAAACATTTTGCTTGGTTTAACTCTACCTTCTAAAAGCAGCCCTGTGTATTCTGCCTCAGAGAGGAACCCAACAACAACAACAAAAACAACAGTGTATTCAGTTAAATCACTGCCACATTATTTTGTACCATTTGGTGCCTTCGAAATTAGCATTTGTGTTCTTCTCTGGATGCACACGGTTACAGTTATGACAAAAAAAACAACAACTTAAAAGTAAGAAAAGAAGGTGTTGAAAACACCGAGATGAACCAAAAGAAAGACGGAAGTGCCAACTTTGCTGCTCATTTGCAAATCTAATGATGCAGGTAGATCACTAAACACACAACTTTTTAGAAAAACAATTATAAAAAAAAATAAATAAAAGCAAATGACCATGACCGAATAAATACACGGTGTATGATAAATGATGTGCGATATTGTGTCATCACTTTCCGCTCGCAAAGAGCGCCGCACACATCTGAGTGATGCTCATCTGTTGTTTTGTGGAGACTCACCCGTCGGGTTCCGCCTGCGTGATGTCGATCCGGGGCAGAGAGGAGATGGGCAGACTTGTAGGTCTGGTCCAGGTCACTGGATCCTCTTCAGGTGTTAGCGACCTGACCTTGTCCCTATCCTTTTCCAACTGTCGCCATGACAACGGAGGCAGCTGCAGGTTGCCGGAGAACCGCCTGTGGACCTTGCACACATCTACCCCGAGCGTGCTGCCGGTGGAAAGTTGTCCAACGGAAGGCTCCTTGTTGAAAACAAGATGGCATGAGTAAGATGTCTATGCAGTTTCCTTGGATGATTCAAATAAAATATGAAGGGAATGTTTGTTTTGTGTGCTAGTGACACAGTTTTCCAAGAAAATAGATACTTTAAAATGAAATATTGGAATGAGTGAATAATAAAAAGGCTTTGGGGACGAATGTACAGCGGGCTTTACGAACCCATTGAGCAGCTCTACAGATGTTTAATCTCCAGCAGTCTGTCCAGCACATTTAGTCTACGTGCTTCAGTCTGTTCAAGGCGAAGCTTTTAAATCAATGATGCTAGATAGTTTCATGAATAACAGGGTATTGTGGCAGCTGTCCATTCCATCAACCAGAGATAGTGAAGATTGTGAAGACTATTTTAAACTTATAGATATTCAAATTTGTCGCTTTTTAAAAATGTTGTAACCCATTTTAATTATTGAAAATACTTTTAGTGAGTAGAATTAAAGCCCACCCTGATCTGTCACAGGCTTCAAATTTAATTGTAATTTCAGTCAAATCTGAATCGTCAATGTGAGCAGTAACATCTCTGTCAGGTAAATGTAGTGGTACAATGTTTTCTAGTGCACAGTGAGAACCATCCACCGGACATTCATATTTCTTATGGGTTGTTTGTATGAGCACGCATCTGAACAGCCGTGTTTTAAATCAAACTCTACTAGTGATTTTCAGAGCATCACATGCGTTCATGTCTTAATGTTCTCTGTTACAAAGAGAAAATCTAACCGCTTGATTTCAGGCCAATTGACTTATTTATTTAGCCCTTCTGAATATAAATTGTGTGGTTAATGCGGCTGGTGGAGTGTGAGGGTTTCGCTGAGGAGCCCTGGGTGCTTCGCTGTGCTGCCAGGTTGTAAACAGAGGCGGCCTGCCGGAGCTCATCTCGTATACATCACTCCCCACTTTATGTTCTCTGCACGCGCGTGTAAATGAAACCTGCCGACAGGCTTCAAATGAAAAGGGGAGATGGGGAGGCACGTTGATGCCCAGAGGTAGGGGGGGGGGGGATGGAGGCTTGAGGAATTCCTGGAACGCGGCTTTAGTGAACGTAAACAAAATATCAATACATTCTGTGTGCCGGGGCGCAGACTAAACAAAGAGGAGGACGAGGGTGCAAGAGGAAGGGGTGGACGTAAGAAAGTGACAGCTAATCATAACCTGCCGGGACCGAGCTCGCGCATGGTCTGACTACTAACAGTAGTTGTTGGTACTCAGACCATTTAAATCCATTTCAGCAGATTCACTTCAGTTTTTTTCCAACAAATTAGGACATTTTTACGTTCAGAAAAACAGTGCACTATATTGTGGACACAACGTTATGATGATGGCATTTCCCTACTGCATTCCCTTATTAATTATTAGCCGACATAGACAGCAGTAATTATAAATCTTCTAAAGTCGAAATCCCACAGATACTTAATTTACTATCCAAAGTCACAGGTTTACATTTAAGAGTGGAGTAAAAAAAATGTTTTTTACAGGTTCATAAAGTAAATAAAAATTTCCGCAACTAACCCTAATAAAGTAGGACAAGTAGCATCTAACAAAGATTGGTAAAAAGTAAAAAGCTCCCATTCGAAAGCACATCTGTGTTGAGTTGATGCATCCAAAGTTCCACATTTTCAAGAGGCTTCCAACACTATCAATGACTCCCATTAAAGCACAAGTACAGTGTATCTTGTCCAAATTTGCTTTTCGGAGTTAAAATAACACGAGAAATGAAAAAACAAACAGCAGCCAGAAAGAAGAGGACATCCCACCTCCTCTTAACGGTGGACGTGACAGTAATCACTTTGACCCGCCGCTTAATTTGGAGCGGTTTGTGAACGAGAGAGGGGAAGACGGAAGGAACATAAAGAGGCAGGACTCTCTCCTCCTTTCTGATTGTCTGTAAACACAGCTCTGCTGACTCCACCGTCCCCTTCTAGGAAATGCAATTTGTCTGATTTATTGTTCACTTCCGTTAGAGACAGATTCCTCCTGTCCCAGGGAAACAGGGTGAAAATGAAATCTGGCGAAACACAACTCCAACGACGACAACAATGTGTTCAGGGAGCCACTTCTTCTCACACGATCATTAATGCCAAACCCACTTTATAATCAGTGACCTGAATTGTCTCTTGTCAATACATTACAGTGAACTCGCTCTACATTTTCCTATCAAATGATCCATCAATTGTGTATTGATTGCACCTTTGACATCTGGACACGCAATTCTAGTTCCTCATCGATCCCTCGGCCGCGTGCCAAATAGAACTGCAGAGGAAATGCTGCTGGTTCGCTCGGAGTGAACGCCTGTATATTTGCCAGTAGAATAAGGACAGGGATCATTTTAGAATTCAGAACCTTGAGCCAATTTAGAAACTTGGATTCATCAGATGTAGCGGAACATGGTCCTAAAAGGACAGGAAAGGAGATGGGAGGGGGGGTGTTTCTCCATGAAGATGAAAGGCCTCTCTCTTGAACAACAACAGTGTTCTCTGGGATGCTTCCAGAAGGCCTTTTGAGGAAGGTGTTACAAATGAGACGGCTCCAGCAGTGACAGCCTGGCATGGCTTGACGTTTCGCCTGAATTAATAGAAATATGTCCAGAAATACATTTTTGGATTCCAAACAAAGTCTGATGCATTGTATAACAATGTGGTCAATAAGAAAAAATAATAAATACAATGATGACTGGTGCTATTTCAATGCCTCACATACATCTTTCTGTAGTATTGAGTGACTTGTTAGCTGATGAAAATACTACAACTATCTGTTTAAATAGAGTGAAGGAGGCATATTTAAAAACCTGCCTGAGCCAGCATTCCTGACAGTAGGTCATTTTAGGGGCTTTCAAAGTAAAAATCTGCATTCGCCCATCATGACGTAAATATCTCAGAATTATGCTGAAATAATCTATACATTTCTTCTTTTAAAAGTAGAAAATAACTATATTTTTGCATTATCACGATCCCTCATTAACGGGCGGTTGGACGGGGATGAAGGTCGGGTCCCAGCAGGAAAAACTTCCATCACGCAGGATGCAGCTTGACCTCTGCGCCCCCGTTTGGACAACATCAACGTGAATGATCTGTCTGCGAGTCATAAACACCGGCGGCATAGAAGGGAAGCAGATGGGCCTCTCGGTCTGCGTCCTTCCTCCTCTTGTTTCCACTGGTGTGAGCTGTCCTCCAACACCTTTTCCTCCTCCTACCGGTCTGCCTCCTCCTAAACTCTGCATCACTCTCCGCCTCTATGATCTTCCTAAATCTCACTCTCAGTCACAAAAACAAACTGCCCCCCCCAAACCCGCTCCCCCCTTTTTTTTTATGACACACCAACGTCGCTCTCTGCAGCGTGTCCTGCTGGATGGCGATCTGTCGTGTGCAGTACAGTCATCTGTTTATGAGTCACCGACACACGGCACCTTGTTGCCTCAGTGTCGTCCCTCTAGAGCTCAGTGCATCTTCGCTCAGGTGGAAACACTGAGAGCGAAGGCAAACACTCAAACACAACAACAACAACAACAACTGTGCAAACGGCAAGCGGAATTAAGATGGAAACTTGCGAGGCGAGATTAGAGGATTCAGAGTAAAAGAATGATAATAACAAGTGGCTTTGTAACGGATGGATGGAGGGATGCAAAAAAAGAATAGTTGGGAAAATCAGTACTTACATCACCCGGTAGAACCCCATGGGCACTGTTGCTTTTCTTCATCCTCAGGGATGTTCAGCCAGATGCTCTCTCGCTCTGTCTCTCTCTTTCTCTCTCTCTTCCTCTCGTCTCCCTTTGGGTCTTATCCGTTCTCTGAAATCGAAGCCTTTTCTGCTCTGTTTGCTTCGGGCAGCTTCCCCAGCACGCCTGCACTCGGGAGGCAGAGAGGACGGGGAGGGGCAATCAGAAAGTCTCCACTTCCAAAAGTTGAATGCATTGAATGCAAATGTGAAGGTACATAAAACCCAGTAAAGATATGAAAACAATAATATGGTTTCGACGGTAGGGGGACATGTTAGCATGATGATGATGATATCATGCCGACACTAACGGCATTTCACTAATGTTGGACTAATTATTATGAAAAAAATCTGATTTAAAACAACAGCAATTGTTGAAAAAAAAAAGGTAAAATGTGTGTGATAATTTAAAAGGCATATAATCAAGTTTATATTATAGTATCATTGTAATATTTGGAAATAGGTGGTAATGATTATTCCTCATAATTCGATAGCGTGGAGCCGCTCAAAAACTACAAACTTTTTACATACCTTGTTGTCAAACCAAAAACAGCAGTGCGAAAAACTTTAAAATAAAATTAATAAGTAAATGACCTCGATCTCAGACATTTAACACCAGTTTGCAACACTGAACAATCCGAGTTTTCGGACACTTTGTGGATAGCAATGTTCTAAAAAGTACTCAATTTGTCTAAGAAAGACTAAAGTAATGCTCCTTTCACACCGGTATGCATTATTGCGTATAATTCTATACTATACACTCATCAATAATCGAATGCACCTGTACTTTATGTACGCGTATTCTGACGTTGTGAAAAGAAGAGACAAGAAATTAAAATGACAGCAGACAGCAAAGGGATTTGATTTTTGAGCATCTGATATTCAGCAGCTGGTTCCGATACGAGAAGGAGAGCAAAGTTGTTAATAATGGAGGAGTTTGAAGAAACGTGTCCATTATGGGTTTCTCAAAGACACAATTTAAATTATTCATGCTTTATGATTGAGAGGTTTCAAGTAGATATTTGGAATGAGGTGGTTATTGTGACCATAACGATAACCGGAATGTAAATGAGGCAATGCACAATTCATTTTTGTCTCAGAGTTTCGGTAGTCCAGTTTAGTGCCATTAATTTCTGAATTAATTCCTGATTTCTTCTGAAGCTTGAATTGACATTGTTTCTGTCAATGAAGTGCTTAAAATATGTCTCAAACTCAAACACAATTGTTTTAGAAAGTACTTTACAAGAAATTAACTTTCTGGCAATCAAAAAGGCTTTTATCTTCTTAGTGGAAATCATTAATATATCAATGCATTATACCTTATAATAAGCCGAGTTGTCCCTTATAATAAATTCAGGTTATATAACACGTTTAATTGGTTGTTTCTGTGCTTCAAAAGTTATTTTTATTTATTTTCACCTCCAAGGACTCGAACATCACATTTCCAGGTAAAACCACAAAACACTATTTCAAAGTCTTTCAAATTTCAACTTTGAAAAGAAACAATTCCACATGCAAGTTTTTTTCAAATGATTTGTCTCCTACAAGGATTTACCCCAAAGATATACAATCCATTTGCCATCTTGTAGGCTTGCAAATCATTTTTTGACTGAATGAATTAAAAACAGTGAAATGAAATGACCATGAGACTTTCTCACAGCTCAAGGTGACAGTCAATATTAACTTGATAATAGAAATAGAAATGATTGTGTTTCAGATAGTTGGAATAAGCGAGTTTGGGGTGTTCTTGTTATCAAATGAATTACCATCATTGCCTGTCAACATACACATTTTATAACAGTTTGGCTCTGCACGTTGCAGCGGGGATCTCACTGGCCCTTTCATTTATTTAAGATCTTTTGTCAGTCATTGGCCTTGTTTGGAATAATCTCCCGTGTTTAATTAGTACCCTTCAAACACAATGTTTGGAATAGATCATGAAGTCAGTGATCAGTTATTGTGATAATCATCTCCCAAAAAAAACCTTTTCCAAGAAAAGAAAAAGAAATCTCCCCGAAGCCTATTAAAAGTAATCACGGTAAATGTTTGTTCCAAAGCTCTTTCCCCTACAGCCCTCCTGTGAAAAGGTCACGGCTGGATCCGGAGACACTGAAGAGCATTTAAACCTGACCCCCCCCCCCCACCTCTCAATCAAAAAGGAGGTCAATGGACAAAACAACCCGCGGATGGAAAATGCTCTCCGAGAAAACAAGCTTCAAGTAACCTCTCATCTCTGCCATCCCACGCAATTGGTAATCCCCATTGTGGCCGTCTGTACCTCCACCAATACGCCATCGTTAATGCGAAGCGGGCAGCGGGGCGCACGGCAGCACTCCAGATGAAAAGGCCGGGAGGATTCGGCTCGGGGGGGGGGAGCACTCCGGGGTTGATTGTGCCGTCGTGCCTGATTTACGAAGCGAAGGCCAGGGACAAACTTTACTTTGAAGCCAATCGTTTCCATTCATCAGACATGGCTGCTTGAAGTTAACGTTAAAATATGCATGAGTCTGGTGTTTTGTTCTATGGGCGCGGTTGAGAGGAAGGAGCACATTTTTTTTCGCATCGTCTTCCCAAACGAACGGCAGATAGCTGGACAGAAAACAGGAATTGAGAGAAAAGGAATGAAACACAGCGGATGTATTGTCTAAAGCCAGCGGTGCTCAATTAACATTCAGCGAGGTCCAGTTGGAGAGAATTACACATGGCATGATCTTCTTAAATTACAAGTAAAATCAGGATTGGATTATAAAACAAATACCTTAAAACCTTGAAGTTAAACCATAAAATTATGTACTTAAAAATTGTCTTTTCACAGCTTTTAATCAACTTAATTTAGGTGTGAATTGATGACACCCCAAACAGCCCTGATGTCATTGTTCTCTCATCTTCTCAAAACATAGAACAGACATTTGTGTGCAGGGTTCCTATCTGCAGTAATTAAAACCGTTCAGCTCTGTTGTCCTCGGTCCACATCCTGGTTGGGCAGTGAATGAATGCGTTCTAAATCTGATCATATTGGGCTCGTTGAAGCTTCTTTGTCTACATTTCGGGTGCGAGTGGCTGCGTTTGCTTAAAAGGAAACGTGCTTTGTCTCGAGGTGAAGCTTCACTCCACCTCCTCTGAACGTACGCGACATACTGGTTCCAAAGGGCCAGCGGCAAGAATGAACATTTAAGAGTCAGTCAATTCTCGCTGATTGGAGAACGTCGTGTTAAACAACTTCTGACTCACTGAAGACTCAAGAAATCATGAGGGGTTTGAGCGTTCAAAGCCATTTGCAACAACCTCCATGAATCAACTGTTCAGTGGTCGTTCAAAGTCAGATTTACTGTTGCATAAAAGGAAACATTGAGAACAAACTAAAAGGAACATGCAGTACCAGGCGCGTATTAAGCGAATCGACTTTACTTACCCAGGAGATACGACTCAGAGGCTCAAAGGTAATGGATTTGTTAACACTCAGGTTTTGTGAAAACTTGCGAGTACCAAAATGGAGAAGTTGGCAGCGTTGGTCACAAGACACGACAGCCGTTGACGGCGGCAGCAGACGCTCTTTGTCTGTTGAGCCGGCCCACAAACAGTAATGTAAAACATCAGCACATGAGCTTAAAAAGAGCGGTGCAGGAATCCTCACGCCTGAGGATAAGTTAGCGTTTGTGCACTTACAGCTGCCTTTTGCTGAAGTCAAAGGGTTTTTGAAACGGCTTTTTGGTGCTTGAAATGAGGTCTGTCACACTTCACACACCCAAAGTTTGAAACTTTTATTTGTTTTCAAAATTTCTCTTTTTTTATCCACTGGCTCGGGAGTGCAATGTTTTTTGGGACCTTAAACAATGCAGATTAATCCAACTTTTCAGGCCTTGTTGTGTGATAACTTTGAGTTTGACGTCCAGCGATACCTTTTTAAAATAGCATAAAAGTGCTGTTAATTTGGGAGGGTTGTCAAACGTAATAATCCAATTAAAATCCAAAAAGCCATTTGATAATCCCATTGGATTTTTTCTTCAGGCAATTTTCTGGAGCACTCTGCTCACGCGAACACCGATGTCCACTGAAGGCACTGCTGATGGCCTCATTTGTCCAAACCCATTTTAAAATGGCTTTTTTGGCTCTGATGTTCAGTGTCCCGATATCTCTTATACACCTCCGCGCCCAAGTCAGATAAAAGATCAAATAAAAGAGATTGTGCAATCTTGTTCAATCATCACAGAAATACATCTGAGAGTCAAATAGCGATTTCTTTCCGACCTTGTAAAGAAATGCTGTGGTCCTTTCAAAAGGACTGACTTTCAAGGACAGGACATTTCACCTCATATTTGAGTGCGAGGTTTACATCTCACTGGATTCTCTTTACTGGCAACACGTCGCATTGCTGTTTCTATGCAATTTGTAATCTTTCAGAAATGTGGCTGAAGGTTAAGAGAACCACTGTTGACAAAAGCAAATAGAAGAAAAAGAAGCATGCGGTAAACCTCGTCTCTTTTGGCCCCTAGTTACAGTCTGCAAACTAGAGTATTTTCATCCGCCAGTCGCAAATATTGATATTACAACACATTAAAACAGTAAAACCACATTAATCCAGTCACCGTAACACTGCTGTGTGCAGACTTCAATTTCTTTGGTTTTTGATATCATGTTTGCACTGTTTTTTCTTTTGTCTACAACACAAATCCCATCTGCAACCTCACTGGATCATTTACTGACTATCCAGTGGCCGAAGCTGTGTGACAAATTGATTAGATTACCAAGATGATTTGATGTTGCAACCAAAGGAGGTGAACAGATACATCAGTGAAAGTGTATTTTTTTGGATTTCTGGAATGAAACTACATGGATTATTGACCTGATCGAGAAACAAACACCATGTATAAACTGAGCTGCTATGTTGCTACTACACTGTATAAGCAAGTGGCACTTAAAGACTAATACACATTATTTCTGATTGCTATTCAAGTCAAGTCTCTTCGGTCCCATGTGCAGAGCTTAAGATACCATTGAAATAGGACTCATACATATTATAAAAATCAATATTTCGGCAGCAATGAGTTTTAAGTCAATACTCTTTTCTCATGCCTCCGTCCCACACTGTTTGTGTGGGAATGTTCGACACACAAAGCAGCTGATGCACTTTTTGCAGCCGTCAGGCTCGCAATAAAAACCTTCTTAAAATAATGCAAACGTTCTGTTCATCTATAAGCCAGAGAGGGACAGACGTACCAGTTCAACAGAACTCCTCCATTGAGCGGCGAGACACATTCATTTCCTAAATCAAAGTGAAGCGCGAATGCATCGGAAATATTCAGCGTTCTCTCGGCGCAAGTAGAAAGGAACTTTTGAGATGGGTGAAGGCTGAGAGGAGTTTGTTGAGGAGGAAGGGGAACAACACACAACTGTGGCAGTTGAAAGATGACGTCAGCGAGGAGGCCACATGCAGGGAACCCACTGCCCTACTGTACAGGGACAAAGAGAGAGAGTCTGTTTCCACTGGGTCACGTGTCACGAGACAGGATTGATCTGCCGTTTGTCCTGTTGCTGCAGCAAACATCATCCCTGTCGAGTCATTAGAAAGATGCTCTTTCAAGGTGACAGTACAAACTGTCTTATTTGGTCATGACACAAGAGGAAACGGGGAGCTGCCAGCGGCCCCCGTGGGTCTGCTTTGATGGTTTTTTTCCCCCGTGTTTCATTTCTGTAGCATTTGTGGTCGTTCATCAAGCTGCACTTGGCAGGCGGATCAGCGGACAGAACGCAGGACTCCGGCGGAAGGAGAAGAGGCGGACCCGGTTTACACCAACCTCACTCGGTGCTCAAACATGGTCAAAAGTTGATGGACGACGTCTCCCTGACGCCAAATGTTATCCGTTATCTGGCCTGAGAATTGTTTAGTTGCTTGGTAATGATTCGTTAATACACCATGTACTCCTTTGGTCATAATAATCATTCATCACAGATAATATCCTCTTGCCTCTCTTATAATCAGATGAAAAAGGGTGAAAGAAATGCTTCATTCAGTATGCGGATCTAGTCCTGTTAGACGTCAAAGACCTACCAATCTATTTAAAAGACAAAAGAAAGAAACAAGAATAATTAGTGGGCAAGGACACATGTCCTCTGGATGAGCCACTTGAATGGAGTTGCTGAACAGCCCAATAATTATGAGGGTGTTTCATTCCGTCATATTTAAACTCCCACACACACACAAAGAACAAATTGGAATCACAGGGCTCAACGTCTATTGGGGGTGATGTGTTTGAAGTGCTGCCCGCGAGAGCACTTCATCACTTATCCTTTCACAAAACGGTGCCATTGGCCGCCGCAGGGATTCAAGCTTTTGGGGGGAGTAAGGAGGTAACAGAAGGCTTGGCAGAGTCTGCAGGATTCGGGCCGCAGAGGGGGACTCTGGTGAGTGTCACCAGTTGGCAACCTCCATGTCAACATGGCAGCAAACCCCTTTGATGGCAGCTGACACAGACATGAACCAGTGCGCTTTGAGAGATTGCTGAGGTTGAAGTAAATCAATCAGGCAATCTGTATCAATCAGGGATGCAGGAACAGTCTTCCAATTAACGTTCATTCGAATATGCAACGGTTAAAGCGCGCCCGTAACAAACAAAGCCAATAAATTGGATTGGAAATTCATGAATAATAATGTCGAGCGGGTTTATTTTTAATGTGCTGCAGCCTGCAGGCGTTCCTGCCAGTAAAAGCCATCAAAAAACTCAATCAACAAATCAGAAAGGAATGGCGCCCCACAGTCATTTTCCCCTGATGCGCCACTACATCGAAGGCGAGAGGAGAGCTAGACGGGAGCTTTCTACGTGCTGCCAAATTAGTGGAATCTGTCTGATGTGAAACAGACGCGCTTGCAGGCAGTCTGTGATACTGTCAATGAGTTCAATAGACATATAAAGCAGGATATTCAATTGAGATTTACGCAGCGGTCATTGCACCGCACTAAACCTGACAAAAACAGAAGTGTGAAAAAGACCCGAGGCGTCTCCGTGAGAGTAATGCTGGTTGTAAGCCGAGCTGGGCTGTTCCTCAATATTAATCCTGCACCCCCCCCTGACGGAGCAATTTCCCCCATATCTACTAGATACCACGAGAAAGGAAATTGTAATTCGTCCTGGACAGTGATAAAAGAAGCACACTAAAATGGAATCAGTTATATATTTGGTGCCCCTAAAATCCCATATGGCCCTAGCCTGGCCCCCATCTTCTGAAATGGTCTCCTAACGGGTCGGCGGATTGACACATAATGGAATGGAAGCGTGTCGGGTGGACACAGAAGTAGCCAACTTCAAAAAAACATTTCTATGGATTCTGGTGCTCATCTTACAAATGCTGGAACGGTTGATATTTAATACGGAGCAACGTGATGTGCTGCAGACTGACGCAACCAATAGCTCCATAATGCATAGCCATCTAACTTATTCTGCTTGAAAACCAATGAATAAATCGCTTACTTCTGAGGCTTATCGGTGCCTCTTCTTCTCCTCGAGCCAGAGCAGGGAGGACCGGCGGGTATTCAAGTCAGCAGACTGTCCAACCTGAAAGACAAACAACGTATGGATAACCAATTTCACATCACAGCAACAACAACAACAAAAAACGGCCCCATATTCCCCCGTGAGAAGCAATAGACACGGACGTGTTCACGAACGGTAGAAGAATATAATCACTTGACAGCGTGGAGCCACAACCGTGAAAGCCCCGAGACTTGTAAATGCCGTTGAGCTCCTCCTGTTCCAGTAAATGCACGAGTGTTATCACAGTTCAGATTAGCATCCCGGGTGTTGACGGGCACTGAACCATCACACACTGCTTTCTGTATTTACAATAAAATGAAGTGAAATAATCTCAGTTCCTGCAATGACAAACTCTCGAGCAGTCCGCAGGCCCGAACCGCGTCCATTTGTCATCTGGAGCATCAGCGTTCTGCTCCAGTAACACCAGTGAAGCCACAAACCTGCCCGTAAGTGAGTCACCAGTCTGGTAGCCGGAGCCCTTTGGACAAGAAGCTGGATGTTCAGTACGTACTCTGTTGTTTCTGCCCTGACTGAGAATAAAAGGACGTCCCGGTGAGGTCACGCGACACATGCACGTGCTGCCAATTGGGGTTTAAAAGGAAGGAAGGAAACACGCGTGTGTCACAGGACGGTTACTACGGTGGCATAATGGAAGAGATACACAACTGATGATTCACAGCTGTAAAAACTAAAATATTTGTGAAAGATAAACGGTCAGCGCTTTCAGATCCCAGTGGATTTTAGTCGATGTTCAGGAAGGGTTAGAATATCATTGTGGTCAGCGGAGACATTCGGATGTCGATGTTCGTGAGATCGACTGCTGTGCTGTGACCAACACTCATAATTGCTTCTTTCTTCCTTCCGTCCTTCGGGGGGAAAAGCTTCATGGTTCTGCTGTACGACATTATGCTGCACACAATTTACACGCAGCTCCTCGAGTTAAACTGTGTGAAAAAACACCAAAGTTTTTATGTTCTTTAACACATTTTCACGGCCATTTTTAAATGTATTCCGTTTCGACTGCACTGCCAATACCTTTTTTTGCATTTGAGCAGTGAGGCACATTTTGGTTTTATCGTAACATTATCTCACTTAATAGCGATAGCAGACGCCAAATGACCACCTGTGGTCGCCTTTAGTCTGTTGTTCGGAACATGGAGATGGGGAATAAAAAACAATCATAATTACAGCCACAGTCTCCCCTTTAACACACACTAAAGGCCACTATTGATTCTCTGTATTGAAACAAGTCAGACTCATTAAGTTGCAACAGAAATATGATGCCAAGTTCCACTCCTGGGTGAAATAAAGGGCCCATCCAGAGCCATTCATTGTGTGCATGTCAATAGTGGACCTCTCTTCACCTTGACGTCATTGCTAAATGGACCCTGATTGGTGCATAATTGCATTCAACGCACTTAACAGACCACTCCAGCAACCTCTCCAATGTCTATATTTACACAAGCCTTCACTTGTCCTCGCCCGCTCCCCAAAACTTCATTTTCCCAAATTCAAGTGAGTTTCAAAGCCAATCAAAAAAAAAAAAACAGTGCGCGGAAACACGGAGCGGGGACGCGCCTTTACCTCGTCTGACCTCCGGCCAGCGGTTCGTGTGCAGCCCGTTTCCCAGAGTAGCGTCCCGAGGCGAGTTTCAAACAGGACGCGCCGAGTCAAAGTGAACGAACCGGCCGGCGGGGCGGAGGAGAGACGCCCGCACGCGAGAGAGCGGGAGAGACAGAGAGAGAGAGAGAGACGGGCAGCGCGTGCACGCGCGCGGAGCCTGCGTGACAAGGACTGAATCAAGAGCTTTCAGTGTGCAACCCGAGACGTCTGAGTGCCTCCGCGTTGGAAATATAGAGGGAATTAAGATGAGAATGGCTCCAACTGACGGAAACATGCCGCCCGAACATCGCCACGCGTCCCCCGGCATCATTCGGTGGAAAAGGTGCAAATGTGACACAACTTTGAAATTCAAACAACTATTGCCCGATGCCGAACGATAAAAAAATATATATTTGCACAATTGACATTTAACACCTCCCTGTTTCGCTCGTGGCAACATGATTTCGTCACAGCAGGATGGTTTCGTGCAGACTTACCGGAGGAGAGGGTGTGTGCGTGTGTGTGTGTGTGTGCGTGTGTGTGTGTCCGCTGTCCCATGCGCTGATGCGTTCGCGGAGATTGAACCGTGGTCCCCCGCTTCTCTCCGGCTGCCTTTGTGCCATTGGCGCTCGTTCCCATTCCCGACCCCCGAGAGCGCATCGATTGGCTTCGACCCCGACGACGCAGATACCTCCGTTTACCAATGGCTGCCGGTCCGCCCCGCCCCCTGCCCCGCCCCCATGTCCGTCCCTCGGCCCCGCCCCCCGGCCGCCCTGCGTCCAAGGCCAGGCGCAGGGAAGCGGTGATGTGTCCGCCTCAGCGTCCGAGCTTTTAAACCAAGAATGGTCAGAAGTTTTGATGTGGTAGCATATTACATACATAGCACGTATCCATCTGTAGCATCACAGTATTACACAGCTTCACAACGTGATGTGTTGCATGTGGTTGTGGTCCTCTAAACTGAGCCTCAATGTGTGAGGGTTCAAGACCAGAATGAGTAGTCTTTGATGTCTTTGCTGTTGCCAAGCAACAGCTGTCTTGAAATAGTGATGAATAGGTGTCCCTGGGCTTTCTTCATTCTTACATTCATCCTTGGTTCTTCTCAATGTCTCGCTCTATCTCACATTAAATAAGAAGTTTGACTCTTAATCAATATCAATAATCAAAGTCAATATCAACATAAATTTACATTTTTCCATTTTCATTCATTCATCCAAAGCATCTTATAAAAAGTGCATTCAACCATGGGTACAGACCCAGAACAACAACAAACAATTTCTTAAAGAAAACCAAACTACTATAATAATAAAGTGCTATACCTACGCCAGTTATAGTCGGTAGAGGTGTGTTATTAATTTGCCATGTTATGGGTTTTGGGATATACTATGCACAAGGATTTCTTATAAGTAACTCAGCCACAGTTGATCAAATACATTCTTTTCCTTTAAAAAAATGTACAGGCTCATCTTGAACCAACATGAGGTCTCTCCCTTACTCCGCTCGACCTGATTTAACATCAAATTCATAGTAGATAACTGGCAATAATTTATGAGTAACCTTTACTCTAAAATGAAATAATCATCTGTAAAATGAAGTTGCTGCTCGGAGGTCAAAGGCCAAATTAGTGTAGATGACACAAACACAAGTTATGCATCAAGGTCAAAAGGTCTTAGTCTCCGAAATCATGAAAAATAGACAAGACGTGCATCAAGTGTCCTCCAAGGTCTGCATCTCTGTCTAGTTCAGATAAATACCCTCCAGCGGCACATCAAGGCGTCCCTGCTGGGGGGAGGAGGGTCGGTGTGGCAGACTCTGGCGTAACACTGCTTGAAATACTGTCACTAAGTTTTCCCAACATGCAGTCATTTTCAACTCTGCCAGGCTGTTCAGTGCACGCCACATGTTCACACCTTGAAGCGATGGGGGGATTTCAAGTCCAGATGTGCGCAATGCAACCCCTCTGGACTAGCTTGTGGCTATGCTATTAGCATTTCTATATTTCCAGCGAGACTTCATTTTCTTGTTGGTTACTGATTTTTTTTTTTTTTTTTTACTGTTATTTTCATGTTGAAAATATTCTTCTGTGACTCTTTTATTTACCTCCAGACCAACTGTTATCCTCTAATCGTCCGTATGTCAACTCATTTCTTAAACTTGACACAGCCAAGCATTTCTACGCAGTGTGGAGTACACGTACTGCACACACACACACTTTTTTTTTTAATCTTCTTAAGTGCTTTTTAACCCGCAGCACCGATACAGCAGCAAACCTCTCGGTGGGAGGTTCGTACGAACATGCTCGCTCTAATCACTAGGAGCAACAACAGATGGTTTTCTATAGAAATTATCATTCGTTTACAGAGAGCGTTGCTTTGTTACAGAGAGGAAATGCACTCTGCTTGACGTGCAAATTCGTGAGGGACGCACGCCAACAAAGAGCCAACGGCTCAGGTAGCATGCAGCTGCACGGTGGTTTTCTATCAAACGCCATTCAACCCTGAATAGAGAATCATGGCTTCCATTAGTCTTTTGTTTCGCAGGTTACTCCCAACTGCACCGCTGTGGATGATGTATTCAATATCTATGTTTTATAGTTGGGAAAGATCAAAACAGACGGATGTTTTTCAGTGAAAACAGTGTTGCTGCTCGGGAAAAACATGAGCTTTTTTGCACACCTCTTGTTGAATATTGCAAAACGATCTCAATGATTTAGCAGATCCTTACACATGAATTCCAGGCTCGTAGATGAGACTACGCTGACAGAATAACTCACAACTCGCCCCCATCTTTCAGTCTGTGTCTCGTGGTTGGCTACATTCAACATTGCTGCAAGGGGAATACAGTGCACATGTATCCATCACGACTACCCAGGCGAGCTTTGCATGTATGTAAGAGCTCAATCCACCAGCAGTACACAACAAGACAGAGTTTGTTTCATTATACAGGAAGCTTTATTCAATGTTAGAAAACAAAACGTAACCAAGAGGCTATAAAATAAACTCAAGAGCTCTTCAGAACTCGTTAGTGACAATAGAAAGCTTTCTTACATGTCAGTTCAGAGACATACAGCATAATATTTCCCCCGAAAGCAGTTAAGGAATTAGCAAATCAGAAATTATACAGGACGTCAATTCAAATTTTCAGTGGGCAAATCATACAAACTTCAGAACCTAATTTAAAGTCAGGTACTGGCAACAACCACATGGAACATGAGAATGTTTTATTGATTTTACATTTAAAATTTTCAAAAAGGCCCCTGATGACGAAACCAAGTCTAACTCCAAACAAAATCACATTTTTTTTCTCTAAAAATCTATTTATAAACTTGATGGCAGGCACTCACAAATGAGCTAGCAGATTCCCTCAGAACAACTGCCCCCAAAACATACACAGTCTATAACGTCTACACTTTGTGAATGATTAAAAATCAATTCACAAATGAATATCATGCTAAGAATTGGCATAATTGTATGAATTTCGTTTTCATCTGCAGGAGTATAAAATGAATATTGATGCTTCTTCAAGCAATACTTGATGTATGATATTCACTGTACGCCGCTTCCAGACCAAAACCCACACTCCAAAAGTGAACATTTCTGCACTCTAAAGGATCTTTGGTGAGATTGTAAACAATTGCACAAGAACAACAAGTAAGATTTTACAGCTCTGTAGCAAAATGAAAACAGCAAATAAACACACACACACACACATAATTTCCGTACAAATATATCTTTACCTGATACGGAGCCCTACAACTGGGTAGCGTGGATTAAGAGAACGTTCCCTGGCTTTACACTTCAAACAGCAGACAGTGCTCGTAATAAGCAAACCGTAAGTCAGTGTAGCCAATCCTGCATTGAACAATGAGGACAGATAATGCAGTGAGCATTGAAGTGTACATTACATGTCACTTTTTAGGATCCGAATAGGATATTGATTAACTGAAGCGTAATGAAATAGCGGGCAGCTGCAATAAGCAAGGGGATTTAAGCTGTTAAAATAAAAGGTGAGACAAGCTAAAATAAACCGGTTAAGGTGAATAGGCACTAGTGTCTTTCTGGTCGTAGACGTAAGGCACATCAATGTACGTATTGGTGTTTACAAAACCCTTTCATGTATAAAGTGGCCTGAAAACAAGCCCGGTAAATGTGACATTCTTGCAGCATACAATGTACAGGAGCATCATCCACTATTAGGTGCAGGACACATACACCCCTCAGTCTGCTGGCTATTCACTCAGCTATCCATCTACCCATCCATCCGTCCTTCTGTCCGTCCAAGGTCTGAAAGCTCCCTACCACTGCTCCCAGCTAAAGTCGTCCCCGCCACCAAACACAACAAAAAAGCCAAAGATGGTGAGGAAGATGACAGCGTTTCCTGTCATCACCAGGCCACAGGCACCCCACTGGATCTGTGGGAGGAAGAAATTCATCAGGAATCAGTCCAAAATAAATTTGGTTTCCACAATGCTCTGCTGGCATGAAGCGTACACCTGTGCACTCGGCGGCCGTAGAGAGAGAACTCACCGTGCTGGTGCGGGCTAGAATAATGGGAAGTCCGAAACAGGATACCACAATGCCTGTTGTTAAGAAATAGGCCAGCTCTCTGCACGCGTTGCTGGAGGAGTCAGTGTCATCGCTGAGGCGTCTGGATATGAAGGTCGGGACGGGGCTCAATATGTAGAAAATCAGGACAAACAGCGGCCAGTAGACCCTACAGAAAGACACGAGGAACAGTGAAACGGTACCTTGTGCCAAAGCCAATCACTGAGAAATGTGCATTGAGAAAACAAAGCCCAGTTTACTCTGCCTTTAAAAACGGTTGTCTAATGGGACTATGTCCCAAAATAGCTCTAAGGACATTAAAGTGATCTCAGCTTTGGTTTAAAATCCTAAATCCTTCATTGGAACTGAGAGTAAGGAGTTTTAAAAGGAGTGTGCATTCGGAGGTCACCGTGGCTCTCTGAGACAAACCGTAAGCACTTTTGTCTAGTTTTTGTTAACGGCTGTTTTTTTGTTTGTTTTCTTCACGTCCCTCATCTTAACCGCCTTTTCACAAAAAGTAACACAAGTCCGGATGTTGCATGTTGACGACAGCAGAGCACATACCCGTACTGCTCCAACGCGCAGCCGAGGAGGAGAAACGTCAGTCCGATGGCACCACTGAAGGACAAACCGACCAGCGCTGCAACACAGAAGTTACACAAATAACACGAATTACAAACAGTCCTTTCAGGCTCGGTAACGCTCGCCACGGAATGCGCTTGAATGTGAAGTTATAACATTTTAAAAGACACGTTTAAAAGCGTTGAACTTAAAAACAGGTCGAGGGTTTAATGCCTGAACTAAGTTAACGCCGAATGTCCTTCGGCGTGTGTTGTGTTGAAAGCTTTTTCTTGTTCCGAAGAAACACAAGACTGACGTGCTGGAGTGTGCGAGGCATTAACGCCCGCGTGACTAAACTGACGTAACGTCAAATCTCAGCCGTCGACTGACACATTACGCCTAGAAGTTAATACCTTTAATTCCTGCCATGGCGATCAATTAGTTCAAACTTTCTGTCTTTTTCGATCGTCTTGTTTATGTGCTCCTCTCCTCTTCCTCGGTAGACCAACTTCCGGCTTCCTCCAACGGCTTTTCCCACTTGGTCAGGTGACTTTCTTAAAGGGACAGTAGGTTTATCAAAGACTCCTCATCATTGACATCGCATCGTGGATGATATTCACTGTCCGATGTTTGCATACGTATTGTGGTATTTTAAGGTCAATAAATGCAACATTTGTCTGAAAAAAAGGTTGAGAAATTTTGAGGACTTGATTTTTAGGGAAGTGGTGCATTAAAAAAAAGACCTGAGATGAATCAGTACTCAGCATCTCTCTCTCTCTCTCTATCTCTTGTCTATAATGGAGATGAAACCTAGAAAAAGGTGCAGTGCTTCAAAGGGCATTCGAGATCACAGAGTTGGACCAGATGTTAGCGGACTGATGCTGATGCTCTCCAGATGGATGTCACGTGGCCAGGCGAGCTGGATGCTTCTCTTTTAAAATGTCTCCCATGACAGATCAAACGTCTTCTGCAGAAAAGAAGTTCAAGAGACAGTAAAAGTAACTATGAGCTACACACCACAAGGATTTCAACGGTAACCCCGTTTGCATTTAATACCACAATATTCTATTGTTGCTTTTCTGGTGTTATTTGTAATTATCAGAACAGTCAATGTGTCGATGTCAATGGGAGCATGTAGAAATGTTATTCTTGTGAGGAAGTGTACTTTCTTATTTTTTTCAAAATGAATAGTCTTCAGTAGTATTCATTTCCTCTGTTATGCAAAACCAGAAAATGCAATGATCTAACTAAGTTTCACAAAGGATGTGAAACTGCAGTGACGTCCACATTCTGTGTTTAATAGGACACTATTATGTCATGCGTACTTCTTTTTATCACTACGGCTAGTTTTGAAACCATGCTGCTTTTTTGCCAGTGACATATTTAATTTAATTATTAAGTTTAAAACAATTTACTGATAACCCAAGTGAAATTAAAACGTATGTGTACACAAAGATCACAGTTGGCCTAAAAAATAAAAAGCAGTTTAATGTAGAACAGAGAAATACACAGAATATATTTTAGCCTGAAATGCAAATTGCTGCTACAGAATACAAAAATTTCTAAAGACAAACAAAGAGGGCATTGGTTCAGCAAAGATGGAGTAACAAATGGAATCATGTGATTACTGATGGGCCACTTCGACCCGTCCTGTGATGGAGCTGGGAAATCTTCACGGCGATGGTTGCCAGGGGCGCCAGCATCACCTGTTACCAAACATGAATTACATGATTAGAGACACATGGGCCTGGCTGTCATATGCTGACTGATGCATTACCACGTTAATATTTAACGATAAGCAGGACCGATGCTACTGTGAAAGCATATAGCTTTGAAAGATATCAATTATACTTCACACTAGAAGAGCAACAGGAAAAGACAGAATTATAATAATATATTTTTATAGCAAAGAAATGCTCCTTTATTATACTGCCTTTAAAGCATCCTGCCGGAGAGGCAAAAGGCCTTGAAGGCAAACTTCTCTCATCTTTTGACAAATGCATTAAAAGAAAGGGTGTTCAATTACAGTAATATTACATAGAAATATTTATTTTCCAACTACGGTCATGTGTTCTCTTTTAAGTCGTATTAGAATGGCTAAATCATGGTTGTGCACAATTACTTGACTGTCATTTAGAAGCGGATGTGGTAGAGTTGAGCTTTCTGTTTATATAACATGTTGTATTCCAATCATATAACTTTTGTTTTTTAATTAGATTTTTTTTTTTACCTGTGTGTCTTCTAAGATTTGCTCCTTCTCATAGCTGTCTATGTAGATTCTAACTGTCGCCACATCGCAACCCGTCCCACTGAGTCTGTAGATGATTCGAGAACCATCAGAGAAGATTATCCGCAGACCCTGCAGGGAGAACAGCCCAGCACGGTATATTAGAGATGTTTTGGATATCAGTCACTCCAGCACCCAGTGCCCACTGAGCACTAGTTACATCCAGTTTACACAAAAGCGTTGCCTTTGTAGAACTCAGTGTGTCATGTACCTGGTTCCTGGAGATGGTGCTGTCTACCGGGTCTGTGTACTCAAAGTTGTCCGCTTTTTCCACTTTGTAGATTTTGTCTTCCACAGCAAATCTCTGCTTCACAAAGGATTTGTCGATGATCATCATCTCCAAATCCTCCATCATCTCACAGGCCGTATCAATGTCTACGTTGTCATAGTCGTATCTGGACAAACAAAGCATATATATTATTAAAAGAGTGAAGCATTACGAATGTTTCATTTTTCTATTGTAATATTGTTCTAATGTTTCTATTTTAAGTAAATACATTTAATATCGGTGAATGCAGATGTTTTCCAATAATTTGTAAGTACTGTCAGTATAAATGCCTTCCTTGTAATGCTAAATGTCTTTAAGATTCTATAATGGTTGAATTTGTATTTTTAGTACAACTGGAAGACATCATAAGGCTTAAGCTTATGATGTGTCTGGTTACAGTAAATATCCATATATTCAAAATAACAATATGACATAGTAACATCAGCGCCACGTTGCCTTGAGAGTTCAGGGCTTGTAAGAATATGTAATGGCACATATAATCCACTAGATGTCAGTCATGTTGTGTCTGTAAACTCTCAACTTGTATCTGTATAATCAGTCCGCTCTCCATCTATAACAAATCAAGAATGCACATCATGTCCACTTAGACATAACCACTGATTCCGCGTGTTTCGGGGATTTGATGGTTGAGTACTCCAAATACACACAAACAAAAAACATGCAGAAATGTTGATTCCTCACCTGGTAAAGTAGTTTCTTCCGTATTTTAGCCAATGATCCTTGAGGATATCCTCCACACTCTGCTTTTTAGTGGCCAGGATGGAAAGCCATGCCAGCACGGCCCAGAGCCCGTCCTTCTCACGAATATGGTCTCCACCTGAAAGGGCATACGTCATTTGGTTCACCATGCGCAGAAAAAGAAAAGCATGATCATTAAAATAGAGCCCTCCCCCCACCACAAACCTAATGAGTAAGTTACAATATTTTGACCGTATAACTTGTTGAAGACATACAGTACCTGTACCGAAGCTTTCTTCCCCACACAAAGACAGTCTTCCTGCGTCCATTAGGTTCCCAAAGAATTTCCAACCAGTGGGCGTTTCATATAACTCTATTTTGTTTGCTTTGGCTACTCTGCAGGAAATACAATCAAAAGGTACATTGACCCTTAACAAAATTAACGTTATTATTACTAGTGTACATTGAATGTGAAATGCAAGGATTTGATCCTATCTACAGTATTTGTGCCATTGGTTTGGGCTGGGCCGTATTTTTTACCTGTCTAAGGCTGCACTTGTGGGCATGCTGCGGGCGAAGCCTCTCACCCCTGTGTGCTGGAAGTATGGGATGCAGAAGATGTTGTCAGCAATCACAGCCACAGAGTCAGGTGGAGTGACGAAGAAGCCGTGCTTGCCCAGGATCATGTTACGGTCCTAGAAGGCCAGACGAACGGGGGATGAGGATGATATTTTATTCTTGTTCAGAAAATGGGATGAAGAGGCGAGCCATAGGACACGGACCCCGTCGCCGTCAAATGCTGCGCCGAAATCATACTGTCCGTCTCTCATGCTGTCAACCAGATCTGCAGCGTAGGTGAGGTTAGGATCTGGGTGTTGACCCCCAAAATCCTCCAATGGAACACAGTTGACGGCAGAATTGACGGGGCAGCCCAGCTCCTCACAGAGTATTCTCCGTACATATGGTCCTACCACTGGGGGGCAAACGGAGGTGAGGCGAGGACAGGAGACCGCTGAATTCAAACAGTAATGCAGTAATGGTATTCTGAATACACAATAGAACAAGGAACATAACAGCAGTGTTTTAAACGTGGGGGAAATACACTTATTTACAGAAAAATGAGAAGATTGATGATTGAAACAGCGAGGCTGTCAGACAACAACAAAATTGGACTGTAATCCTAAATGAGTTATTACATTTTAATGTTTTGAAATGACTTTTCTGTGAAGGGGTGATGAAGTGTTCACCCATTAGTTTCAGTTTCAGTACTTGGGGACTAAAGCTGAAACTGATCATTAGTAGTTCATACTACCCAATTCCAGCATTGTTTAAAAGCCTCCAACGGAAATAGTTTATTCCCGTTTTTAAATTATATATTGACAAACTTATACTTCTAAAACTTTTCCAAATTATTTGTTATACAATTCATGAGTTTGTGAAACATGGAAAAATGCAATAGCTGTGTAGATGTTGACCTGGTTATCACGTTTCATCCTGAGCAAACATTTATTTCGCTTTAATCTTTGCCGCTGTAAATCCTGATAATTTCCTCAGAGCGGCACTACTAAAGGATTGTCTTATTGTCTTATTATCTTATTTGTCTCACCTCCATGCATGGCATCTATTCTTATGTTGATGTGCTTTTCACCCGACAGAAGCTCCTTCAGAGCAGCAAAGTCGAAGATGTTCCTCAACATGTTAGCGTAGGATTCCACAGAGTCCACAATTTCCACTGGACACCACAAATGAGAAACACAGTTGTATTTAAATACATTAACGCACAAGCCATCATTAACATTACAATTAACTATCGCTGGAGAACGGCAGACATGTGTCATGTGACCAATTCACATAGTGACTCAGATCGTACATTCTCCTCTGTATTATGCAGGGGAACGTTTTCACTCATCCACCATCCTCTGTGGTTCACCTGTGAACGGTTTGAACTTGTTTTCCAGATCAAACATCTGTTTTCCCTGCGTGGTCAAATCCACATGCAGTCCTGGACAGATGGCGAACTCCTCAATGGTCCTGCTGATCTGAAAGATCTTGTTTGTGACAGCCTCCTTGGCGGGGCCTGGATGCAGTAGAAAACCCCACGATGTTACATTTAATATATGTCTGAATGAGGCAGGCCAAGCCTTGTTAACCTCACTGGTAACACTATTTATTCACTTGGCTGATGCCCATGCGTGCTTCCTCCTCTCCAGTTATCATACCTCCGTTTGCAGTATTGAACTTAATGCCAAAGTCTCCATCAGGTCCACCGCGGTTGTGGCTGGCAGTGAGGATGATGCCACCGATGGCTTTGTATTTCCTGATTACGCAGGAAATGGCGGGTGTGGACATCATCCCGTGGTGTCCAATGATCATACGACCCACCTGAGGAAATGTCACGCAGGGTTGTGTGTGTGTGAGTTGGTGGGAATGAGGGTATATCTTAATTTATCTGGGGAGGCGAGGGGACAGAATAGTGCTGGATATCAGGTTTGGTGCTTCATGCTTCTTGCCAAAGTAAGTGCTACTTTCATTTCATCAACCACAGTCATTGCACATCAAGAGCAAGTTATATTGTGTGTAAGAGTAATTTAAATCCCTCTAACCATCTTAATAAAGCATCTGGAGCTCAAAGGTTATGTAACTTTAGACCTGGCAGCACAGAGAGCTGATTACTGCTGCTGGCAAGAGAGTAGATAACCAAACAGGTTGTAGGCCTTTTTGAAGAAATCAGCAAATAACAGATTGAACGACGACATTTGTCCCTTGATTTCTCAGTGTTACATTATTCTGCTGTTATGTTGCATTAAACCCTTTAGGAATATTATGACCCAAATTTAGAAATATACTTTTTTTTAAAATAAAGATTAGTAGTAGTAGCTAGTTTAATTAAACAACTGAAAACTAAACGCTTTGAACAATTTGTTTACGTTTGGATGACTTTAATAGCTAAATATATTACACCATAACATGTTAATCTAAGATCAATTTTATTATTGTTATTAGTATTATTATTCAATTAATTACTATTTCCCTGAACACAGCCATGTCACCAACCAACGCCGCAAACTGAATTCTTAGAAGACAACATGATGGTCCAACTAATGACAACAAAGGGATGATAAAGGTCTGACTTAGATGCTTACACCCGCCCTTACACACACAAACAAACACACACACACAGACACGCACACACTGACCCCGTTGGCAGCTGCCATCTGCACAATGACCCCAATAGCTGTTCTGTTGAAGAAGCGTCCGTCTCCCCCCACCACTACCGTTGATCCCTGTCGGTCCCGTAGGTCGATGGAGGAGAAGATACTCTGGATGAAGTTGTGTAGATAGTTCCTCCTGGATTGGAACACGTGGACCTTTTTCCTCAGGCCGCCGGTGCCGGGTCTCTGGTCCGGGTACGGCGCTGTAGGCACAGTCAACACCTGCAGGAGACCGTCGGCCATTGTTTTCAAAATGAGAATCCAACCTCCTGCAACAGCGGCGATGGCCACGACTGGTGTTTGGAGGGAGATCCCCCCGGACGAGGGGAACCGTTGGCGGGGGGGGGGGGGGTGGGTAGGGATAGCAGGGGCGTAATCTGGACTCCTCCCGTCATTGCACTGGAAGTACTGGGTTACAGTGGAACTTCTGAAGCCTAAAATAACTTTTCGAACCCATGTGTGTTCCGAGGCAGGGGGGAGTAACTGAAGACGCTCCTTCACACATGTGCAGGGAGATCACTGGTCAGGCTGCAGACCCCATCACAAAGAAATGTGTGTGTGTGTGTGTGTGTGTGTGTGTCTTGAAGAAGAAAGTACAGAGGTGTTATGGGAGCTATTCGTCCATCTGTAAACGGTTGCAGCTCTGCTCGGGGAACCAATGAGAGGTGACATTTCTCATTGGAAAGGGCACTCAGCACTATTTTAGAAGGGGATATTTCCCCTTTTTGAATGCTGAGGGTGTGAACGAAGAGTATAAGAGGAGCAAGTCTTTAGAGGCATATACTGTATATAGATGGGGTTTTAAGGAAGTATCCGTGTAAAAAACAGTAGTTTGTCCAATCTAATTTTACGTGCAGCACTTAAATGAGAGCGTGGGGATCTGAATAGTTACAGAGCAACACCGCCTTCTAGTGTTTGTTACTGTCTCCAACAGCACAATACAAAAGCGTTCCCAGACCACCCGGAGCATTTTGACCCCATAGCACAAACCCGCATGAGTCATCCATTTAAAAGACTTTGGCCTCAAAATGAAGTTGTTTTTTTGAGTTCAAGGATGAAATGAATCTGTACCAAATGTGTGTCAACATAAAAAGACCATTCTGTGCTAGAATCACCAAACAAACAGAACATTATAGATTTTTGTGACGATCAAAAAATGTTATCCGAAGTCAAAATAAATGTTATCTAGCTGGGGTTTCCAACCTTAAAATGGCCTCGTCACTCAGTAAAGACGTCAGTGTAATCAGATGCGCAGATGATTTACATTTTTATTTTAATTGAAGCAGTAGAAAAATGAATCAATCTAACGATAAGTAATTGTGCTGATAATCATTTTCCTAATTAATAATGCCAATAGTTGCAACATCGCCGTCACAGACGACTCATTTCTGGTATTTTCTAATAATAAATAGATCTTTGGATCAGAAGCATTTTTCTATTTTCATTTTTTTATCCAGTAATTAAAAATCCCCATCAGATGCAACCCTTCATTTGAATCATTTAAAGATGACAGAGTAGAGTTTTGTATCCTTTTAATTCCCTCTAAACGTAGATGCAGATGTATCTTGCGACCTCCTCATTGGCCTCCGCCATGTCGGAAACCGCTGATGTATGTTGTTGAGTCAACGTGACCCGATACAAAACTGCTCACCCACGACTGTACGTTTGAATTCCTCCTCCATAACCTTTGACCTTTAAGATACAGAGCGTGGACATGTGGTCATGTATGCTAACTGTGTTTTGGTATTTTCCAGATGTCACACTACAGGCGGCCCTTTGTTCGTCTCTCTCACAAAATGTAACGCTTGTTTAGTTTCCTCTGTGACTCAATCTACTTGAACTTGGCACTCGGGAAGAAACGTCTTCGCCTCAGCCCAAGCCGCCTTAAGCCATGGCTGTCCATATGAAGCATTGTCAAGGCTAAATACAGCATTTTCACTGAGAACACTGGCACCGGATCACAGAAAGACACCTGTTTCAGTGGAGGCAGTCGAGGAGGGGTTGGTACTGGGGGAAGCCGCGGGGTGCACAGAGATCTGGGTAAACTTCAGGGAGTAATACGCCTTTTGGCCCGGCTTCCACTGAATCCCTCTCCTACGATCTGAGCGCCCCTTGGCTCTCACGTGGAAATACCTCCCGTTCAGGTTGGTGTCTCCGCAGGCGTTGTACCACCATCCACCTGGCGGATGACAGAAATGACACGTTGTTCAGCTGATACTGGATGACAAGTATTCATTAATCCCCCCCCGTTTAGCGTCACATGAGGATAATCATGTCTCCCACATGTGCAGCTGCTGTACCTGTGTAGTCGTGGGCACAGTTAGACTCCTGGTGCTTGTCATTGTCCCTGTCCTTGGTGGAGAACATCATGCCCGTGTGGTTGATCATGGGGTCCGGCAAATCTCCAGACAGATGCGTGAGGTGAATGGTGTAGTTGCTTTCAGGACCATTAAGGTTAAATCTGTATTCAATGAAGCGCCTGTTCTGCTTCCAATCTTCCAGCTGGATGTGAAGGACAGAGCTGCCCTGAGTGACTAGAGAGTGGAGGCTCCTGAGACCCAGCCAAAAGTCCCCTGAGAGAGAGACACCAGTGAGCCGTCGCAGCCGACAGGATTTGGCAAGCGCCATTTAGACATTTCATAACAATGATATAGCCTAAGTGATTTTAGAATTTGTAATAGTTTAGTTTTAGAAAAAGAAGACAGTAATGTCTTTCACCTTGAAAGTCTCCAAACCCATTTTCATACTTCTCCCAGCTTTGATCAAAATTCACCGAACCATCCGTCCTTCGCTGGATCACTGTTGCTCCGTGATCTAAAACAGAAGAATAAAAAAACAAATACAAAAAGGTTATAATCCTCAAAATGTATTTCATTCAATAGACAGTTGAACTTCATGAGGATAAACGATTCTGATCTTTGATGTCTACCTTTGCTCATGTCACAAAAGGCCATGAAGGGCTCCATTCCGTTGGGTCTGATGGCGTAGACGCCACTGACTCGCTCCCCTCTGTTGAACAGGTCACTGCAGTCTGATGGCAGATCTATTTAAGACGGTCAACACATTCAAATCAGCAGCAGTGGAAAATCCTAATATAACACTGTAAAGTTCATCACGCTTTATTATCAGTCTTACTGGTGGTGCTGGTGGGGCTGGTGGAGCTCGAGGTCAGGTAAGGGGCGAGTGTTGGTGCTTCACTTCTGAAGCTGTCAGGCATCTTCTCGATGGTCTCTTGTGTCAATGTGTTTAGTGTAAACTAAGAAAAATAGTCAGGGAAAGACATAATACTCAGACTCACTGCAGATTAAATAGAAATTCCACACGTAACCAACTTTGGATCATCAATCCGCAAAAGTCTTTGATATAACAATAATAATATTGGGCTTCAAGGACCAATGAAAATGCAAGCTTATTATAGCACTGAGGCTAAGATTATTAAAATTATGGAAAACGGTGTTATTATGTCTGCAGCCTCTTCCAAAGATTTAAAAACTAATTTAGATAGTAAAGTAACAAACCGAGTGGAAAAGCTTGTGCATTCTGACCGAATAAGGGACCATATAAATGATGATGTGAAGGAGTGCTGAAACCAAGAGTCAACCACGTTGTTTTCACCTCCATAAATAGTTTTGTTGCCCCGAGCCCGACTTCCTGTGAATCAAGTTTATTTTGAAAAGACATTATGCAACCGACAGGACGGACAGGGAGGGTTTGCGTAGAGCAAAGTAGATGGAAGCCGAGGGCCACAGACCGATGAGTTTGTAAAGGGAAACGTGGCTGCTAAGATAGTGAAAGATAGTAATTAGATCCGATAATGCTATAGGCTGATATGTAAGGCAGCTTGTGCCACATGACAACAGACCTGCAGTGCTGGTGAACTTCTTAAGGACGCAGCTTAGAATGTGATGCAACTGATTGGATTGCAACAATAAAACTCGCATGGAATTAATGGGGGAGAAAATGGGTAAAAAACGTTTGTGTTAGAATCCACTAACCCTGAGCAGAAAGAAAAATGACATCATCCATCCTCTTCTTTATCTACCTTTTCCTCTAGAATCCTGATCTTCGCTCTCTGGTGGTTGAGCTGGTCGCTCTGCTCCCTCACAGCCTCCAGCAGCTCTGAGATGCTCCGCTCCTGGCTGTGGATGACTTCCTGACGGGCGACCGCGAAAGAATCATGGGAACTGTTAAGGAGTGCTCTTGTTTCATTGTTAATGTTACAGACAATACTTGGAGTCTGTATTTAGATTGGGAGAACAATCACACCCCGAAGTGTCGGCCCTTTCCAGTTTTTTCCAGTCCTCAAAGGCTGAAAGTCGCCATCCCACCAAGAAAACGTTGCGCTTTATAGTTTTGTACGTAAATGATCTTTCAGAGTCAACTTCCCTTCAGGATTAAACAAATCTTTAAGAAGAACATCCCTTTTGTACAGCAGGGGACTCACCCTGAGGCCGTTGATCTCTGCCACTTGTTCGCTGGTCACCAGGCCGTGTGACATGCTGCTCAGCTTCTCCTCCAGCCCTTCCACCTTGTTCTTCAACTGGGTCTTCTCCTGCAGGATGCTGTCCACTTTGGAGCCGATCTTAACCGACATGTTTTTGATCTCTTCGTTGTTGGCCTTCAGCACCACCGTGGTCTTCTTCAGCTCCTCTTCCTCCTCTTTGATTTCGCTGGCAAGCACTGACAGCTGGTAAAATGAGTTGTCAAAGATGTTGAGCTTCTGGAAGATGTCGTTTATTTGTCCCCTCGTCTTCTGCACAAACTCCCTCAGGCTCTGGCCCAGCTGGAGGAGGCCGTTCCCCAGGAGACGCACATCGTCGAGGGCAGCAAAGCGGGAGCGGGTCTCAGCGGGGGCCTCCGGCCCGAGGACCGGCGGCCCCCCTTCGCCAGACAAGGAAGGGACACAGGCGGCAGCCGCGACCAACAATACGGGAATTAGTGGGATTCTCATGTTCTCATGCAGATTCTCCAGCTGTGTGTTAGTGATGTTATGGGGACAACCGGCAGCTCTCCTGTGTGACAGGTGATGATCTTGGGCTTTATGTACTTTGTCTTGAATCAGGTCAATGATTAAGCTGTTCATCTGATCAGCATGGATGATGCAGCTTCCTCTTCCTGAGTGGACTATTGAATGTTGAGTCAATAATCAAACTTGATCATCTGAAAAAAGAAATTCAGGTTGCATTCCCTTCTTTTTAGATCTGCTTTTATTTGCGCTCTATATTTGCGCTCTGTAAAATATGACTTTAAGTTCATGTTATTGGAATCTTTTAACTGATATATCTAGCAATGGAATGGAAGTGCACTGAAAGTATGCATGCAATGGCACTAGGGATAAAAAACGGCTGTTGCACACAATGAAAACAAGCAACGTGAATTGCTTGTAAATAAATTGATAGAGAAAATGCTTCCTGATTCAGCATGCTGCACCTCTTCGGGATAATATCAGCTTTATCTCCCTGGAGTGAACCTGTACAAACACAGGTTTTTTTTTGCGCAGGCTCTATTGCAAAAAGTGGGTGTATGAGGTGAGACATAACCACCAATCTACTCAAGAGGGATGACCCATATTCTCCTCTGTTAAATATTAACTATCAATTTGAGCGCAGGTTTGCACCGGCCCCGGCAGTGTGTACACAGCAAACACTTCACAACCCTGACTTCAGCACGGGTCCGGTTCTCTTGATGGTAAAATGCACGAGTGCACAGTGGCTCACATTTATGAAACTTCTAAAAACAGAAGCCGCAGGCCAGCTTCAAAGAGTAAAGGTGCACGGTCAAGGGGCCTTGTGGAGGCTAAAGGGGGCTTCTGGGATGAACAAAGGAAGGGTCTGAGGTGGAATATTGAGTATCATTGTTTAGTCCTTGTATATTATAACCCATTCAAACCCATTTGTACACTAATTTCACTAGTCCTTGTATATTATAACCCATTCAAACCCATTTGTACACTAATCGTCAGAACCAACTACTTATTCACAGCCCATGTTGTACTGCGACTGAGTATTTTAATATGTACTTTTTGGGGTTCCAAAATGAGACCAAAATGAGAACAAGAACAGTTGTCAAGTTGCCATGTGTATTATGTAAGACCCACTATGTTCAGCGTGGGTTATGCAAGGTGCTCCAAATGGAATACACACAAAATCTCACCCTATTTTCATTTTTCTAAAATCAGGGTGATGGTACTCAGGATCCGGCTGGATCATGGCAACGTTTTGAAGGAGTCAACCACATTTTTACTTGGTCTTGGACAAAGCGGATTCAGGATTTTATTACAAGACGGAAAAGACCACCGTTGTGGGAATATCATTAAATTAATACTTGCAATACTGTAATACCTCCTGTGTTGGATGCAAGCAACACTACAAACGGCTGTCGAGCATCTCACAACTTTCACATTTACCCCAAAAACAACAGAAGAAAGAGCTGTTTGAGACCAATCTTTGGTAATAAAATGTGGCTACCCAACACGCAGCACTGGTCTTGTTTTTCGCTCGGTGTTGGCCTGCAATGGTTCTTGTATTGGTGCCAGTACACTGTGGTCTCCGTTCGGTGGTCTTACTATAACACAAGTGATGCTGGATATCATCAGTCAAAACGTGTGGTTGCTGCTTCAGGGAATCTTCAAAGCACTCGCCCTCCTCCTCCTCCTCCTCGGGGTCCTGCATACAACGACCTTAGGGGCTGTTTTTCTGCCAACGTCCATCAGGCTGTACACTGCTTACTGCCTGCTGGAGGCTCCTCAAGTCTCCTGCAACATTCAAAAGCAAACTGCAAATGTGTTTTGTTCACACAGCACACTTTGGACTAAGATATAAGTAATTTGCGTCTAATTTCGGAGAATAAAAATCAATGCAATATTCCTTCTTAAGAAAGTGTACAGCCTTAAGAATAATGTGAGAGAACTGCAGCCTGCGGCTGACATCCACATTCATATGAATTCCGGCTGCTTTACTTACTATAGGACTAAACAATCCTCTGTTTTTCCCTCAGTCAAGCGTCTGTGGCCCTGTTGCCAAAAGGACGTTCCTGATTCATAGTTTGCTGTTACATGACTACTGTTTCAATTGGCCAATGCAGCTACAGCAAAACCAGTAACTCCCCTGACCACAAGCCACAGTTACATAACACACATCCCAAGGGGGGAGAAGTAGGCTGATGGGCCTTTAGGTGGACTCAACTTTACTTTAAACTTTTCCATCTGTCTCATGTTTTGTTATATCAGCTGTCCTTTACACGCCCGACTTCAAGAAATCATTGAGCAACAAAAATAAAAACAGCATCTATGTGGATGTTGGATTACTTAGAATGACCAACAAGATCAGAAAACGTTCAGGATCATTTCTTCAACAGAAAACTTTTAAAGCATTCAAAAAGGTCTCACGGTTCAAAGTAAAACAAGTAAGCGGCTATCGGCAGTATTATCTAAACTTCAGCTGTTCCTTCTGCTGTGAGGCAGCGATTACAAGTAATAAGAGGAAAATGAATTCATTGCAAGCGTTGTGCCTCATCGCTTTGTGGGCCCTAAATGTCTATTTGTATGTTAATAATGAAAGATTATTTTCAAGCCAATATAAAAAGCATTTACATTTGCACCTCATATTTCCCCATCAAATATGATGCAACTCTAAATCTTTCTCGGAAACAGACCTTGAGCAGACCAAGAGATTTGCAGGCAAAGTTTTCTGCAGTATGTGGTTGGTCCTTTGGTTCACTAAAGACCTTTTTTTTTCTCTCTCCCTCCCTCGAGTCGAACCACAAGCCCTCTCGGAGTCAGTTGTCTGCTTGGGTAATGGAAAAGGAGTATTTCTTGCTAATTCTCGCCAAATCCTTTTCCATCCATGGCGGGGCACTGTGTCGGTCGTTGCTAACTAACGCATCCAAAAAGGCATAAGGAAAAGCTAAATCGATCCTTAATGATTTTACCAAATTTCACGGCAATCCATCTACTAGTTGTTGGGACACATACAACCTCACATGTGAACCGTGTGGTGGCACATCTGAGCAACGTATTTGTGCCAATCCCACAATCAGCATTTTCTCTAATGGTTCACAGGGGGAAACTCTTCTGCTTGCAAAACAAAAAGAGGCTCCCTTGATTCATTCCCTCAGTTAACATTGTAAACATGAGTTTATGGTCTCAATCACTAGTTTCAAGACTTCTTCAATACAGCATTGTGCTCTATTCAGTAAGTCCCGTCTGGATCAAATTGATAGCACGACCTCAGAAGCAATTTCTTCTCTTTCACAAAAACCCCTTGGTGATAGAAGACAAGCAACCAGACAGATGGTTGTTTATTCTCCAGTGTTAAAAGGAGCAGAGGAAAGGATCTCCTGGCACGATGTTGGTGCCCCAAAGGGAGACGGTGGATGCGGGTTGAAAGCGGATCCGTGAAGAATGGGAAGTATGCGCTGAAGGAATTGACCCCCGTGGACGGCATCGAGCCTTCTGGTCTCCCCCCTGTTTACTGGAACGTAGAGGACAGAGACCACATAACCCTGGGTAGGGTTTCACATTCTGAACCAGGGTGGTCTGTGAGGCGCTGCGTGGTCACGGGTCTTATCTGAGAGGATTGTGGACGGTACAGTAAGGTGACTCTGGCACTCTCTCTTACTCAATGCCAGATGCTCCATATTTTTTGACATGTTGTCACCAGGGGCCCCCAAAGGGAGCTGCTGCCGTTTCGCCGGTCAGCTGCTAACTCTGAACTCCCATTGGCGGCTCTCTGGAGGAACGGGTGCGGTTCTGTGTGTCCGGAGGCCCGGCCCACAAGCCCCGCCCTGCCCAGCGCTCTCCTTCACACACACGAGCAGACCCAGCTTCTGTTATGGCAGGGGCTTCACGTTGGCGCTCCCCAAACGGTCGCAGCATGCCACTCTCCCCGACAGCGCCTCCCTCCCACCTCAGGAGACAGACACACGGGCTGGACTGAGCCGGGGGGGGGCAGACTGCAGAGGACCGTCTGACACACATCACCAGCAGAAAGCTGCTGAGCACATGTCACAAGGTAAGCCGTTGTCCTTATATCTCTCAGACGGTGGAATGTTTGGCTGGGTTGTCCAAGCCGAGGTCCTGGATATTGACCTTGAAAGTCTTAAGATCCAGGACAAGCAGATCTATATTCAGGGTCGGGAAAAGGATAAAGTGATTTAAGGAATTGTGTGGACAGACACTGAGACTGTGTTGAATACTAATCAGACTTTCACGAGAGCCACTTTGCCTTTTAAAGATGTTGAATTCGATTTAAATTTAATCTTGAACATAGACAAACACAGCTCCACGTGAACACACACACACACACACAGGGCAGCACACTTTCTATTTTAACCTTTCCATGCAAACATACCATAGTTTTCTCTTTGCGTGAAGCCTGTGGCAGCTGTTTCGTCCCACGGGCTTCGGCTCCGAATACCACAAAACGGGTTGGAGACGCCACAATGCAACCCTGACCCTGTTACTGTTGGACAACGACCAAGACTCCAGCGGTCCAAAAAGACGGAAATAGACAAAATGCAAAAAAGGTGATTTCCTGGATTTCATGGTGTTTATGGAGACAGTGGATGAAAAATGTGAGTTTGACAGGGGAAAGTAGAATTAGAGCAGGAGGGAAAATGGAGCTGGAGTTCAAACCGTTGGCTTGTGTTCCTAAATTAACTCCAAACAGAAGACAAGGTTATATGTGCTGAAGAAAACCACAGTCTGTACAGCCAAGAGTGGAAGTGAAAAATGTTTTTTTGGGAACAGAAGGTGGGCAAATAACATGTGGATATCTCTGAAACATCCCTGTAGGGTCTCAAATTCATTATATAAGTACTTTCTCACATTTGAGATGAGAATCATCAGTGACAAAGTACAGTGACGAGGTTATACATTATCTGAACTGACAACTTTGAATAAACGTTATTCCATTAGTCGTAAAAAAGTCAAGCAGCTCTGTGAGGATGCACTTGAAGGCCCTTTGGTGATTTGAGCAAGACGTTAGTATCAGGATTACAATGGCAATGCAAGTTAATGTTCACAGTCTAATTCTAGCATGTTTGCTAATCATTGATTTAATGATGATATGTAAAGGGTTCATCACAGTTTAACAACCTATCTTGAGGGGGACGTAAACATGCATATAAAAATGTCAAATGTCTTCATTACCGTGTAACTAAATGAAAAGTCAGGGTGTCAGTGGTCACCAAAGTCTTTGAATGTTTACTCACAATCCCTTAAACAGCTGTTGACATATTTCAGCCTGCAAAAAAATAGGGGAAAAACTCGCATTCAATCAATGACTGAACCAGGAGTTTTCTTCTTCTGATTTAAATGGAGACTAACCTGCTTGACACTTGCAGAGTCAGAAGTTCATATTTGACTTGGGGCTTTGGTAAAGAATGTTGTGCTTGGAGATATTATGAATACAGGATTCATGCTGATGCAGGACTTTCAAAATGTCTGTGTGTTAAGTGATACATTTATCCAGAGGATAAAAGAACCCCAATAAAACAAAAGGGACGCTTTAAAAAACAAGATATTCTACCCTAAAAGCTAATGATAACTCACTCACTCTAATGCTTGACTACAAGCAGCATTTAAGGAAGTTTGTTTGGGTAAAGGCAAAACCCTTTCACGTTTTATTTCTGGGTTTCCTGTGAGGTGGGCCCACTAGCATGCACAATTAATATCCATGCCACGGAAATGTGGAGAATTGAGCAATGACTCTCGGGATTCATCCCTAACTCTCCTGTATTGTTTTCTTTGTGGAAACCTGGTCAAAAAAAGCTTTTGGGCTACATCTGTTTTCCAAAACCAAGTGAAATGCCCGTGACTTTCCACGGGTTCTGGAGCCAGACCGTGGCCAGCAGTAATAATCTCCCAGCATAGTTTAGCACAAAGCTAAAGAGAATAGTATCAACCATCTCGTTTAACTCTCAGCAAGAAAAACAACACTTTTTACGAGGTAGACGCTTCATCTTATACGGCAAAGTACGAATGTAAAAGGCTTTCCTGTAAGTGTTTTGTTCTCTGGACCTGCAGCCTGCGTCCTCCCCGTGACGAGCGAGCCGGCAGTGACTGATTGAGATGTCAGCAGCAACAGGTGCTCTGCAGCTACTCGTAGTCAACATTGCTCAACGCCTCGCTAGCTCAAAACAACGGGGGTTGATTTCGCTGTGCTTCCAGTTTGTTTTCTACCCAGAGGTATTGAGTGATCCTATATTACTCTGCGATAATATAATGAATAAAGACACACGTCTGGGTTTTTGTCTCCCGGCATGCACACCCACGCGTATAGGCTGAATTTAGACTCGTCAAATCAAGCGCTGAAAGATCCCACTCAACGTCATAAAAAGTCCCCTGGCACAACTACAAAGTGTGTCAGAATCAATGTTAAACACGTGTATTAGGTTTCTTTATGACGCGGGTAGATGAAATCCAGCATTAGGTTAGTTTTTGCGCGACCGTTAGTTGACATTTCAGTTATACAGGCTATACTTTATTGTCCAATAATGTAACGGTTCGGGGGCGTTGTTAGGCCCGACGCGCAGCGGGGGGGTCGGCAAACCATCGATAAAGTACAGCCTCTCGTACCTTGTAAGTAAGTAAGGGTGAACCAACTATTGTACTAAGTAAAGCAACTATTTGAAATAGTATCATTACTATTAACTTACTCATTACTTTTACTTGCTTACTTTCTTCTACTTTTTTTTGGTTTTAAAGAGTTTACAATTTTTATTTCATGTCATTTGTCATAGTTTGACGTCAGTGCGGATGGTAAATGTTGTCCACGGGAGAAATAAATTCCAGAGTGAGCAATATTTTGGCTGGGAAAGCTGATCTCTTCTGCTGCGGAGCTTAAAATTAAATTATTTTTTTTGACACCAAAGTTAGACAGGCTGAATTCGCTCATTAACTCATTTCACAGGCAATTAAACTGGGAAAGTTCAATGACCACAATCAGCCCCAAATCACTGCGGTGATCACGGTAACCATTTTTTGGGACGCCATTTTGCTTTTGGAAACTTTGAAATACAAGTAAAGTGGAGCCCCGCAGCTGTGAAAGCTGAGGTCGCGGTCTGTATTTCTTCCATGCCTCCGATGATGTCACTTTCCGCTTCAGCCCAGAAAAGATGTAAATACAAGAAGAACAACAGGCATTTTAACACTCTGTATCTCAAACTCACAGTGATCGAGTTAGAAAAATGGTATCATAAAGGTATCATCTTAAAAGATATAAAAAAATAGAGCAGGATGGCCTGCAAGGATTGCATGTATTTCTACATTTTCACATGCACATGCATTTTTACCTGGTAAATGTGTGCACATTTGTAACTGTACTGAAGATTCACTACTATCTAAAGTTTATCTTGATAGACTTTTTGAAAGACAGAGGTCAAAATTCCCAGCAGGGCCATTTGGCAGTGTTTGTCTGTTTACTACATAGCTGACATGGTTTGTGGCCGTGGTCGGGTGGCTGCAGAGCCTCAAGAGAACAGGCGCTAGTGGTCAGGAGTGGGGTGAGAAGAAGGAGATGGGAGGAGGTAAGGCTGGAAGGGCGCAACTGAGAGAAGGAGGTCGGGGAGGAAATGACTATTTGTGCATTTGTGTATCTGTGGTCTGTTGTCATAGAGAGAAGAAGGGAGAGTCGGCATAATATCAATATATAGCCATGCTGTAAACAAAAAAAAAGAAATAAAAGAAGAGAAAACCGTTCAAGTGAGAGACAGCTCAGTAAAAGTAAACCCCGGGTCTGACCGAAGACTGCAGACGTAGTAGGAGGCACAGAGAAGGCAACAAGGGAGGAAAGTAGTGAGTCACAACAATGGTTGCCTGTATTTAATGTCTGTGGGAGTGTATTTTTCTGCACTGGCCATAGCGGCTGCGCTAAACCATCCCAAGCTATTTTCAGCGCTCATCCTGGATGGATGGCAGGGCTGTAATTAAATGAACATCAGGCGTGCCACTCGTGAATAATAGCAGGGTGATCCAGGAAAATGAAGCAGTGAGAAAAAAAGACGAGAATAATGACTGAGGAAGGAAGGGAATACACTCCAGCGTAATTGAATGTGCTCTGTGCTCTGTGCTCTGCGCTGCATGTGGGAGACGGAATAGAAAAAATGTTCATAGTGATCTTAATCTGGTCACTAAACAGTTAAACCAATTCATCAGCTTTCCATTAGATGTCCTTTCCATTGGTTGCTGGCTCAATTCACACCCGTATTTCATTTGATTGTGTTTCTTTTGTTAGATTCCAAAGATCCAACAAGAAAACCTGAAAATCGTTTGGACAAGTGAAGAGAGAAAAAGGGATGGAAGAACAAAACGGTAAAATAAAATAAAATATGACAGAACTGTTCAAAACTTGTGTTACCAATTACATTCTATCAAATGATTACAGGAAATATCAGGCCTCATAAAACAACGGGGAACGGGATCAAAGGGAAGCCCCCATACTCAGTGGAAACACCTTACGGCTTTCAACTTGACCTGGACTTCCTAAAATACGTAGATGACATAGAGAAAGGAAACACGATCAAAAGAGTGCCCATCAAGCGCCGAAGCAGATGCCCCAGAGCGAGCACTCTTCCCAGGCAGCTCAACCCTTCCGGGTGTGGCTACCGCCCGAGCCCTTGGGGGTCTACTGGGGCTCTCGGCCCCAGGTTCCGACTGTCGGATCACCATGGCTACGCCTCCTGGTCAAGCGATCACCGGCCGCCACACTCGCCTACAGGGCTCAAATCCCTGGCAGAGATGGAGGCCAGAATGAAGGAGTTTGATGAGCAACCGTTCGGTGAGCACGTCAGGCCTCACCTCCCGCGCGCCTCCAGTATGCCTATCACGGTTTTACTGAGACAGGGCTCAGAGTCCAGCAGCCTCGGGAGTTCAAGGGATCCCCTCGGAGAGCGAGACGCCTCCTGTGAAGACGTCTTCAACTACCCGGATAGCCCTCGACCCCAGGAGTGCGCCGGCCTGTACAGGCGCCTGGCGGACGCCCTGGAACGCGTGGGGGAGCTGGAGATGGAGGTGAGGGTGGTTCCAGAGCTCAGGGCGCACATCTGCGTCCTCCAGGAGGAAAGGGAAAGGCTCCGCCGGGACCTGGATCCACATGCACCACCCTCTTCAGTGAATGGTACCAGAGACCCTTGTGCCTCGTCCCACTACGGCAGAGTGGACATCAAAAGGCTTCGGCATGAAAGCGGCGGCATCAGTCCCAGAAATCACAGCGGTAATGTAGAGGACTGCAGTCCTAAGCATGAGTGGAGGACGAGCACAGATCTGGATGAGCTGCTGACGGTGACGTCCCTGCAGGCCAAAGTCGCCGCACTGGAGCAAAAGCTCCACGAGACTAGCCTGGAGCTGCAGATGGCTTTAGGTCTGCTTAGGGATCAAATGGAGGAGAGCAGAAAGAAAGATGAGAAGATGGAGCACATTATGAGGAATGCTGCAGTGGTGGTCCGTGCAGAGAGGGGGGCGTCGGACCGGAATGGAGATGATTCTATTGAACCTTATGATAAAGTGTCGAGACGTCCGGATGCAAGAATTGTTAGGACAAATGGACAAAGAGGCAGACAATGGGACAAACCGGCGACAACGGATGCCGGAGAGGCTTGGGATGAAACTGCAGTGGTCGCCTACCACATAGAGAAGGTCAAGAGGCTCTTGTGTCAGCAGTGGGAGTGCCTGTGTGTAGGCCATGAGTCGGGAAAGGGCAAATCTCTGCAGCACCCTGACCCCAAAGTCAACTCCCTGCAGCAGGAGATGATGGGACTCGTCGAAATCCTCACCTCCTACTACAGCCGACAAGGAGCCGGGGATGGAGAGAGGAGGCAACACGGAGGTACCGTAGTCCACAGATTGCACTTTATGTCACTGCAATGATCAAGATGTTCTCACCCTTCTTCACACATCTGCATCATGAAACAATTTTAGAATCTGGTTGATAAATGGTTGAATTTCCTACATCTCTTGTAAGTTCTCATTAAGACTGATTACCAGCAACCTACTGTAGCAGGAACTTCCGCACAGGTGGTTGTGAATACTTTGCCAGGTTATTATTCATTTTTGACTTTGTATATATTTAATTTTTTGTAAACTTTACAGGCATGTATTTCAAATCCAATGAACGCAGAGTTTAAAGGCGAGTGTGATGCCAAAGGCGCTTGAAGCAGGTGGTTAGGAAAGGGGCCATTGCATTCCCCCACTCTGTCCCCCTCTTTGGTGCCGCTGCTGCTGTGATTCCTGTCACCAGGCGGCCATTAGTTTGAACTATGCTAGTTTCAGATTCAGAGTTTTGCCCTTTTGAAAGTGTCATAAATCACAGCATGGAAAGCAGACATATCAATCGTCAACCTCACAGAGGTGCATTCACACGCTTCCAATCTTTTGTTGGTAGAGGGAATCTAAACTGCAAACCGTATGGAAATATTTACTACAGATTCTATTATTTCAACATTTCAAACCCAAGAGTTGATGAGCCGGTGGAGCTCTGTGAAGCGCAGTGTTTGTCAATAAAAACATTAGCACCGTAACAGCGGAACAAGAGCAGGTTTACGTGAGGAAACTCCCACTCCTACTACTGAAGCTGTGTCAAAACGAATGTTTTCATTAAAGAGGGTTCATCCCCATGTTGCATTGGCAGATTCAGGCCCACAGTTTACCCATCAATCATGCCAATCAATGCAATTTGGACTAAACATTTGTTCTGATATGCTTTTTTGGTTGGAAATGGCTGCTTATAAGCCACGAACCGTTATAGATATGTATTTGTAAGTGTTGTTCAGCTGTGACATTGAATCAGATCTCCTGTGTTTGTTCTTCAAGTAGCCTCTAAATGCATCGCCAGGACAGACGGATGCGCCCTGAAGACAAAAAGCCCACATTCTGTTGGTGTTGATGAAGGGTTAGTACGAACTCCCTCCGGCTTCAGCAACCTTTGGTGTTATGATTGTTACTTACGCCTAGTTCTGGTTAAAAAAACATACAAACTTAAGGTTTTTATTAAAATATATAGTTCTGACCAAGATAAGCCCAAATGCTCTTCAGTTCGGAGTTTGAGGAGAAACGGTACATTTTGAAAATCTTTGTTTTGCTCCTAAATGAGCCCTCAAACATTCCAGGGGGGGATGATTGATCGAGTTTGATGTCATTTGCTGATGCTCTAAATGTTGTGTTTTTAGTGTGTGTATATATTTATTTTTTACTTTTTATTTTTATTTTTAAAAAAGATCTGTAGCTATGTGGAAGGAGAGCGAATCAAAATAAGCATTCCATTCTACAGAGTAACCTGTTAAACTGTATACATCACAATGAATGTCTTATCTTGAATCTTGATCAGTTCAGTTTAGAATCAGTTTAGATTCAGTCGCCAACATTTACCACCATTTGGGAGGCAGAGAGTTTTTAAACGTATGCTCAGCTCGTCTTCCTTCTCTTTTCAAAGACGTGAAAGTGGAAATGTGGTTGGGCAGGACTCAGTGAGTGAGGGCGGCCAGAAGGAGAGCAGCATCAACCTGAGGGAGATGGCCGCTGTCCAGGTGGATGGAGTCCCGGGGGAGAGGCGGATGGAGGGAATGACGCGGACAAACCCAGGAGGACAGATGATATCGGGCGGAGCAGAACCAGGGCGGACAGATGGAAGCGCAGTGTCCCCGGAAGCTGAGAAAACGGCCAAGACCAAACCACAGCCCCCAGGGGAACAGATGGAGAGGAGGTCTGGCTCGGGAATCACCACCAGGGGCCGGTGAGAGGACCGGAACGAGCGCCCGATCACTTATTGTTCTGGAGAATGTGATGCTGATGTTTATTTTTCAGGTAATAACTACATAATGCTAATGTCTTTCTCTTTCCTCTTTCCTCATGCCCACATTCACATGTTGATTCCTCCAGAGAGACAGTGAATTTGGATTTTCTGGCTGCCTGTCATTTGCTCAAAGATCACATGGATCACATAGATAACCCCAATGAAGACATGGTAAGCAGCACTGATTCTCCCACAAACATCTCAAATTAACGTGTATATATATATATATATATATATATATATACATATATACATTGCTCCCATATTCCCCTCTGTGTCTCCAGAGGAAGGCCCTGGTTGTGTTGTTTCAGCACTGGTTCAGCGCGGCGGCCGAGGAGACCTCAGAGGCCGGCAGGGTGTCCGCGTACCTGAGCGACGTGAAGAAGACCACGCCTTCCCTCTTGGCCTTCTTGATCAACCTGGCTGATGACAACGGCAACACGGCGCTGCATTACAGCGTGTCCCACTGCAACCACAGCATCGTCAGTCTGATACTGGACACAGGTCATTGCAGTGTGTTTCCAGAGCTAGTGTACAAATATACGGGTGGGTTCGTCCATATGGGGGAAGTTACTTTATTCTTTGTTTTACAGGTGTGAGTAATGTGGGCCTTCAGAACAATGCGGGCTTCACAGCAGTGATGCTGGCCTCGCTAACGGCGCCTGACGGTCCGGGTGGGATGGAGGTGGTCCGCAGGCTAATGGAGCAGAGCAACATTAACATACGCTCCAGCCAGGTACAAACCATCCAATGCAAACACCGCTTCAATATGACATGGCTCATTTTATTATAGGTGAAGAGTGGATTTTAGTGGACCAGTGTGTCCCCCTCAAAACTATAGTGCAGGTTGTTTCAGTCGTAAATTTGAAGATTTTATTTAATCTAACAATCAAAGGATCATCCCACTGATTTGACACACAAAAATACGGTTAAGGCTAATATTCAGGGAGCTTTTGTAAATCTGAGAAAATATTTAAAGCCCAATTTAAACCCATCAAGTTCATTATGAAATTGGTCTTGAGAAAAAATTTTCATAAAGTTGTTCTGTTGGTCAACATCTTGGCTTTGTAAACATAGAGTGACCAAATACTGAAGATGGTATTTTTAGGCAGCTGAAGATTTTACAATTAACTTTCAATAACTTAAAAAGTAATTGTTAAATGTTTTAAAAAATAACACAAGAACAGACCAGCGCAGACAAACGCCTTGGCAGTGACCCGTCCATCAGTATGAATGATACCATCATTTGCTAAATCACACATATCACACCGTATTGAAGAAGAGATGGAGACCTTTGAGTCAACCTTAGAGGCCTCCGCTGCTGCAGATCTTTTAAAGATAAAGATAATGTCTTGTGACTTTCTCCCTCTCCACAGACGGGCCAAACCGCTCTGCACCTGGCGGTGAGACACGGGCGAGTCGTGATGGTTCGCCTGTTACTGAGCTTCGGAGCAGACACCAACCTGCAGGACAAACAGGGAACAACGGCCCTGATGTTCGCTTCTGAGAGGGGACACACACACATCGCCAGGCTGCTGCTGGAGAGGAGCCGCTGTGACCTCACGCTGACTGACAAGGTGATGCTGCCAAAGACCAACAACCTATTTTCCTCCAAAAGAATCCTCAAACCCTTTGCCTGCCTAAAGTGCGAGATGTGGGTTGTCTCATCCGTGGTACTAGTTGTTTATGGTCATAGGACAAAAGTTCACTGGACACAAAATCCTGTGAAAAAAAAGCGTGCAGGCAGCATCCCCATTAAATCAAATGTAAGTTCTTGTGACGACAATTCCCTTTTCCTTGTGAAACCCCGTTACATTTGTTAACAAAACAGCAAATCCACTTTTCTATTGATATAAATGAATACAGAAAGGAGCTTAGACGTAGGAACGCTCGAATGTTTTGACTGTGTGGATGTGGGTGGACTGACAAGTCTGCATCAGAATAGAGCTTTCCCAGGATTAATCAGGGCTACAGTGAGCTAATCCGCTAACAGTACCTTATCTGTCTGGAGTGAGTGGAGGCAGCGACGAGAGCTGAGGGGAGGATGCAAATGTATCTCCTGCTTTGCAAACAGTGTGCAGAGAGTGTGCAGTCTCAATATAAAATGTTTCACCTTGACGCGAACCCAGAATAATAAAACGTTATTAAAGTCTGATAAATTTGCACATCAACACACGTTCATTTTAAGGACAGAAAATTGCACATTGTGCACCGCCTTGCACAATGTTTTGTTATTTAATCCGTTTTCTGGGAGCCTAAAGCCTGCACCTTATTGCAACTAATCACATAAACCATACTACTATTCTACTGTTGTGCTGTGTATACGAACAACAGTGCTTCATACTAACAGTGACATCATCATGCTACAACAGCCGAACAATGCTGAGGTTTTTAGGAGGTATTTTTACCATGTAAACACTTTGAGCCCGTAAGCCTTTGCACATAAAACATGTCATTTTTAACAAGCGTATGTACGCTGTGTCTAATTTGACATGGGTTCATAAATGAATATTCATGTTTTTCTGTCTTTTTCTCCCCCAGCGTGGTCAAACTGCACTCTCTATCGCCATGCAAGGTTCCCACACTGATACTGCCGCCCTCCTGCAGGCCCATGCCAAAGCTCGAGCTTTGTAAAACTTGAAAACTATCTGCAGACGTGATTCTCTCACATTTGCTCCTTTCTGCTGATGCACTTTGAACTCTGACGCCGTCTGCTCGGGTTGAACTGCTGCTCGCATATTGTTTCTGAATTATGACAATCTGCACAAGCATTAACTTGTGCTCTAGATGGGATGACATTGGTATATGTGTCATGATTGCTGATGCTCTGTACAGTTAGTGTGATGTTTCCTGTTCTCTGCTGATGAACACATCAGTCATGTCTGATCATTGCACATTCATATGGACAATATACATATATTTATTATATGTGTATTGTATTGGTTATATGTTGACAATTATCGAAAGGTTTGTGTTTTATGTTTTTAGAAAATGTAATATAGCTTTTTTTCCATTATTGCAGCACTCTTTTAGAATAAAATGAGTGTAAAATATAAAAGGAAAAATACCTATGCTGCTTGTTAAGCACTTGACAGAACGCGCAAATAAACCAACCTGTTGATCTTACTAATAATTGATGTGTAAAATGACTGTTTTGAATAAAATGATCAAAAGGGATTCCATGCACGATTGAGCAGTTACACCGAGAGCAAAACTGAGTGAAATTACTTGGTTTGTATCCTTGTTTGGCCAATAAAGCAGATTGAGCTGCTGATACGTGTTGCTGTAATGACAAATCTCACCAGCAGGGGGCGGAACCCCTTTATGTTTCTCTTCAGCCAGCCACCTTACAGTCAGAAAGAAAGGACATACATAAACGTGGATTGCTAAAATGAACATATCCCAGGGATTAGATCTAATCTCTTTCAAGTGTGCGGGAGATTATGAACATCAAATCTACAGAATTTTACAAAATTCAACTGAGACGGAGGACATAAGCTGGTATGGCCCATTAAAGTATGGAAGTGAATGTGTTTGACTGACCTTTGATCTTCTAACCCCCGAGGGAAGCAGTGAGAGTTTTAGTTTTGCTGCATGGACTTTAAATTATGTTTGTGAGATAAAACAAGAAGGATTTAAAGTGGAGACAAAGGCGGAAGCTGGATTTCTATCTGAAAAGCCACCGTATCTCCCGAGGATTTCTTTTCAAGCTTGGCTGACTGACTGACTGTCCTGTGCTGTCATGACTACATATATATATATATATATATATATATATATATATATATGTATATATAGCCCCAGAAAGCAAATACACATCCTCAGAAAGAGAGTGAGAGATCCAATCAGCTGATTGCATGGAATTCAGTATTGGTCTGAACAGATTATCCGTCTTCATATGTATAAATGTAAATGCTCCGTCCCCCATGACACACAGGCCGTCGTACCAAAACAGACAACAGTATTCCAAAATAGTATTCATCTTTGCCTTTGTGCTTAATGCTGCAGGAACCACTGATTACAGCGTTTCCTAATGGGAGTGGTGCACCAACCAGGGGCTTGTCGGCCTTTACTCTGCCTCGGGTCAATAACGATAATGGACTGGATTTGTCCGGGACGGTGTATCTGCCTGCTGATGAATCACTTTGTAAGTGGATGCATTTGAAAAGCGGCTCGGGCAGAATGGACTCTAAGCAAACAGTGGGAGTCGCTTCGTATGTGCTTTAACATGAAAAGCTAAACTTATGACTAAATCACCAGCGATAAAAACAGACGTTTGTGTAATACAATAAACCCGAGGCTGCAGCCTCACGGTCGGTCATCAAACTTATTCAGATGCTACTGTTGAAAAAGAAAACATAATCATACTGATACTGGCCCTATTGTATTCAGGTTGTAACAACATTTGACATGTAACAAGTGTGGTTCAATAATTGAAGAATGACCTGTTTATAAAGCCAGATACGTATAAACGTTAGCATTAGCAAGTTAGCTTAGCTTTGTTTTTGCTCCTGACACAATCCTGAAGGGGATTCTTGTCTGCCATTCGGTGTTGTGCAGAGTGCTTACAATTTGTTCAGCTCTCTCGCTGATTAAAACAGTAAAACATTCATACAGCTGAGGGGAACCCCTTCTGCATTTTGAAATATTAGAATCTGTTTACATCCATGTTTGTTCACAATGTCATCACATTGACAAAATCCTAATCATCTCATTCTTGAGTGGAGGCGGACGTTTGTGCCAAAGTGGAAGAAATCCCCTCAAAGTGTTCCTGAGATATCATCGAGAAAACCCAATGCCTCCGACCACAGCGGTCACATGATGTATTTGTGAAAGAAAATGAAACGGCACAAATTAAAGACATTTTCAGTCAGATTTTATATATCAATATATAGATATTCCAAAGTAATTCATTACAGAAAATCAAAAAGTGGAACCAGTATGGTTTTCATACGGTTTATCTTTGCATGTACAGTGGGTGGCTGATCCCTGTCCTTGAAAATACTACAGGAGAATGAAAAAGTAAACAAAAAGGCACAGGTCAACCAAAATCACTCTTCTCATTAACATCAAGGTAGCAAAGATGTGGGGAGTTTTCGGGGAGGGGGACACCATGTTTTACGTGTGCTAACAAAGGAAAAAGGGTCACTGAAAAAATAACCGTGAATGGTGCACAGCAAGAAACGACACAAACCACTTTGGTGGATAATTCAGATTTCTTACAATCAGGGAATGCAGTGTTCTGCTTTGATACAAATAAATTAATATACATGTCAACACTTTATTCTAAAATCTTATGTACATCCTTTCTTTTAAATAATTGTATAATACATTATCAAAAACCTTATGAAAACATATTTACAAATCAATGATTTAAAAAGCACCCTCAGAGCTTCTCCAGTGTCCCACACTGTCACACACACACACACACACGCACACACACACACACACGCACACACAAAATACCTTTGTATTCACGCTCCATGCAACACACAATGCAGAAGGCATTCTAAGAGGGTTGTGCAACAAAGAGCATACAAAACGGTTCAAATATGGCTGTGGGATGAAATTAGCACATACATGCATAATAGTGAGCACACACACGCACACATACAAACACACACACACACACACACACACACACACAGACTTTTTAGGTTTATGGATGTAACAGTGTCTAAACCAGCATGAAGCACGTTCACCAATAATTTGGTCTCAATCTCATTTCATCAGAGTCAGGTTTTAGTTTTCTGTGGTCACATCACTTGAAGGGTCTTTTTCATCATGCAGCCCCCCAGCTGGGCCCCCCACCCCCCCCTATCACCCCTCCCACACGGCTCTATGCAAAACTGTCGGCACCAATATATCGGCCATCGCACGAGGAGGAGGGGGGAGCGGGTCTCGGGCTCCTGGTTTCTTTTGCGAATGTGTGTGCGTCTCGTTCAACAACGAACGGCTGCATCCTCAGCTGGTGAGCAATTATTCATGCTGTTTGTGTTTTTGGAGCGCAAGTGCGCATTGCATCCGCCCTCTGGAGAATACAGCATGACTTTTCTCTCACTGCTTTACGCGTACTTATGTGCCCATTTGTCACAGTCAGAGGCGGGTGATCAAATAACATTTTAGAACACTCAAATTCTTTTTTTTTTTGAACTGCAGTCTATTGCTTTTCTCAAACCATTTAATATCTAAAAAAGAAGTGATAAGAAGCAACTCTTGCGTAAAATCCACCTCTCTCTAACCTCACAGCACGTCTACTATCTCTATTTTCTTACTTTCCAATCCACGCGCAAAAACTCCAATCAAGACATCTACCCTCGAGTCTAGTGCACTTCGAAACGCAAGACAACTCGCCCTTAAAGACTTATAAAGTATGTCATGGAGGTGTGGAGCTTTCTTTTAAAATTAGTCAAAATGAAAATAATAAAATCTCACGGAAAACAAAACCCATCTGGGAAAACTACATAAGACCATTAATGACAGTAATGACATCTATGACTTTTGTGATCGATTCGTACAAGAATCTGTACAGATTGTCCCACCAACGCAGTTACTGTCCCAGTTTCGGAGCTCTTCCTTGCACAGTGTTCCCACAGCTTCATGGCCAACCAGGAATAACACAAAGCCCATATTTATACACCGAGGATGACACAGAACTTCTCACCAGTCCCGTCTCAAAATATAAGACACACAGCAGACACCTCACTCAGTTTTCAATGCAAACTACAGAATAATAACCAGTTTTCTATATTTCAGTTTCGGTCAATGTTATAACTACAAATTCTCTAATTCTCAGCAGTGACGTACGAAAGTAGAACTCCTGCACGGAAAAAGGTACGAAATTACTTTTTAGAGAATTGTGTTAGTCTAAATAAATCTTTTTTTTCTAATGGTAGTTGGCACAAAAAATGGCTGCATGTAACACTTGATGATATGTTGTTCTTCCTTCTGCAAACTGGGGTCCAAGCCACCCGTGACCTCGCTGTGTGTGCGCGCCCGTGTGCCTGAGCGGCCATCTTCCCCCCCGGATCTGCTCTCGAGGGTCACTTTGCCGAGGACAGCATGGGCTGCTCCGTGTACCAGTGAGTCCCCGGGTCGGGCATGCTGCCCCCCAGTGGCAGGGCGATGAACTGGGGGCAGGTGCCGACTCCGGCCCCTACGACTCCCACGTTGACGCCCTGCGGGTACGGGTGGTGGTGCCCGTGGTGTCCCATGCCGTCCGTCCGCCCGATGTGGATCTCGTCCTCCTCGCCCTCGCCGGTGGTCTTGCGGTAGACGGGGTTGTCGAAGTTCATGCTCTTGGTGGAGTTGCGCCGCCAGTTGCGCCACACCAGGTAGACCCCGGCGCACACCAGGCTGAACACCACTGTGGCAACGACAGGAACTGCATGCGTTTAACACACAGCGGCAGGGACACGGGGAGGGGCAGCGTTAACCAAGCGTCACCGGTCCATGGCGTGACATGAGAGGCACAGAGAGGAGCGGGCCGGGCATGCGGGGGACAGAGAGGACGGCGGGGGACAGAGAGGTTGTTTTGTGTGGGCGGCTCGGTTGAAGTTGTACAGCAACCAAAACATTTCTAACACTGTGTAAGGCATCGCCTGGCTTTGGAGTATATTAGTTTTAAGTATTTTAACTATCACAATCTCTTTGACTCCTTGAATAAGCAGTGTGATTTAATAATGCTTTATTAAATTCACCAATAAAACACCATTAAAGCTGTTGTGTCTTTTTTTCCCTCCCATACTGTCTGTTCCTCATAATACGTTTGTAATGAGCAATCTGAAGTAGCTTAATGGTTCATTATGTTTCACTTTGCTGTCGGAACTCTACTATTGAGATATAGATATACGGTAGATGCACAAAAGAAATATTTCCCACCGACATCATGTATCATTTTCTTTAGCCTCTCTATCTCTATATATTAGTTTAATGGTGTTGTGTGTTGTCAAAGACCAGCTTTACTCAACACAAAGTATCTCCAGGGAAAAACATTATTATAACCGTAGGTTATAAGGGACGTTTTTCTTCATACGTTTAAAGTAAGAAACTGAGCTGTGTGAGCTTTGCAGCCAAACACAGTTGCATCAGAATAAATTCCAGGCGTATTTTAGATTTGGAATAATTGTCTCTACGTTGCAATAATTGACCATATTGTTGCAATGGACGTGCACCGACCACCGAAGTTTTTAAAGAAAAGGGCCAAACCCAACACAACAACACAGTGTGAAGTGAATAATGTGGCGTGGCAGCCGTGTCAGACGCACAAAAAAATGACTCCTATCGACCGACCACAAACAGAGCGGCCGCAGGCTGCGACCGGACAGCAGCTCTGTGCAGCTCTGCTCGCCTTAATGTGGACGGACACGCGCGGACAAGGAGGCTTCCGGCGACTTACCGATGGGGATGACCACTCCCAAAACAGCCACTGTCAGGTTCTCGCCCAGGAGGAAATTCTCGCTGCCGGCTGGAGAGAGAGAGAGAGAGAGAGAGAGAGAGAGAGAGCGAGAGAGAGATGGGACGAGAGAGTGGAGTTAAAAAGGGACAGCAGAACAAGAGAGAGAGAGAGGAAGCATATGGGATAAAAGTGAAAAACAGAGTGAGATGTCAGCAGGAGAGGCAGGAGGGGGAGAGCAGGTAGGGGAGGTGGGAGATAAAACAGACCGGCGTGGGGGGGGTAATCATGCGCGCGTGGCTGCAGGTGTTCTATAAAGAGAGACAGGTAGTGGAAAAAAAGGTTGGCATGAAAATAAAAGGTAGAGGATAATGATGAGGTTCTGTGACCTTGACATTCCCCCCCTCGAACTTACATACAGTGTCACACGCTTACTAACACACTTATTAAGTACATGCAAGTCCCGGCAGACCGACAAATACCTTGCAGGCCACACATAGTGCAATTTATAGAGGGAAAGAAGACATTTTTGAGGTTGTTGGGTGAGGTTGATACATTATGAGTGTGAACAGCACTGTGCAATGTGGTGCTTAGCAACAGATGAGGTTGAAAGGGTCCTTTTTACAAAAAATTTGCCACCATCTCTCGTTAAGTCTTGAATGGGCCGCCCTTAAAATCAAATGTCACCCAGTGCTGGATTTCCTGGAGTGAATGTAAGAATGTGATATCAAGGAATAGCTGCTTACACATCGGCTTCCGAGTATCTAAATCAGACTCATTCACAGTCCACAGACTGTGGATTGTTTTTGAATACACAGCCGAACTCACAGTGTTGAGAGACGCTGCTGTCCCTGGCAGGTGTGGTGGAGGTGACCATCGCCGTGGCAGTGGAGTGCGACCCCCCCGGCACCTTCGACTCTCGACCCTTCAGAGTGGAGTCGGGCGTGAGGAGATCCGGGGCCCCGGAGGGAGCCGTGGTCAGGTGAGGGGTGGCGTCCGCCTGCGATACTCCGCCTGAGGGGGGCGGGAAGTCTTCCGCCAGAGTCGCTCTGGTGCCAGGTGTAAATCCAGCAGGAGGTGAGGACGTCTGCGTCACGTTGTTTCTTGGTGCTGCAGCGGACAAAGAAAGAGCATCATAGAAAGCTTTTGCTCGAGAAACTGGACGATTTCTTTGAGATCTAGAAAAAATAATCTTAACATAAATGAGTTTACAACCCCCCCCCCCCCCCAAAAAAACATCTAAATCACTCAACAAATACTTTGTTAATCCAGTTGTGGTTGTCTTCAGACAAATACAACTGACTTGGGGTCTGTTCAAAGCAACTTTCCCCTCCCTGTCATGACGAGTTGGCACCAACACCAGGTATCAGAATGCAATTTGATGCAATACATGTCGAATTTGTTCCAAAGATTAAGTGTTAGATTGCATTTGTGCACAACGTTATAGTATCCACCGCCTGCATCGGTTGCTTAGCAACTATGTTTTCTATTAACCCGTATCTAACCTTTTTATTTGTGTAGTTTAAAATGTATTAAACCCATTATTAACAGTCACCTCCAATAAGTAACAAGATAGCTGGTATGTAACTATTCATTTAATCTATTCTTCAAATAATGATTTAACTGTAATCATTTTTATTTTTATTTTTTCTATTTTCTTTACTTAGGGAACATTGGCTGACCAATGTAAAGAAGTAAAGAAAATAGAAAAAAATCTAGTAGACAACTGCCCACATTTTCTATGCGTCTAAACACATTTCACCACAAAAAAAGCTCCCTTAATCCAGGCAGAATCTGATTACATATGTACACAGTAATACTGAAGCAAACTGCCCGATATTGATTACTTAACGCTCTCAATTAACACAATTAAATGCGCTCACCTGGCACACAGCCCCTCATGTCGGGCCCCAGGTCCTGCCCGTCGGGGCAGGCGCAGGTGTATTTGGGCGAGTGCTCTGTGATCTGTGGAGCCTTAAGACACAAGTACTCACACCCCCCATTGGCCACACTGCCCAGATTACAGCTGTCTGGACCTGCAGACAGCGACAGAGAGGAGGACAGAGACGCGGAGAATCGCACACTTAGCGTTACGTAAATACGTTTGTCACTTATTCAACACGGGAAGTTAGCAGAGAGTCAGACAGAGACAGAAGGAGTTGATGCACTTTGTTGTTCCCCCGCTGGGAACCCTGTTGAAATCCCCTTTAAGAAATGCCATTACAATGCGTAAACAATATCTAAAAAAACCCGATCTGGCATCAAACAGAAACCTGCTATAAATAATAACCCAACATCTGCACGCTTTGGCAGGTACACCACCATCTTGTTCATGGTATTGTGTCAAGATACTGAAAAACAGGTAAACGTGCGAATATCAAATTGGAAAGACACACAAGAAAGGAAATACGCAGCCACAACGTTGATGATTCAAACTGTGATCCACTCAAATCTGGACTGTCATGGTGAGAAGAAAGCGGGCGGGGGCAGGTCTCTGACAGATGTGTGTGAACGTTCTGCTGCTCCCGATGCTTTGATCACTCCACCGCAGCCACAAGGCTCACCATCATTTATTCATGCGCCTGGGTCGACAAGGAGCCACTGAGGAAACGTGGTGTCAGACAAGCGACTCGGCTTACAGACTCTCAGGGAGGCGACGCGCAAAGACCCTCACTCACACGGCGCCAACAGACCTTGTGGCTGGCGGAGCTGGTGGAAGACCACGATGTCGTGGGGGTCGTTGAGGTTTTCAGCCAGCGTGTGGATGTCCTGACCGGTCAACCTGTTGGCCATGAAGACCGCCGATCTGTCTCTGTCTGTCCAGTAGATGCGATCCTGAAACACGGAGAGAGAATCATTGTCTCTATGTGACCACCACACGGGACAAGTTGGTCTGTTGGGTTTGAACCGGAGACCTTGTGTTAACAAATTGTAACAACTGGTTGTATCTGATCCCTTTTTTCCACCATAGAAATGTTGGACAATAACTGTTTTGGGAACCATTATCACTTTTTATTATATTAATATTATCTATTTTATTTGACATTCAACTCGTAAGAGTAATTTCTGAGGGAGAATACACTGGGCCAACAGCTGTCTATGTTTGGGTTCAGAGTACTCGTAATCCCATTTATTTGTATGAAAAATTATATATTTTATAATATATTGAAAATTAGGACAGGTGAAATATGCACTGATAAATCCTTTCTAGCACACATAGACTAATTCATTTCCTTTTGCCGAAGAGAGTGTGTTAATGGGGCCTTTGCTGCAAATAATATGAGGCGGTGAATCTATCAAGGAAATGCAAATGCAGAAGTTTAACAGTAACCAAGACAAATTGTTTAATTCACTGAGAGTGCAGTAAACAGTAAGCATGCAATGAAAAGGGTTCCGCCTTATTGTGGAAGAAGAGTCAACCCGTTTATTTTCATACATTTCATGCAGACAGCGGTCTTAAACAATTCTAATATAGCCTACCCCATTTATTACAAAAGATAGTAGATTAAAGGCTAATTTTAACTACGCTTGTTGTTTATTCAGTTATTTGTTTTCTTTGTTTTCCCAGTTCACTCACTCAGTTTAAGGCATTTTTTGCCGGTTGCCTTAGAAACTACAGGCTAATCTCCAGCAAGACAATAAGCCTCGCCACACGACTGCGTGTGTGTGTGTGAGAGAGAGTGTGCCTGTGTGTGAGTGTGTGGGAGTTGAGTTAGTCATTGAGTTAGAGAGACACGGTAATGTGATGTACAATGCAACCGGCTGCAGTCAATAACATGGGGCTGGTGAATGTTCAACATCCTGAACGAGAAGGTCACCTTGTCGTCACAACATGGCAGATAGCAGAGGAGCATCGATCAGGTATTACACCGCGGGGAGTGCATCGTTATTTCTGTGGATTACACTGCCGTGCTGCCTGCAGGGCCGACTACAGTAAAGAAAAAACCTCAAGGTTATGCTTTCAACACCTTGCCTCTATCTTCATTTTAAAAAGGTCAACAGAGACAGTTTGTGTTATAAACAGCATTTCTTGCAGTGGTTGAAAGCAACTTTGAAATTGTAAAGTACTTCAACTAGATTGCCACCATTTGTAGTGTTGGTCTCGCAAACATAATCAAACCCAAGTCGGTATTTTTCAACCAACCCGTGCTCGTGAACCTGATCTGCTGCTTCTGTGTGTCCCACAGACCAGTTCCCCTGGAGAGGAGTCCCACAGGGGAATAAGCCACCTGAGGTGACGCCATTAGCAACCATCTGAAACTGGCTGGACTTTTCACAGTGGGAGCAACAACAGGGATAAGCTCGGGAGGAGATGCTGGGTAGGCGGAAGCATGCTTACAAAAGCACGCACACGCGGAAGCTGGTTCATTACACGACAGCACAAGTGGGTGGCTTGCCGTGGGCTGCTGTGTAGCCGTCTGCTATTTAGTATTCTCAGCCAGTCTATCCCACGAGGGAAAACACACACACACACACACACATACTGAGCACCCGGTAAATTTAATTTAACAGTCATTACATTCTCCCAGTCCCACTGCAGGCCCCTTTAACGCTAATGAGGGAGATGTAGATATGATAAGATGTGGGAGACTGGACGGTGCAGCAGACAACGGACAAAAATCAGCAGCAAAATCGGCTGCGCAACAGACCTCAAAAACGGCCAGCGCGTAGGGATGCCCCAGTGTCTCTGCGGATGACACGTGTGTTCTGCGGTGCGCTCCGTTCAGGTCCACGCTGGCAATGAGGTGCAGCTTCGAATCCACCCAGTACAGACGCCTGTTGGCTACATCTGAAAGAACACACACACACACAGGTGAAAGGGACTTCCCCAAGCTGAATAAAGATTGATTGTCTGCACAGTAAGCAGTAATGCACTCCAACCAACAGATCCCTTGAGGGGATATTGATTACTTTTGAAAATGTCAGATTCTCACGCTTGAGAACTCAAGCGTGAGAATACAGAATTGAATACAGAAGTTTTTCTGCATTGATCTGTAACTAAAATACTTCAAATGTCGTTTAAATCAACTGTGATAACTGTATTAATGTTTATTTCTTTAGCCTGATAATTTGAATTACGTCTGACCTTCAGATACAATGAGTTGGCTGAGGGTTCTTTATCAACCACATTCAGTAAACACACAACAATAGGTTTACAATATAGCACGTTGTAATGAGTAACATCAGAAAATGAGTTAAACATCAGCTGGCTTCCTCTCACCTAGAGTGATGCCATTGGGCCATTCAATGTTATCAGCCACCAGCACCCGTCGGTCCACTCCGTTCATCCCGGCCTTTTCGATCTTGGCTCTCGTGCCCCAGTCAGACCAGTACATGAAGCTGGAATGAAGAAAAGGAAGCACACTTATTGCGTTATTAGGGAGTTTCCTTGCTGTGCTGCTGCACAAAGTAAGATATGTGGAAATAATCACATTGCACTGCACAAGTGTCGTTCGTTCCACTTTTCGGAGATTCCCATCATTCATAAAGCAATGATTAGTCTGGGGATAGTGTGCTAACAGTCTCTGCGGTGGTGGTTTGCATCAAGACGCATTTCCATCAATTAGTTTGCCCGAAACAATAATAACAAAACAGCTTACGTAATATGTGTGTTTTGAAGGGGAGTCACGCCTGGAGAAATGTCTGTTAACGGCATGTATGGCATATGGTATAATATAAAATCACATAAGTGATAAAATCAAGATAAATAAAACAGATCAAAAGCTCTGTGTAAAGTGCAGTCAGTGGGGGCTGTTCGTTGAGCACCACCATCAACAAGACAGCAGCAATGCATCAACAGAATCACCTTTCTTACAATTGAAGCTTCTTTTTCTTTCCAGATGCATTCAAGGAAAATCTTAAATAGCATCATGTCTTAATTAGAAGCAATGAATGAATGGATATCTTCAGTGTTAGTAGAGAGAGCAGACCTGGCATTGATTTGCGGTTGGCTAAATGTGTTGTACAAAGCAATAGCTGAGATTGTATGAGTTCTGTACAGTTTAGATGGTTATTGGACAACATCAGTCAGCAATAAAAGCAGGAAAATACAGTTAGATTTACACATTATTGTCTTTTCTATGTAAATGTACTTTACAGGCCGCGTGCCTGTTTATTCTTGTCCATTTACGTGACTCTTTTGATTTGGGTTTGAATAATCAGAAGACAAAAGATGCAGCAGCACACTCACAAATTCATAAAGCTTCCCAGAAAACGCTCATCTAGGACAGAATTTCTACAAAACTATTGAGTCAGAATGCTAAATGGGTCACAGGCTTGTTATTCTGGATTCTCACATCCAGCAACAAGCGTTGTCTATTTACCATTAGACGTGCTTTCAGAAAAGGATTATGTTTATTACGTTTATTTCTCTCCTCGTCTCTGGGATTGGAATCACCTAAAAAATGACTGATCATTATCTTTGACAAAATAAATACATCAGTTTTAGTGTCTACTAGCATATTCTAAGAGATGAAGGGGAGGAAAAACAATACAAATAATTTAGATTTTAGTCCAACGCATTCAGTTTAGAAATTTGCACCCATTAGAAATGAACCATGCAGGTAAAGGCATTTTAAAATCACGCCGTGGCCCATGTGCTCAGCTCCCCTCCACCTTACCCGTGATGGGGATCCAGCGCGATGGCTCGGGGCTCGCTCAGGTCGCTGTTGATGAGGACGCGTCTCTTGGTTGCGTCCACCGAGGCCACGGAGATGGATTTGTCTCCCGAGTCGGCCCAGTACAGGTTGTGTTGGAGCCAGTCCAGAGCCAGACCCACTGGGGTCTGCAGGAGAGAATCCAGCAGCGGCACCTGCTGGGAGGGGTCGCTGGCCTCGTGAATGAAGGCACTGCATGGGGAGCAGAGGGAGACGGAGGGAGGCGCGGGGGGGGGCATGTTGAGGGGGACGATGTATGATTTTGATCAGGTGGTGGATACACAGTGTGAGAAGGTTCATCCGGAGGGGGGTGGGGGGTTGGCATCCTTCTCAGGTGCGCCACTTATCAGAAGAGACAAGGCCTAACTCCGGGGTCGCCCTGCCCGCTAATTGTTTTGCGCGGGCAGAGGTGTGGGGTCAGGGCTAGAAAAGCCGCGCTCCCCAGCATGAATTTTAGTTTTAGTTTCCCCCCCAGAGGTCTCTTCTCTTAACATCCATCACATAAAGAGAACAGTGTGCTCCAATTAGAAGACACTCTGGGGAATAAATTGCAGTCGGGATAACAATGGGTGGGGTGAAATCTATCTGCAGTGGTCGCAGGCCCGAACCATCTTCTGCTGATTACAAGCATCCGCTCAGTAAATCTAACAAGGGCAAATGAAATAACACCAGGGTGCAACATTGAAACAGTTCGGCATGTAAGGCCAAATCTTGAAAAGGTCACATTTATTTGACTTTTCCTAAAATTGGAGGTTGAAAAGAGTTTCTGCTCTATGAGAATGTGACATTATTTTTGATGAATTGCCATTCAAGTTTCTCTTTAAAAATGTACCTGTAGATTTTCCTGTGGAAGCGATCGCACCAGAAGACGCGGTTGTTGGCCACATCCAGGTCCAGAGCTACAGCGTTCTTCTGGGTGGACACCACCTGGCTGTAGTCCCTCTTCACCAGGTCGATGCGGCGGATCTCATGCCGGTTGGTGAATAGCAGGTACGGGCTCTTTCCTGCACACAAAGTACAACAATATGTAAGAGAGTTGAAAGCCTTTCATCCAGCTAAAAGTGACATCAGTCACAGCGTGGCGCTGATTATATGCAGGTTGCACGTTGTTAAGAAGAATACATTATTGGTGGGTGGAGTTGGGATGTTCTCCAGTAATTGCCAGTCAAATATGCTAAAAAGAAGGAACGGTGGATTACATTATCTCTTATTACAAAAGGAGCTGCATTAATTCTATATGCACAGCACTCCACATATTATTTTAGGAAGCAAGTAAAGTGAAAAAGCATGGTCTTGATTTAGAATGGATTAGACAGGATAAATAATGGCTGTGGCTGCATGTTTGTCAAGAATAAAACCCAAAGCCTACAACATTATTCTGCTGCAAAGGCAGAACAAAGATGAAGAAAATGCCGATAAGCCTGAGAGATTGTTTTTTCTTTCATTACAGCATCCAAACCCTTGTGTTCTGGATAAGATGGTTGAACGCGATGCTGCATGACGTGTTTTGATGTCGCTACTCCGCCGCTTTAACAACACGGAGAAATCTCCACAGTGTCAAAACGAATCGCAGCTTAATGTGAAGCTGCATATTTGCAGCACACAAGTCGATACTCCAAATGTCACCTTTTATCAAAGAAAGAATAGCTCGGCAAAGCTTCTGTGATAGAGCTCGATGTCCTGTTACAAGAGCAATAACCCGTCATTAAAAACGGCTGTGTAGTTTCAGTATTGATAATTGTCTCTGAATACATCATCAAGTTGTGGCCTCCTAGCAAATATGGATCAGCAGCACGGTAGCACGCACTTAGCTAAGCACTTAGCATCCACAACTCAGCGTGTCCTTGTTTCATTTTGGGTGCACTCACACCTATATTTAGAGCTGTCTGCTTGTGATAAGGTCACCCAAGATGCATATTAATTAGCCCCAACTGTGAACAGGGGCCTTAAAGGCATTTTGTATTATCACGCCACCTCCATGATAATCCCCCGGAATTCTGGGATGAAAAAGCCAAGTGGGTGATAGACGCCGTAGGGAAGGTTTTATGACTTTTGGCCAGCAACTCTAGCCCACCTTTGTCCTGTAACATCTATATTGAGCCTCCCTCTGTTCGGACAAAGCTTGGTAATAGGATGGCAGCTGCAGCCGGTTATCTCCAGAGGCAGATAGAATATTCTCTCACTAATAGCTCGCTCGCCTCAGTTTCCTTTTTGACAATCTGTGTCGCAACCTCGTTGTATTATCGCACTGCTCCGCGCTCCCCTCTTTCTTCCCTTTCCTCCCTCTCTCACCTCAAAGTCAGGACGGCGGCAGTGCCGGTCAGGACTAAGTGTTCTCAAGATCCAGCATTTACAATAACAACAATTCCAGCCCCTCCGAAAAGGGGTAAATAGTTCCCTGCTGGTTTTATGGACTGTCACGGCTTTTCGCTGCTTCTCTCCGGTTCTATGATGAACTGATAGCAGACAGATTGGGCAGTCAATACACAAGGGCAGACAGGGGGGGGGGGGGGCAGATACAGTCCAAACACACATACAGTGTGTGCTAATGTGTGCACAGAGTGCTTAGCTTTGATGTCAGCTCAGCCTAAGAGAGGGAAATTAAATCAGAGCTTTTGAGAGCCACAGGGACCAAATCACCACATTTCAATGTTTCCTGCCAATTAAATGATTAACATTTTTAGGGGCAATTGTTTGGAAACATATAAACTGGCCTCTGTCTGTGAGCCTCGTGCGATTAGCTTCTGGCCATGTTTGGAGGGGAAGGAAAACGAATTGGCCTCTAAGCAGTTCACTTTGTTTTCCACTAGTCCGACAAGTGATGTCAACACGTCCAATGGGACCGCTGACTCATTCTGATTTAATTAGCTTCCACTGTGACTCAACCAGGTACCCTGAAGAGTTGATGTATTTAATTGTAAGAGTTCAGCATGGTTGAACACATCACTTTGTCACTCTGTGAAACTGTCTAATCTGACAGATTCGGCCTTGGAGAAGCCGAGCGGTCGCCATGGTGACGCGCTCCTTCTCCTTGATTAAGCAATTATGTCACTGGCACAAGCAAGTGCAGAGCAAACAAAAAGGACCTTACAGCAGAAAGAAGTTTGTGACTGTGAGATGGGGAGGGTTTTGACACCGTGGTTCAAGAGCTGAGCGTGAAGCGCTAACGAGGCGGCACAGCATTTGAAAGAATTTGTTATCAACAGTACAACAGGCAGATTTTTGTTCTTTCAGTGAGGGAAAATGTGTCGACGCAAAGGCAACCACGTTGATTAAGCTTTTCTCCTCACCTTCTGCCTTGCAGGTCTTAGTAGCAGGGTCGATCTCATATCCTTCGTGGCATTCACATTTAAAATCGCCCTTGTAGTTGATGCAGATCTGGCTACAAGCATCTGGGTTCTCACACTCATCGATGTCTGCGGGAGGGAAGAGACGCCATCAGTTGACTGAGAGAAGGACCCAGACACAGTTACTAATGTCCCGTCATTAGCTGCAATTCCCGAAATGTAAATGTAGCAATGAAATTCAAACACAAACGGCTATAACGGATGAGTAAATATGCAAATGAATAACTGCAAGTGGTGGAGAAACACACAGACAATGTTGCCATTAAGTTCATGGGAAGAAAAGACGGAGACAGTGAGACACGGCGGGTCGACTTCTCCTCTCTACGACCTTCAAGAAGCTGTCAGGCTTTTTCCTCGGGTGTTATGGGAAACCTCCAGAGGAAAAAGTATGTGGTACGTGTGAAGGACAGAGTACATATTTATATAAGTATCACACACACAGAGGTACGTAGTCGCCTCGTCAGCAGACTAACTTGACTTTGTCTCTCTGTGTGCCCGTATGTCAAAAGCGTCTTTATTTACCCCCACAGGTCTTTTTGTCCAGTAGCTGGTAGCCAGTGGGGCACTGGCACTCAAAGCCAATGGGTCGGTCCGTGCAGACATGGGAGCAGCCCCCGTTGTTGATCATACACTCATTCAGCCCTGGGAGACATAGAACACAAGCCAGTGGTCAAATGCAGCAGGTCATAGACGAGGTAGGTGCGTTGCAGTCGACAATAGGTCATTTAAAAGGTTAAAATCCAACTTCAAAAAAGGCGTCCGGCTCATTTACTGTCAACTTTTCTTTTTAAAGGGTAAGTGCATTGGCCTGGGAAATTTCCAAGGTGTGTGTGTTCCCTATTGGCTATCATCTTAAACATCTTCATTTTATCTCAGCTCTCAAGCTCAGCTCGTCCCTTTTGAGCCCTTATATGAGATGTTATCAAAAGGAGAAAAAAGGAATCAAAGGGACGACACATCCCACACGCTGAGCTCTTAAAACTGAGAATCAGGTCCATCTGCAGGGATATGAAATATGTATGCAGAGGGGATTAATGCTGTGAACTGGGATTCTAAGATGCCCCACAAGGCTCTATCACAGGGACAGAGAGAGGATGAGAAAGAGAGGAAGGAGGCGGGAGCTCAGAAGACATCTAAATTAAACAGGGCTGCTGCTTAAATTGATGCACAGTGATGTAAAAGCATCTGGAGAACGAAAGAAGGAAAAACAAGTTGTAATACACAACCACTCTCATTTTGATCTGGGTCACAGACGCCGGCACGAAGTTGGCACACAATAAAGATGGCGGAGGCAGTTAAAATTGTATTAAGCTGAACACAGCCGCTTTATGAATAACTTTGGTCGCAAGTAGGACTCATATGTGGATGCAATTCTTTTGAAGTTGATTGTTTTATCTCCTCCGCAAGTTTGTTCAATACATCTGAGAATTAAGTTTCATCAAATGCGTACTCGAGCTGTTACATATTGGAGTCATTTACTGACATTTCACTGTGGAAATTTGTTGAATTAGTTTTTTAGCAAACTTTGTTTTTAAAATCAGCTTTTAACTATTCTTAAGTAAGTTAACGGAGCCGATCACACCAAAAAAACACCTCTGAAGTTTTGTTCAACAGTCTACATGCTTTACTTTTTACACAAAAAAAACAAGTGTGGCCGCACAATAAACACCTATAAAGGGCGATAAATAGAAAAGGGATTCAACTATAAGAACAACTTCAATCGCCAAAGCATCCGGCTCAATCTAGTGTAACACATCCATGGAGATTTAAATCAGCATTGGCTGCAGAGCTGCTGCTGGTACACTTCTTGTGAAACATGAGTTTCAAAATGAAACTTGGTCGGCTGATAATAACAAAAAATAAAAAAATGAACCATTACATATGAAATCATGTTGATCTATAATTCTTTGGACACCCAGCAAGGAAACAATAAAGTATATTTATACTATACAATTGTGTATTTACTCAATGTCCTTTAACTTTAGCATTTGTAAATTAAATTTTCTACAAAGCTTGCATTAATAAATTGTCGAGTTAATCTGTGTGTTATGTTGTGAATCTCTTCTTAGGCACAAAGAGAAATAATAGAGGACATTCTGAATGCTTTGCTTTTCTGCAATCACAGATAAGTTATGCAGAAGCCATTTCTAGTGCATTGCAATATAATGCTGAAGGTCAGTCCTGATAAATGAAGTGCTCATTAATAAAAAAATCACAAAACAAGAATTAGACCGAACACCAGCACTACACTGACCACAGGGATCCAGGATGACGGGTTCAGCTCATCCGTGAAGTTATTTCCTTCCCCGGCTAAACCACATTATTCTTTATTCATTGTAACAAAAATAAAGGAAGATACAGTTCACCCTCCAAAGATTGACTGAGGGTCACTTTAGTGGGAACATTTTCATCTTTGCTTTGTGTGAGTGCCGGCAGACTTTTGAGTGCTGCAACCGGCGGCATTAAATCCCCATCACTGATTCAGCTGGATGGGCGACAGTGACCTGCCACTCAACATAGCTCCTGTTAGCTCCCTTCACGGCCGTTCAGAATTTACTGCAGACAGAAGAAATACTGAAATTTGAGGACTCACTCAATCTTGCTTCTTTGAGAGAAGCACTGTGGCAGACACAGAAACAGAAATGCCTCAGGGGGGGGGGCGCCCTACAATAACATTAACAGCTTCCTCTACACCACTTCCAAGGACGGCCATGATTTAGAGGTCACGTTCCCAACACGCGGCCTCTCCTTCTCCACCGCACCGCCGCCTCTCTCACCATGGTAACCAGGCACATACTAGCTATTTTCAGGCATGCCCAGTAAAGAGTTTGTACTGTGGTTGTATGCCATCATTTCTAATGAGGGTGGGGGGGAGGGGGCGGGTCCACGAAAAAAACCAACCACATCCAAATGCATCGTCTTCATTTCGCCAAAGTGTAAGGCCGACGTGGCAAACGCAATCTCACTGAGCAATTTCGCGTGGACGTGTTCCGTGCGGCGGGGAGTGGCGGCGTCTCTCTGCGTTCGGGGGTGTGTTGCGGTTGGCGAACATCTTGTGAGCAAACGGTTGAGTGAGCGTAGCGAAGGGCTCGCTGTGCGGACGCGCTTTTAATGAGCCGAGGACAAGACCCGAGTCGAAGCGGAGAGGGAGGAAACTATGAGGAGAGAGAAGGGCGGCGAGGAGAAGGGAATTGCGCTCCCGAACACCTTTCCCAGGCTGGTGATTTCCATCCCTGGCGACGGTCAGTTTATTCTGCCATCCGTCACTTCTCCTTCTCAACTGTGTGCCTTTCCGCTTCTTAATTTCTAACGTCAATAACTTTTCTTTTTTTTTAACTAAAAAGGTTAAAGAAGGTGTTTGGGGACGGGAAGAGATATGGAGATTTGAGCCCGGCAATATTTGATGGTAATTAGTGCACACAGGCTGCCTCTGCTAATCTGTGAGCGGCTGCGAAGCCTTTGAAATGCAAGTTAATGGGAGGAAGGTAGTTGCAGTTATGTTATGGTAAACCACTTACGCCGCTACATCAACTGAACGAATCAATTCACATCGTGTTAATGAACGTGCTCGCTGCACTGGGCACACACACAATATACTTTAATACCACCACAGCAAGTGTACAAGTTTGTTAACAGCAGAGGTCACATCTCATTACTGGTGTCCAGCAAAAAAGTCGTCTTACCGCACTCCTTCTTGGGCTCATCTGACCGGTCCTTGCAGTCCTTGACAGAGTCGCACACCTTGGCGCTGTCAATGCACTCTCCGTTTTTACACAGGAACTTCAGGGGCCCCTCACATTTTGTGGCTACAGAAAACAGCAGAAACTAGATCAGCATCTACACTATAAACCTGACTGATTTTTATCTGTATACGTTATTGCAAAGTGATTGAGAAACTCGTGCATCCAAACGTGGGTTGTGTCATATTGAATACGTAAAGTGGGTTCACATGAACCAAGTGACAACAACAAAAGATATTAGAATCATCTCACGTAAAAAGCACAGTGAGATAAAAGCTGAACTGTACGTTGTTCCAGGTTCTGAGTACCAAGTTCACATTTACTAAATTAAGGTTTAGATTCTGCAATTAATTTCACAAGCACTAAAACAAGAAAATCTCACATAAATAAGTATATTTTGACACTATTCTTGCAAGCGAGTGAGTTTCAAATATTGAGGGGGGGGTAATTAAATGAGATAAAAGGCTGCAGACTAGATGTCCAACTCTTTAGTAAGTGAGCACATCTCTGCATTGTGTGCACATTTCTATTTTTACCTGGCACCACTTTAGATGTGCGGTCACGACTTACAATCAGGTCGTACAGCATATACTGTCATCTCAGGTACAGGTATGTTTCTTTTCATTTCCTTCACTTCATTCACAAAAGGGGGACACACTGAATCAAATATTCGGACTGAAACGTCAAGCGGGAAGAGCGATCCTAACAGACCATAACCATAAAAGAAGAAGTTCTGACCCCTCGGTGCGGTGATGACAGGTGTACCCACCGTTGACGCAGCCGGATTCGTCGCTGTGATCTGGACAGTCGTGAACCTTGTTACACTGCTTGGTGCCGTGGATGCAGGAACCGTCGCCGCACTGGAACTCATCGGGGCGACACGTCAGCAGGGCTGTGGGAGGGACACGTGCAAAGCGCACACTTAAAACTGGCGTAGGGGAAAATTGTATCTTTAAATTGTATTCATTTATATTGCCAGTTTATGCCTGCCAGTTCTGTCGAACACGTCTGTTTTTAAAACGAAAAAATATAATACACCAATTAATTGCTTTGTCAAAACAGACCTGTACTGCGCCCTTGCAAATCGATTATCACAGACTTCAACAGACTTCAACTTCAAGGTTCCTTGTTCTTCCCGAGGAGCTTATCCCAACCCAACCTTCTGATTGACTGTGGCCAGATCTCACTCTGGTCAGAGAGAATTCTACAGCTTTGTAGTGAACTTCGGTCTCCACTGCACGGGGAATAAAACTCATCTGAACCAGCCACAGAAATGGACTTGAAAGGAACTTTTTTTCCCTTTAACCCTGCACTTGTAAATCCACTGTAATCCCTTCAAGAGGATCACAACACCCTGTTGCCCAAAGCCCAAGACCTTTATTTTTTCTTCTTCACTTATCAGTTTTTAACGAGTCGCTCCACTTTTGCCCCTCTAAGAATGGCAACACATGCCCGCGATAACATATCTCCAAAGGAAGCTTTGTGGAAGCGTGCATGAAATCAAAAGGCTTCAGCAATAAAATGCACTTCCACCCAATGACAGCCCGTGTTACGTGCTCCCCGGGACAGACAGAGTCAAACTGAGGGCCGCTGATGAATGATTTTCAATATAGTAACGGAAAGATAGAGGCTGCACGAAGAAGCTACACCACATTTCATTAACACTCCAAACACAGACACGCTTTTCATCAACCGGGCCCCAATGTGCTCATACAACTCCTTTCTAAATCACACTCTTAAAAGCAATATGTATGGCAGAGGGAGATATGATTTAGTGTTATCACAAGACGAGCAGAACGAAGGGAATGTAATAGAAGCCGACGCCTGGACACACATAGAAACGTGTGACACTGATATCATACTCTTCATACAGTGTTCCTCCGCGTCTGGCAGATGAATGTACACAGACGCATTCATATATCTTATATTATATGTCGTAGATGTATTGATTAATCTGAGCAGCGTTACATTTATGGCAAAGTAATCCTCACATAGACATTAGAGCATGTGATTGCAGCAAAAGTAGTGGAGGTAAATGGTTTCCTCAGGACTAAGTTAAGCCTCCATCCAGTTGGCTAACTAAACATCAATCTCCTGTAAGTGTCTCCTATATGACACCTCAGAGAGCGAGAGGTGGGTGCGATCTAGATAATGAATAGTGGGAGTATTGGGGCTTCACACTCTGGCTCAGTGAGACAGGAGCTTCAGGGCTCCTCCATCCACGACCAGTTAATAGGAAAAGCTGTTTTGTCACGAGGCCCCATCTTCACACTGAAGTTATCAACAGAAACACATTCTTTACGAGACACTTTTTTTTTTTAAAAGAAGAAAAAGAACTACAACCACAGTGGGAATGTGCTAAATGGCAAAGCAACACCTCAGATAAGGAAGGAAATGTGCACAAATGTTGAATGTTAAATAACCCCAATGACCCTCAGCGTAATGGCATCGACATGCATCGGCATTTGTCTGAGTAGAATAAAAAAATCAAAACACCAACCCAATAAATAATCTGACACACACACGTATACACACACACACAACACACACAGTGTTGAATTATCTTCTACTGAAACTATACCTGCACCCTGTTAAATATTCCATACGTGCAGAAATCCTTTCAGACGAAGAGGATAGTCTTTAAAATATTACATTAAAAAAAACATGTAATCTCCTTCAAGATAAAATAAGCTGCACATACGATCACACCGCCAGAGAAGAGACAGCAAAGAGAAACTCACGGCATTCAGACTCATCGGACTTGTCTTTGCAGTCTGGGTCTCCATCACACTTCCAGGTCAGCCTCACACACTCCCCGTTGGCACAGCGAAACTCCTCGGCGGTGCAGTTGATCCGCCGGTTGAGCAGGTACGGCGCGCCGTCGCCGCCGCAGCGCTCCGGCCCCTCGTCGGAACTGTCGGCGCAGTCGGGGTCTCCGTCGCAGCTCCACATGAGCGGCACGCACTCCGAGGTGTTGCAGCGGAGGTGGTTGGGCCCGCAGGTCAGAGGGGACGCGCACTTGAGCTCGTCGCTGCCGTCGCCGCAGTCGTCGTCGCCGTCGCACGCGTAGACGGTGGCCAGGCACTTGCGGTTGGCGCACATGAACTCCCCGCTGGGGCAGGCTTTGGCGTCTGGAGGACAGGCGAAAAGTCACAGGCCTCAGAGAAGGAGTTTGAAGAGGGCAAGCGAGGGTTTTACTCTGGAATTCATCAATGTATTAAGAGGCCTGTGCATTAAAAATGAACTGAGACAAAACCGTCACTAGTGTTTCTGCTGATGTTCTCAGTATATGAAATACAAGCCGAAGCTTTAACGGTGCCTGTATGTAGATGAGAGTCAAATCGAGTTAACATAAGGGCCACAGTGACAGTAATAAGAGCCATCAGAAAGTCATCACAACAAGAGAGCGAAAGAGTGGCGCGTGGAGGGAGGGGCGATAATGGAGAGAAAATTCCTCTCCTGTGGTGCAAAAGATAATAGATACAACCAGTCATTCCCCTCCCTCTGTGCTTCCTCTCTTTCTAAAGTGTTTATTGTTAATCTCAGTTCATCTTTCTCTTGTCTATAACCAACAAGGAGACGCTGCTTATCCTCAAGCCAACCTCATGGTTTCAAGTATTTTCTCGTTCTCTCTCACAGCCTTCTACAGTTTAGATAAAAAAATATCTACCGACTTCTGTCCAAAAGTGACCGTGGAGGGAGTTCAGGTTTACACTCTCAACCCACAGGAGCACAGAGAAGAGAATATTTATAAAACACACACTGGCTTTGGCTGCTAAGGCTGGTTGCAGGGGAAAAGGATAAAGCGAATCGGCCTGCAATTGCATGTTGTAAGTCTAGTTTTTATGCATGCATGGGCATTTATTTGTAACTATGGCACTGATATTTTGATTTAAAACACTGAAAACAAGCTGACGCAAAACAGCCTCACATAATAATAAATTGATCATCTCAGGAGAGCATAAAAAGAGCAGAATTGGGGGAACAAACATCAGGTGCGGGATAGTGTCCTAATTGCTTAGTGTCCTATGTTATACCATATGTTAAATTCCCTATTTGCTCAGTGTATAATTATTTCAGTGGTACCGACGTGATTGCCACAGAAGCACTGGGAAAGCAGCTGGTGTTCAGTTGACTAGAAGGTTTTATATTCATCAATACTAAACAAGCTCCATCTGATTCTGATTTATAGAATTTTTTAACTACTGTGCCTGTTATGCATCTACTCCAACACCATAATTATCTGTTCCTACATAATTAAGGAGGTACAATAGTCATGTACATTATTACTCAGAGAGCCAACCGTTAGCAATGCACACGAGTGACCTGGTTACAGTGAAGAGGGACTTTGTTTTCCTGAAGCGCTAAGCAAGTTAATCTGAGAGCCCACAGACTTCCTCCCTCTAATAACAAGAAATGTGCCGGAGGAGGGACAGAGGGAGATGTGAGATGAAAAGAAAGATACCTGCGTGGTGGGCAGGCATGTAAAGAACTAAACCTGCAGACGCTTAACACCACTGAGCAGATCAGTAAGTGTCGTTGCCAGTTCACCTCCTACAGTTCTCACATAGATACCAGCGATTTAAACTGAAGGGACGGTTCAGAGCTGAGGTGCACAAGCCGAAGCCACTGTTGCAAGGTCACCGCGCCTCACCAGGGGAAACAGCTCTGGCCTTTTTCCCCAACATTGCTGGAATAGAGAAGAGTGCAACTCCCTTATTTACAGTAAGAACCAAGAGAAGATGATGGAGGACGAGGAGGGAGTGTTTTAACCTCCTCGTAGAAGGTCAGTTATCTTACAGTCAATGAGGGAGCCATGGATTGGGTGCTGGGAAGAGGCAAAGTACCTACCTGTCTAGATGTGAATTAGCCGAATGATTGTTTAGTCGCAGGACGCAGATAAGTCCTATAAAGCGGTCCTGTGTGAGAGCGTGCAGTATGTGTACTAACAGTATATTTGGCAGAGACAGCTGTGAGCAGAGCACGGGCTGATGCTTTTCCTCGTACTATCCAAGCAGCATTAAATATGAATCAGGAAACATGCAAAAAAATATATATACAACTTCCCAGAACTATTACACGCAGGGTCTAGGCAAACCGCTCAATCTGACACAGAGTGCAAACGCCGACGCGCGTGAAAACATACAAATTCAGACGGGCGCCTGCCCTTTGCAGTAGATCCCAGCAGACAGGCGGGCTCAAGAGAGAATAAGTGCACATTAATCTCCACATCATCGAGGGTTGAGGACAGTTCAACTTTCTCGCGGAGCCTCTCTAGAAATACCACTTAATGTAATGTTGATCAAAGGAAGCTTCCTCTGGTGATTCTACTTAATACATAATTCAACATGTGGACGACTCAATTAGCAGGACGCCTCTGCTAGATTTGTTTTTGTGAATCTGCGCTGGGCTTTTTCACTCTGTAGATTTCTACTAATAGCCGAGCGCACTGGGGCTAACTCGTACGTACGTGTCAGAGGTTCATTCAAATGTATGGGGAAGAATGTGGAGTCTGTCGAATACCTTTCATGCCCGGTACCGAAGGTTGTGTAAGAGTTTCTATTTGCCCACATTATGCCTACGATAGGAGATGTTCATAGTGTCTCTAAGTTTTAAAAAAAGGGTCAGATACTGCAGAAAGATCTGGGATTGATTGTTGCATTGAGCACTAAATATCAGAATGAAGCTTCTGAAAGGGTATTTTTTACCACTTACACACTTACACACCATATGTATATATTAGCAAGTTTGAATGGATTCCATGCAAACTTGCAAACTTGCTGACTCAAACACAACAGGTCTCTAACAGTGGCTACAGCGGATAAGTGTGCAGGCCCTTAAATGCTTCAATATTGTAAATTAATTTCCTCCAAATGATGACTTGATGAGGATGGTAAGGAGCAAAATACAATTGTGTATGTAGCCGGTTTATAAAATTGCTATATTCTGATTGCACAACTGCTTCTGAATCATTTGACAGATATTGAATTACTGTCTCCCTTTGACCCCAAACAAACGGCTTTGAAGTGAATTGTCTCGCTGACCGCGTGCAAACAGCCACACAAACTGAAACGCAGTCAAATAAATTGGTATTTTCAACCTCTTCTTTTGCCCAATTTCATGACTGTAGATGTAAAAGTAGATAAGCAGCAATGAGTACGTTAAATGAATTATGCCAAACCTTCACTGTAAATGGTTTTCTATTGTGTTTTCATACAATAGCCACGCAATGCAGTTTGGGTAAGGTCTGTCCAGGTCAAGGCCTCCATCACTATAATAAGGGAAACTCCTTGTAATTGTCAAGGTTTAAACCTACATATAGTTACATGAACATCAGTCCACGTTCTGCATCGGCATTGCCATCTTGAACACAAATGTGATGTGAGGATTATTCCTTAAGTCACTGGTCTGGACAACAAACATCTCACTGAGGAATCAATGCTTCGAACCTTCAGATCGAATTAAAAGATTCTTGCAGTAAATCCAAAGGGCCAAAATCCCTCCACAGGGAAATGCGACTCAGCGTGTCCACGAGGTGTAGAAGCTAAATCCGACACCAGCGCAGCGACGGATAACATCACCAATTAGGGTTATTAAGTGATGCTCGGTCCAGTTTATCTGAAGACCGATTAATCCCAGTGCCAGCCTTTACGACGACGTTGAAATTAGGCGTCTCAGAAGCGGCATGAGGGTGGGCAGCCGTTACGTCGCTTCTGAGAGGCTTAAGGTCGCTGCATCAATACACACATTAGAATGGAGAAAAAAAAAGGATTAGCACTGGCTAGACTGGGTCTCAATGGACAAGGGAGTGAAACGCCATCCAAGCTAAGAAGGCATTAGGTCTTAAGTCACTGGAATCACTCCCACTCGGCGTGAGACTGTGAGGAGGGGATCTCTGACGGGCCACTTGTAGGCTAATCTGGCAACAAATATCATTATTAAACAAACTTAACAAAATTTGTATCGAGCATCACCCAAAGAGAAAATCTTTGATTTGTGTTTCCAGGTGTTGATGTTAATATTTTTGCCTCCTCTACAAATAAAAACTAAAACTAAATGAATAGCTTGAACGCCCAAACACACCCAAACAACAGGGAACAAATGCCTGAAAAGAAGAACGTTGACACTTATACGGGATAATAAGGAGATCTTTTTTTTCCTTTCTCCCTGCATCTACTGCCACATGCTCTTCAGCTTCAAAGTCTAAACACTCCACCGCTGCGTTGCCTCCATCACATTTCTTATGCGGAGAAGCAAAGAAAAGAGAGAAAATAAGACGCCAATTCTTCACGGCGCCTCAGAAGTAGGGCAAGGATTGTCCCTGCGGGAGGAGGAGGAGGTAGGGGGGGTTGGGGAAGTGCACGCGGTTGAGTTGCCTGATTGGATGTGTAGGAGGTGATGCCACTTTTCATGGTTGTAAGGCCCCTGCAGTGAAAAGTGTAAAGACACAAGGTTGAAGTTGTGGCGGCGAAACTTCCAACTGTCAACAGAAAGATGTACATGTGCGATCCTTCGCACCAAAAGTCATTCTATATGAGAGATGGCTTTGGTGTTAAGTGCAGTGGGCTTAAAACTCCAACCTCACTTCAAATCCATCTAATTATATGAAGCTTTATCTACTGAGCTTGCATGTCTAAAGCCTCTGGAAGATAAGTGAGATCAGGAAGGATGAAACCCCCGTAAAATACGAGAAAGGAGGAATCGGAATTCTCCTCACTCTACCGACCGCGTTCCCCCCGTCGAGTCAGCCGCTTCTGCACATTTCTCATTGTCACGTTTTGAATGGATTCCTTCCTTGAACTGCCAGCGGCAGGTTTAAGTAAAACCAACAGTAGACCTCATCAAACTCACCAGACGCGCAGTCCTCCTCGTCGGCCCCGTTCTCGCAATCCTTCTCCCCATCACATCTCCATGACAACGAGACACACTTGTTGGTGGATCCGCCACAGTCAAATTTCTCTGGAGGGCACGTCTGTTTGCCTGAGGGAGGAAATCAAAGAGGTTCCTGCAGTGAGTTTATGTTCCCATAAAAGGGAGACAAAGGAACACAACAGACAGCGCTGGACGAAGCAGATCAAGCTCATCCAAAACTCCACCACGCCGGCCGATTGATTTTACTGTACAAAGCAAAAGAACACACCACCCCCACCCCTCCTCAATCTCCTACAATCTGCTCCAGTTGGCACAGGGTTGGTTTGATCCATAATACGATTACAGAGAATTTTGTTAATTAGGCATCTTTGCTTAAAGCCTCCCAGTAAGAAATGTGGGGTCAGTCTCTGCACCAAACATATGCTTCATTTTTTATATTATATTTACATTTAACAATAATATCTTATTTTTCGTAATGTTTTCATGATAAAAAAAAAAGTTACGTTCTTCAATCAGTTCTGTAGCTTTGCCAGCCGATGGACCGCAGTTTGACATTTATTTAAATGATCGATGTGGGAGAGGTTTTTATTATTTTCGCCCGTTCTCTTTTATCGGATTAGCAGGACAGACCGGAAAGAGGTGCAGAAAGAAGAATGCAAAAGAAAAGAGGCTCACTCCACCAGGCGAGCCGACAAGGCCACCAACCCACTCCACCGGGCCTCAAGGATGCACCACATCACCTTACATTTCATTGGACGGACGTGTCGTTCCAAAGTGAATTAATTCATTCCGTCCGCTGTGCTACCAGAATAGAAAAGGGACCCGACGGAGACGAGCGTCCACAGGGTCCTCGGAGTGACAGGGAGGCCAGTCATCCAGAAGCAGAGGAGCAGCGAGGTCGGAGTACGAGTTCCTTCCACTGCAGCGTCAGACTCTTGACCTGGATGAAAACTGCAACGGGGAGCTGGCGTCCGGCCTGTCGAGCTCAGAGTCCCATGATCTGACCGATACCGTTTACAGGCCTGGCAGATATTTTAGGGGGAACCGTGAGACGTCGTGTGAAGGTGAATATCAAGGTTATTTTCGGCACTTAATAGTGTGCAACTGTCCCTGCGGCACGCCGGGGTGACAGTACCGAGGTGGGGGGGGGCCGGGGGGGTGCGGCTGGAGAGGCAGCTGGTGCTTGGGGAGGCTGAGCAGCAAGAATGGCTGATGCAGCGGGCCGTGACCCCCCCCATCATCCGCCCACATACACACAGTAGAGAACACTTGGGCTCAGGGACAACATTGTATGGTGTCATCTTCTTACAAACATTTAATTCCTTTCTTTACCTTGCATTTGCCAACTCATTCGTCAACGTCCTACGTGGAGGGATCAAGCGTTTGACCTTTTCCACTTGCCAGTAGCGACCATTTCCCTCGTGGTTAATCTACGGGATTGAAATGTAAAAGGGGAATTTTGTTTCTTTCGCGGGGCGAGAAAGTCTATGTTTGAGTAAAGTGTGTTACCGACGCGACAGGGTGCGTGACGGCCTTTGACGTTGCCTGCGTCAGTGATATTTGCTTCACGCACCACAGCCAAAAAACAAACAAGAATCAAGGAAATGAGTGAGCAGAGAAGAGAGCGATGCTGAGGACAGCTCCGGGGACAAGCCACAAGCAAAATACTGCAGCAAAGGAGAAAAAAAGAAGACAAACTGATCCTCGACCTTTCAGGTCCTTCTCCTTAAGCCAAATCCAGAATCACCCACACAGAGTGGAAAGAGATGAAGGAGGACAGGCGGGCAGAGCGAAGACCTGAGCAGAATCCCAAAACCACCGAGCTGTCGAGTCCTTTCAACTTATGACTCTTTAATGAACCGCGATGCCGCTTCCTCCCAAATCCAAAGCAAGCCAACTTCAAAACGACAGTAGCAGTGGTAACTCAACGCCCCCCCCTGAGCGCCATCAATAAGTGACGATTGTAATAAAGACGTAGGTGATGGGTTTTGGCTTCAGAAAGAGGCAACATATTAAAAAGCAATTACTCACAGACAAACTCACTGCCTGCCGGTTGTTTACCACCAGAGTGAAAAATGAGGATTCGTCTCCGCTGTGGTGTTTTGGCAGGAGATCTGTTTAGCAACCATCACCTTCTACCCAAGGCAGTGTTTGTCTCAACAGGTTTAACGGCTTCCCTTTTCGTTTGATCGTCACGATTGACCTTGTTATTGCTGACAGCAACCCCCTAAAACGGCTAAACTTGGCATTCAGTGAAGGAGCGTAAAGACGCTTTAATTTGTTAGTGGCCACGAGGCGTCTGATATAATACCACCACGAAAAAAAAAAAAGCCTAATAAGCACTCAAACTGATCGGATATGACAAACTGCAGCTTGCCGACGGATGTAACAAGCCACTGTGAGTTCGGTACTCATTTTCATATGAACGAATGCCTATTTCTGACGCTTGTAACGAGAGGCGATCCATCTTACTGCCAGTTCCTGACAGCCAGTCACAGTTAGTAACATGTGGATGCTTAAAAACCATCATTCAGAATCACACACCTCCCAATTTCTCACAAACATATATCCGACTGCCTGAGGTATCAGATTTTGTGTGGCTGTAGGAGCAGACGTACGTATGTATGTATGTAGGTGGGCCTGCGCACGTGTTTGGGTTCCGGTGGTTAACGAGATAACTCGGCTTCTCTGCCTCACAGTTGAAAAGGCACAAATCACTCCAATAACATCTGAGTCCTGCTCAGATTGAGCGGTTCATTAAACCGGGTTAGCGTGGCCATGTCCTCCTCGCTGAATTATAGATCTGGTACAGCGGAGAAAACTTGCTGCTTGCAAAACACAAGAACGGAAATTGTTATTTTCAGCAAAGTGCATTAGCAATCAAGGCGCTGAAGCGTGCATCTCTACTTAATATTAAACGCGGTACCCAAGCTGCTTTAAGTGAGACAGTTTAATAAAAGACTAATACTGGCACATTATTTTTTTGGGTTTTGAATTCTGGCAGATACTGAGCAACGGAAACACCGTGGACTGATTGCCAGTTAATCACAGTGCTAACCATTCAAACACTATTAGAAGTTAACTTAGTGGATTTCATTTTTGCTGTTAATTGACGGATTAAAGTGAGCCAACTGAGCCATTATTATTTGGAATTCATCGTTTTGATCATTTATCGTTTAATTTCTATGAGGATTCAAATCAAACTTCCCAGTCATCTGGACATTAATCAGCATTAGATGATTCATCAATTACTAAAGTGACAGAACATGTATTAACTATTTGTAAAAAGGATACCTTTTTTTAAATTGAGTAAATTCCAAACAGTCCCTTTTTGCAGCTTCTCAAATGTGAGGGTTGATATATATATATATATATATATATATATATATATATATATATAGCAGCCTCAAAAATGTAAACAATGTCAGCTATTAATGAAACTTTGCCAAAGTAGTAACTTGCAAAAAGAACTGGTAGAGGAGAAACCTATACACGCCAAAAGGAAATCCAGGTGACGAAACACAAATGGATGTAATATTCAGTATGTGCAATGCACACAAGAACATTGTTAACATTGTCCATTTTAAAGTCAATAAAACCGTAAAGCCTAAAGAAAAAGCTCAACGGGGTTGAGGCTCATTATCTGCACAGCAGTTTATAGAATAAGGTTTTCATCATAACCCCTTTCAAAAAAATACCCATCTGCCACTACAAATTACACGACCTAATTGAAAATACTATATGGCGGATTTAAAAAGAATACCGAAAGACTCCTTGAAACTGAAACTCCCACAGGCCTGTCAACTCCTCGAAACTGAATTCAAAAGCAGAAAAGGCAAACAGACAAGCAGCAATGAACTGAACTCAGCAATTTAGTCAGAAAGTGTCAAGTAGCAAAGTGCCCTCCTTCTGCGGCTAAGCTCCTTAACCAAGGGACTCGGGGCAACGAGGAGCCCGGAGAAATGACGCTCCTCCTCTGGCCAGGGAGCGGAGGAGCTGCCGTGCAGCTGGCTGCAGCGGCCGCGATTACACGTGAGTCTGATACAAAAACTATGAGCTAATTCACGTCCCAGAGTCATCCATTTTTCATGGCCGGCTAGTAACTTGTTCAGTGTGGCCCGAATTTGAATTCTTGATAAAGCGGTGTAACGCTACTCCAGCGTGTAATTGGTAATCCACTCAGCGAGCCAGAATGATTATGGCACAGATGTCTGCAGAGTCCAAGGTGCCTCAGCAGTAGGTATGTGTGTGTGTGTGTGTGTGTGTGTGTGCACATGTGGAAAGGAAATTGAAAGTACAAGAGAGTTGTGTGTGTGTGGAGGGGGGGGGGGAGGGCAAAAGAGAGTAAGACAAGGTGTGTTTGCATTTGAGAGCACAGCACAGTCTTATCAGCATAACTGGAGCATGATGCGTTAAGGTGTGCGCTGTGCTATATGTAATTAAATGATGTGAGACCACTCACTGGTCTCACATAATGGCAAATTTCATATTTCTTGCACACTAACAATTGTATGCAGTCTGTGTGAAATTCCGGTCTTCCCACGACTATTAAAACATAAAACAATCATCACTCCTGCCGGGTTTAATTGATAAATGTAAAGCGTGGCAGCTTTTGACTATAAAGGCAAGTGTTGCATGAGATTGAGGGGAAAAGCAAAACGCTGACACTGTTAGAATTTCAGAATGAAAATTAAGCTTTAAATTCAATCCGGAAAAATATACATTTTCATGGCCTGTGGTTTATTTTGTATTTCCTACCATCAGTGTAGGGTTGGTTGCCGTTGATGAAGGTACAGCATCGTCATTCTTCAGTCTCTTTTCTCGATAGTGTGATTAAGGCACAGTTGGAAGCGCTCAAACTGAAAGACATCTGAGATGTGTGGACCTCTCCTGAATCCTGAATGGGACACCTCTCACCTGGCACACAGTGAGGAGGGCTGCATAGTTTGACTTTTAGAAGGAGGACATTCATATTACCATTGCGCCTACAGCACCTTAAAAAGATTTTTAAAATATGTCTCTACACCTCCAGATATTTATAATATTTCTGACAAATTGTGTCAAAAGCAATACTTAATCCTGATTATTATTTGCAGAGAGAAATAAAAACCCAAACAAAAATTTTCAGCGCTGGCGTTCAGGGGATTTACACCCCAACGTAGAGTCAATGCATAAGGGATTTCCATATAAATGGCTTTCTTCTCAGCACAGATCTCTATCTCTTTTTTCTGTGGCCAAGCGACGAATCCTTCGTTCATTTATCTTTAATTGGATTTCCAATATGAAAACTTGTTATCCTTCAGAGGTCCCTTATGTCTCCCTCCTTGCACCCAACTTTCTGGGGGTGACATCAGAAGCTTTGCTCGGCTGCCTGCTTGATTTTCCGCTGAACAGACAGACATCCGCCGCCAATGAATTGGACCGAAACAAGACGTGAACGTCCTTTGATGAGATCCAAAGATTTGTTCGCCTTTTCTTGAATCCCACAATTTAATTCCTCCCACGGTAACGTAAAGAATAGTGTAAGGAGCATTGTAGTAATGGGTAGGACAAACACGTCGGCTTCAAACTGGTATTGTGTAACCAGCCTCCAGCACCCTGGCTCAACAAGTCATTCTTGGAAAGTTTTCCTCCTGACGCCAACTTGAATGTTACAGCTTCCGTCTACATGTATCAGCCAGGGGAGCTGAGGTGAACTTATGTGGGCGATCCCAGAATGCATTTCGCATAAAACATCAACACCTCTTAAAACAAATAGAGGCAGGGTGTTGTTGCTCCAACATAACGATTAACAGAATCCTGATGAAGATCTGAAAGGGTTGAAACAGCTGTTCAGGGTGAAATACAGCTAAATGCTTCTCCGCAACACATAATTATTCATCAACTTAGTGCTTCCAGCTCAGATCTGAAATCTGTAACCCCAAGAGAGAAGCCAGCCGCCACGGGAGCAGAAGAAATTAGCATTGAAGAAAGAACGAAAACAATGAATGTCTGGTTGGAGCCTCCCACACTTGAGGCCATGCTTGGTTGCGGAGACGTCACCTCACCTCCAGTAACCCCTGTCAGAGCCGCTGTGTGGGTGCGATAGACTGGCAGAGGCTCCAAGCGAGCCAGCCAGCGATCGGTGGCTCTAACGGCTTCGCAGAGAGGCACTCTCCATCACACAACACTGAGCTTTGGAGTGCGTGGGCTGCGGGAGGCAGGGGGGAGGCAGGGGGGAGGCAGGGGGAGTCGTCTGAATGGCAGCTGGAGCCGGGATAACAAGGTAAATCAGCAACCAGGAATACAGGCGCCATGAGAGTCCAGATAAAAGTATAAAACGTCAGAGATAAAGACGTGGTGGAAAACGCCACCATATTAAGCCACCCACAGTTTTTATTTTTTCTTATTTCAATGGTCTGTAACCGATCAGCAAAATAAATATTTGATGGTTTTGTTATGGAGCGTATGATTCAAAAGCGAACCAATGTGCCGACTTTGCAATAAGACCCCAGTTAGAATCAAGTGGACCTAAAGACGGCCCCGGGATGCGAGCGCGGCTGAAAGGTTTCACTTACTGCAGGTCTCCGCTGCCTCGTCGGAGCCGTCGGGACACTCGGGTTCCCCGTCGCACCGCCACCGTCCCGGGACACACTGGCCATTTAAGCAGGCAAACTCTGCGGGGGCACACGTCTTCCTGGCTGCTCGCAGGCCGAGGAGAAACACAGACAGAGAAGAGCAGTGAGACTAGACAACGTGAAGACACTTAAGCTGCCATGAAACCGGTCACGTTATTTGAACGCCTGTAATCGTCCCTTTTGTCGGAGATCAGGCTCTCCTCCTTCCTCACTCATCCCAGACAGCCGGCTCATTAATTATCCCCACTTTCCCCGTTATCCCGACTCCTTCATCTGCTCGCCTCCAAACAATCTGATCTCCCTCGCTCGGGGGGGGAAAAAAAAATCAGAGAACCTGTAAAACATTTTACTCCCCAAACCTGGTTACCAAAACGGAAAACTACGACCCAGCAAAAAAAAACGTCAAGCGTGCAGAGGATTGGAATTTAAAGCTTCACGGCAGCTACTAAAATTGTGTTAGCGTGTTGTGTTCAAAAAGCAACACACTGGGGAAAAAAAACACTCCCCACCTGTAGCAACGAGCTCGGCCAGCGGCTCAGACGCAGAGGTCAGATTCGTTCAATCTCCTCGGCCCAAGAGGACCTGCGGTACGGTCTAATAAGTCGCTGGCTTAGAGGGCTGGAAGCTGAGCTCTCTGGGCCGGGATTGTTACCCAGGCACGCGGGTTCCTAACCGGGCTGCATCGTGGCTTTGATGCTGCAAATTAGATACAGCGTTTAGAGGCGAGCAGGGAGCTTAAGCTCGGCTGAGGGGCCGTAAGGCCGAAAAGTCAAGCAGTGGTTTGCCTCGCTGACGCTAACATAACCCTGCCCTCACTTCTTAAACCCTTAGAAAATATCTTCATTTTAATGCTAAATGCTAAATGAAATTCCCACTTATACATGCAAATAAAATATCCATTAATTATTTGTCACGGTGAGTTGAAGTGCAGACCTCTAGATGTGAACCATGGAGAAATCAGGGGAACATGTGACACTATTCACTGATACTGATGCGTTTCACAGCACATCATATTCTCCTGAAATGTAATTCTCACATTCAAAGTACGCCGACGCTTTATCTATGATGAGGCCTCGCTCTATGATGCAGAGTATTTCAGGAAAGCCTGCCGCCAAGAAGCACTTGTTTTAGAAACTGCTTGCCTCCAATTTTAAATCTCAATTAATTGCCTCATTCTTAATTATCTCCTGTGTCAGAGTGCCAAAGTCAAAGCGATAACGACTCATCTTGGCGCCATGAACAGAAATGACTAAATGTGTTATAGTGTCCCTGTACTAGAATACTGTGCTTGATGTGTTTTGAGCCTGTATCACAATCAGTAATCTTTGTTTCAGAGGATCTAAATCAACATTCTTTCCCGCTTTTTAAGAAGAACTCAATGAACTGACCCTATTCAAACTAGTGGGACAAACATTCCCCCTCCCTTTGTCCCTTCAGGTTTCTCTCCTCTCCAACGGCGTTTGTCACCAAGAAAAAACACATTTTTGCTCTTTTTTTCCTCAGACAACATAGTACGAAGGTTTTGTGGAGCGCAGCTTCGGTACTACTTGTTTCCTCATTAGAAAACAGGAATCTGGGCCTTTTTTTGAAAAAGGTGAAGACAAATGATTATGGGGCAAACGAGGGTAGTGGAATCCTTTTAACTAACACCTCTCTCAAGTGTATAAACCCATTAGTGGCGTTCTCACATTGAGTTTCCCGCAACACGCACAGCAACACATGTATTTGCATAAGGGAGGCATGTTTTCACAATCTAGTCATTACTCATGTGAGTAGGTGCAAGTCAGAGAGACTCGACAGACCCCGAGGCGCAGCACTGAGATTAAAGGAAACAGAATTATTATCGGCACCTAATTCTTCAAATCCTGGAAGATACACATTCAAATTCTAATTTCGTTTCATGAATTATTCGGGCTCCCAAGACATGAACAAAAAGCAAGATGAATATATAACTCAACGCAGTGTGTGCTGAGAACTTCTTTTGACGGCGTAACAAAGACCTTGAAAATCTCCCGCTTTGTGGCCTCCGAAGGTCACGTCCGCGCACTTTGTGTGGTTTCTCTCCGAGAGTCTGAGCTTCCTCGACCAAATCCAACGGAGCCTTCTTCTCGCTTCAGTCGAGGTCTACAGGGGCCACGGTTCACTTGGCAATAACTACCTAGGCTGGCTCGTGCCATCTGCCTGGATTGACTTTCTCTTTTAATTAGGAGATGTTTTAAAATGTTGTGCTTGCACACAACGTAGTTTTTGACGACGGCCACTGCACACGTGAACACACTCACGCACACACACACAGTACGCGCTGGTGTTCTACACGTACGCAGCTCCGGTTCGTCCGAGAGGAATCTACCGAGAAAACAAAACAGCGGCGATTCCGTTTGCGTGAGCATGACGGATGTGAAGTGACACGGAGAGGACGAGGGCCCTGCACAGAGGAGCTCACCCAGCCATGTTACGCCTTCTGAAGGAGGTACAGCGGCGAGAGGCTCCACGCTCCAACAACCCCACCTGGAGCTTTCTCCTCTGGGGGTCCATGTTGTCAACATTTCCCTGCTTCTCTTGCTTTTTCCTCTTTTCTTGCACGCAGATCACGAGGGGAAAAGCCCGGTAGACCTACTTACGGGACGGCTCGGAAGTTACATCGGGTGGCTGCAGAGCTTTCCGTGATCATCAGATACAGAGAGTTCAGCTTCGGCGGCACGAGGGGTGTCAGGGTGTGCGATCTGCACGGCTCTCCTTTGAGGGGCGGTAAACCCGATTTGAACGTTTTTAACTAGCGTTGTGGCTCCGAGGCTGTCAGGCTGTAGGTCGGTTGATTGGTCTCCCTGTTATGTTATTAAAACTTTTTAATGGTGACATCCTAAATATTTCTTAATAAAGGGTTGACGGAGCTTCCAATTAGTTCAGCAGTAGGTTTATGTTCCCATCGGCATTCATTACTCCAGCTTTCCTTCTGAGAAATCTGAGATGGCTGTAAAACCGAAGAGGTAGCCAGAGCTGGTGAATGCAGAGACATCGCAAACTCGGTGCTTCATGGTCAAATCACTGAAGGACTGAACTTCAGTGATTTGACCATGAAGCTCCGTCTGAACTCAATTGGTTTTGTCTAATTAGAAAGTGGATTAGTTTGTATCGTCAGTTTTTCCTCAACTCTGTCCCACTTTTCGGTTTATGTGAGGTATCAAACAACACAACAATCGCATGACAGATGTTAAGGAATACTGCTTATTGTGCTATTATCATTACGCAATATACTGTTTCATATCCTGTTTTAATTGTGTTAAAACAGGAAACGGCAGACTCAGCTGTATTTTCTCCACCAAACTGAAAAACCACTTCGTATATGGGAGGAGTTCAAAACACATTTGCACACACTCATACGTTATCTTACGCACACCCACACATTTGCCTGTATAAGCTGTTTTAAATCTCGAGTCGACATAGCCAGTTTGATCGAGTGAAGAGTCTAGTACTCTTGACCGGCTCCCCTTGCAGCAAGTAAAACTCACAGGTCAACTGAGTGTCTTTGCTTCTCGTGCTGTGATGGTTCTCTGGTGTAATCAGCAGGATTCGTGGTTTCTGACTACGACAGATAATATGGAACAGTGCCACCAATGAAAAAAGGGCAGGATAGAAGAGCGCAAACACCACCACACTATTGTTATGTGTCCATATTTGTGAGTAAACCTTTTGTAACTATGATGAACACAGCATTTTTAGAAGTAATTTGACGAAATAATATTTTAAGGATTACCAGCCCCCAGAAATATGTCTGACGGACAGGTGAAGCCTCATTGGGAAGATGTATATGTGGGAAAAAGGCTCCTGGGTTTACTTTTTAATGCGCCCTTAATTAAATGAGCTCACTCAATCATTCAGTGACGTCCAGGACCAGAGCAGCAGACAGTCGTATAACACACGCTGTCCTCTTACCCGGTGAAGAAACCTCCTTCTTTTTTTTTTTTACCTTGAAGGATATTAATGGCAGCTCTTTCCATTTGGGGGCCACAAGAAGCTTAATAGGTAATGCAGTGATAAGCACATTCTCCTGGGCATTAGAAGACAAATGGCCTCACCGGCTCAGAGTGAAGTAGGAAGTGTTGTCAAAGCAGGAAACATAATGTATCCCGTTGGATTAATGCAAATGATTAAAGCTTCCCAAATTAACAGGATACCACGGTAGCATACCAAATACAGCATGACATCAACGAGGCGTGGGACGAGCTGCTCGGGAAATTGCTTTTGCGAACGATTTTAGAATCTCACGAGGCTAATTGCAGTGTTGAGGTTTGCCAGAAGCGCCAGAAAGAGGACCGAACTTTCAAAACAGCATCTAATAATTCTCCGGTATTGCACAAAATGTTACATAAAGCTGAATTAAAGTGGCCTCAGTCTGAGTAACACATTTCTCCTGTCGATTCCCTCCTCTTATCTTGAAGCACTAAGTATCGTCTCGTGTCTGAACTCAGTATACTGGTTGATAGAGTATTGATCCGGCAACGCTGAGCCACAAAGTGTTGGAATCAACAGATTGGATCTGTCTCTCTCCTCTGCACTACACTTTTACCCTTTTGAACAAATTGGGTAGGGAGATACAATGTTTACCCTCCTATGTTCAGTCAAGTTGGGACAGCAAGCTTGACTTTCGTTATAACCTAAAAAATGTGCGTTTTTCCTTATCGACATTGGAGGGTATTTGGGGATTTATCAATCCGAATGACGGGATGAAGATGATTATATAGTACGTTGTATCTTATTGCTAAATGCAGTTGAGAAATGACTCGAATTGAGAAGAGGCTTAAATGAATCACCACATAGCTTTACTCCATGTGTCATTACTTTGTTTCATATCAGCTTCATTGAGTCACTTGAATATGCAATAAAAACACTGACTGCTTGTAACAATTAGCGACCCCAGACACACGCTATCAGGTGTGCTTCACAGTACGTTCAGTCCACTTGGGGCTCATCACTGCCCAGCATTTGTCCTGACCTTGTGTCAAAGACGGATCCTGTGCTAATTATAGAGCTCGGCCTACTAAAAAGACACGTTTTCTCTCCCC